CCATTGTCCCGAGTGGTCTTGCCCCAGTCTTATCTATTGATTGGAAAGCCGAGAGGGGAAAATAACGGGTATTGATTACGGCGCAGGGTGAAGCTGCTGGGCAGGCTGTCTGGAGGGGTAAGAAAAGACAGCATTCTTCACCCTCTGCTGCCCCACTGCTGTCAGAACAGCCCTACCTGCCACTCCACGTATCCCATCCCCTCTCAGCCTGTCACTGTTAGCCCCCCCCCTCACCTCGCCCGCTTTCTTGAATTGCCGGGGTGGCTTTTTCGCCTCGCTCTCAGTGCTTTATGCTGATTTTTATCTCCGCTTGTGAAATGTATAGCCAGGCGCAGCAGCCCCTGAACGGGCCTTTCACACACTCCCCGAGCTGCTGTGTCTGCCTCACCTTTCACTCTCACCCAGCCCCTCCTGTCTCAAGTCAAATTATCAACCCGGGTTCAGTTTCTGGCTTTCATGTATTTTTTGTTGCTTTTTTCCCCGCCTCTTCTCTTTCGTGCTCCTTCAGCCCCACTGACTTTCTCTCCCTCGTTCTTCTTTGGTACTCCTGAGATTTTAAGAAATGCATCATAAGACTTTTCCCTTGAAGCCCTGGTTCCATTAACTTGCCTCCTCTTTCATATCATTGGTCCATCTGCTCTTGTACGGTCTGCTGAGCTAACACATTACTGCTGAGTAGGAGGATGCATTCTCCAGCTTCTATGGGCCTCCGTTCCTTTTATCCTTTATGTAAATACTGCGTTTTGTCGACACATTTGCTCAGATCAGTGTTTATCTTAGTAATGAATCTCCATAATCTAGCACTGTGCAAGGGCTTTTTGATGCATCAGAACTCCTTCCAGTCGGAGATTAAGCTGCAACAGGAAGATGTTTGAATAAGTACGTCCTGCACGAAACGCACAATGTTGCGTTGCGTGCATTACCCAGTTGCTCTCATTGTGGTTGGTTAGATTCCAGGTGTTCTCTGTTTGAGCGGCTGTCAGCAGCCCATACTCAGCCCTTTATTTGGATGTTTGCAGAGACCAGAAAGACCAAATCGCTTTGTATAGACAGAGAAATGCATGTACACATCATTACAAATCCACAGGTGTTTCGTAAAAGAGAAAATAAACAAGGTGAGAGGTGCCAGAACATCTGAACATCGCTCAAATCTGGCAGCCTTTGTAGTCTTTAATATTTTTTTCCTCTTTGACTTGCTCTCTGACATCTCTGAGCGTATCACCCCCTCCCCACACACACAAACACACACGCATGACGGTTCAACTGCTCATTAACCCCCTCACCAGATTCCATGAAAATCACCTTATATAGTCTGAATCACAAGAATACCCGCTTTCTCTTAAAATAATCCATCACCAGATTGACCAAAGAAAAACAGCACTAATTCTGGGAGTCGCCAGGCCTCCTCCTCGTCTTCCTGCGCTATGAAAGATTCCTTTCACACATGGAGCGCAGCTAAAATAAGGGGCGCTTTACCAGGGCTCCAACACGGGAAAGCCCGTATGGTCATGTGTATAACCTCCATTATCAGAGCAGACAGCAATTCAAAAAATGTGAGCAAAAACTCCACTTTTGTTAGAAGTGGATCAGATTTCCTTTACCAAACTGCCATGACAAGTTTTGAACTGCATGTCAAGCATAAGGCAACAATTTCCTCATTCTCACAACTGGATTCCTTTACAGAAGCCCTCTGTCTGCTTTCAAAGTCTCCAAACCCAAGGTTAAAAGAACCTGTCCTTGAGAAGCAGGAGGTGGAGGAGGAGAGGAGCGCCCCTGCTGAAGAAAGGATGGCGGTCATGCACACAGCACAAATACTTATTAAGTTATACAGGCGATGTCCTTGATTTCAGCACTTCTTCATGCCTTGTTTTTCAAAAGGACTTCAAAAGCTTTTTAGGAGCGGAGATGGAGGGAGGAAATCATTTGTTGCACATTCCTTGTGCTTGGAGCAGCAGCCAAAGCCTCTCAGCATATTAGGCCCAAAACACTCAGGAGCCACTCGAGCCGTCAGAAATGGGCCAAGTTTGAGATCACGTAGACGTTCATCACAATCATAGAGGCACAGCAATTGATTTATTTGTTTTGTTTCCCCTCAAGACACAATGAGACGACTGATACCACTGAAATATCTCTGCAGTCAGCCACTGGATAGGAAAGCTTAACAGCCAAGATCCCCAATGCCATTCATGTATAAGAAAACAGCCATACCACTTCTTACAAAGCTGTATTGTTTCTCTAGTTCCTTTTTACAAAATCAAAAAGTTTCCGATCTTTATTTCTTATGCAGAGATGACCTTTATTAATCTAAATTAAATCCTCAGGCCAGCATCTCATTTTGTAACAGGCCTACTTTGTACTCTGTTTTCTAAATGATATGTGCTCGTTGTGTGGCTGTTAGAGGTTCAGTTGTTTATTCCAGAGCTAGCCTGCAATTTCTCCTTACTTCCAGTTTTTGGGTGAACCTTAAATGACCCTTGCTTGCTGCGGCTGTTACTCAGAGGAAAGAAAGAGCTCACTTGAATTTCGGAATTGAGTTTATCCAAAACTATGCTGCCATCAACAAATCAGCAAACTGAATAAGATTAATGGGAAAAGTACAGCTGTAATAAAGATAGAAATATATAGATCGAATAACTTTTTATAAAAGGAGTATTGAGAGGCGTTAAAGAATCCTTTTTCCCAAAGTGTCCAAATATTTCTATTTCAGGATGTTGGTTCAGGTTTTATTTTTATGTCAAGTTTTCTCCAGGCAACATTGCAACCCTTATATTTTCTGTGAATGGGGGCAAAAAAGCTTTTAGATACTTGCTTGCCCTTTAAAAAAAAAACTTCCTTAGTATATTTAATCTCTCAGGAAATGTGTCTCCAATTTTGACAGAAGAAATGTAGATTTTATGTGTTTTGACAGTGTGTTTCTGCTAAACCTCTGACATGAATCAGGCCTTGTTTTTGCAAATCAGTCCCCTCTATTAATCCAGAGGAAACACACGACCGAGGGGCCAGCAGGACCATAATTCAGTGGAGATAACTGAAGCCCATTTGTTCAAGAAGTGTATTTCTGTTTTCACAAGGCAGCCCAGTCCTTCAGGGAGAAACCAGTCCATATGAGATCTTACAGCACCAAGTCGGCGCAGTGACGTGTTTGTGGTCATAAGCAGAGATTGCGGAGGACACTGAGCTCCTCTGTTCTGGTACCAGCAGCAGCGGAGTGAGATATGGGTCAGCATGCAGCAGCCAGAAAAGGCTGCGGTTGGGTTTTCTCCACAGACATAGACAATGACACTTCCAATTTCCTGTGAACTCTGTGGACCAGGGAAGGCCACCCCTCTAGAGGAAGGAAAACTCTCCATTTCTGAGTGTGTGTGTGTGTGTTTGTGTTCATGCATGACAGAATAAGTCGTAGTTACAAGAAGGAATTAGGGTTTCTTTGGTTTGTGCTCACATAAATCATTTTTTCATCTGATTTTTATGGCAGAAAATATTAAATAGTTTAAAAAAAAGGAATGTTAGACAAGCTTTAGCATCAGGAGTTGCTGGTACAGCAGTGCAGATGTTTTAGCCACATCTGTCCACACTGCGATGGATGAAACAGCTAGACGGAGTTACCTGTGTTATCTGCCTCCACTTCTACCCCATCAGTTTAATGAACTTCTTGTTTACCTCATGTGTGAAATGCACCAAAGGAATGTGACTTTGTGTGAGCGTTTGAGTGTGTGTATATGTTGGGAGAGGCCATGTGTACTTACCCTCCACATTGTTTTTACTGCTACCAGGCCAGCCATTTGTTCCGAGGCACAGACTGGGCTCTGTGTACTTTGTGGGCTGATGCAGCTATATGGTTTGGTTGAATTTCCTCCCCCTTCTTCAGGCTCCTGTTTCTCCTCTGTGTCTCCCAGTAATTCGGGGTTTTGTTTAGTTTTCACTGGCGGCGGGAGGGGGTTCGAGGAAGGCTTGGCGCTGTGCAGGCAGCGGCGCAGGCCTCCTAACACCATCACAGGGTGTTTCGGCCCGCTTCACTTCACCGGATCTGAGGGAGCAGGCCCAAGCCAATTAGGCACAGGGAGAACGGGCCGCTGTCCGCCCTGCTGCAACCCCACCACCCCCCACCCCACCCCCCCAGCACCACCACCTCCTATCCCTTTCATCTTTTGCACGCTACGCGGAACCAGAGCCAGAACGCTTTACCCTCACTGTGCATGCAGTGAGCGACAGGGCTCACCCAATTATTAGAATCTGGCCTCAGGATTTCTTGATAATCAAGATGAATAAAAAAGATGACAAATTACTTCCATCTCGGTTACTCTGGCGTCTGTGTCAGGGTTGGAGACGTGATGAAAAAAAATACAGATCCGCTGTTGTTCTGCTTGCCGTTTGTTGGTCGAGCTGCATTCTTTATTTGCTCTTTATGTTGCTCTCATTCGTAACAGATAGGAACTATGCATCCGTCTATACAGCTACGCGATTTTCAGCCAGAACATGACCCCATTGATGAGCATAAAAATTATGTGTATGGTAGGATTTCACAGTCATTTGGACCAACATGTTGTCTTGTTTCTCTCCCAACATGAAAACCCCAAATGAGGCGAAACATTTGGGAAAAACACAACGCTCCCACGCTTCCAGTAGAGGAGCGCTAGAAAAGTAGATGTTTTGCTTGCACTTCTTTTCTTTTGCAGTTTGACTTTTCCTTATAATTCTTTGCATTCAGATATAATTAGGAAAACCACTCATTGGAAAACTTTAGAAAGAGTAAAGTGATCTAAAAGCGAAGGCCTTGAATCCGTGGCCTGGATGATGTGTCACTTTCTGTTTAACTGTGCATGGCTGCAAATCAGACATTTCTTATTTTGAGCTTGTAAAGTGCTTAAAGATTTGCAGTAATCTCTGAAGAGTTTGTTTGGCCACAGCCGTCCTCGTCTATCCTTATGTTATCCTCAGCATAAACAGCTGGTTTGGGAAAAAACGTAAAGCCTCTAATCACTGTGCTTGTCTGTCATCAGGACCTCCACGAGTGTCCGACAAAGTTGCACACAGGCAGATGGCCCGGATAGGCAGTGCCATCAAGCTGCCGTGCCCAGTGGAAGGAGACCCCCCACCCCTCATTATGTGGACCAAAGACGGGCGTAACATCCACAGTGGCTGGATACGCTTCCGCATCCTCCGCACGGGCTTGAAAATTAAGGATGTGGAGTCAGACGACACAGGGACCTACATCTGCAAGGCAACGAACGGCTTTGGAAGCGTCAACGTCAACTACACTCTCATCGTCATCGGTGAGCGTGAGCAGAGTTTAGCTTGTGTAACCTTCCTCTCCACAGGTCCCGGAGATGACCTCAGCGACTGTTGGAAAACACGTCGTCCTTGTTCAAAATTCAAGCTCAACTCTGCAACTATAAAACGTGAAGTCACCTGTCTGCTAACTAAAACCAGATACCATGGCTGGGATTCAGCCCCTGATTTGTCCGGTCAGACCCCGTCACCCTCCACTGTTGTGTTTCAGCTCCGGCTATGTAACACATCCCCACAGTCAAAATTCCCACCCGGGCTCTCTTAAAAGACAACATCACTCATAGAGCTCGAGGTCTGGAACGGGCAGATTTATGGGGGTTTAGTGGTTGATCCTCTCATCTTTTGTATGTGTTACTGCTCCTACGTCTTTCTGCCCAAAGTCAACAGCGGACCGGGATATTGTTTCATACTACTTCATCCTCTGTGACTCAGTTGGATCTCTATCTCTTCCTTTTCCTAAGGCTACTCTCCGTGGAAGCAGGAGGTCTGCAGCTCCACAATAAGAAACACATTGAGTGTAGTTTAAAAGGGGAAAAAAGTGCCAGATTGTCTTCGGCCTCTTGAATGGGGCCTGCAGGATTCAGCTCAGTGTGACCTTATGAATGTGCATACAGTGCCTTTGCTCTGCACCGGGGCACAGCATGATGAATGAGCGGAGTGGAGCGTGAAGGCTGTGTTTAGTCTAATTACTCTAAGATGCCTAATTTGGGCCAGAGTCTGTACTCTATCTCGCAGGAGGAGTTACCAGTGTGGTCTTGTGACAGCCATGCTTCAGAGGAAGAGCCCTAATCAGACAAAGACAGAAAAACACAAAAAGCAGCGCTTGTGTCGCTAAAGCATGCTCGTGAATGAGGGACTCCACAAGCCTCAAGATTCAATAAATAGTTTCTAGAGTTCAAAGAGTGGGTGTTGACTGATTGTGTTAAAATTAGAGGTTAAAAATCTTGGCACAAAGCCGCCTGTATCCTGTATATCAAAGTCAGATGAGGCTCTTTTTGTGTCTGGGTTGCGTTTAAGGGCCAGTCTAAGTTTAGCCGAGATTACAGAAGACCTCCCCAGTCGAATTTTAATGACACTTCATTTAAAACTGGAACAAAGTAAAAGATGATTTTGTGTGAATCCGACTCCCTTTCATAAAAATTGTGGGACAGTATTGGTCTTGGCGGTGAATGCAGTGAATAAGTTGTCAGTCAGCTTTTCTGATGAGTGAGAACTTCACCTTACAGATTCATCCAAGTGGGCAACCCTCTGATGGATGCTGGCGTGAGCGGAGTCAAAGTGATCCCCAAAAAATACTTCATTTCAGTTTGGAGTTATTTCAAAGAAGGCATTGATGAAATCAATCTGAATTCTGATGAACATAGTTGTGTTGAAAGAATGCGATCCATTATTTTAGGTCTTTCCAGAATTGAAATGTGTTCCAGACGTTTTTGGTGACAGCTGGTGAGAGCTGGTGGCAGCATGGCATAGGCCATTAGCATTTTTTCTGGGCTCCATCTTAGATTTTTCCGTGCTTTCCATAAACTGCTGAAGAGATGCTGTTTTTGGAGGGGAGTAGGGGAGCTCTTTTGTTGCGTTATACCTGGGCAAACTCTCAGAAAGGCTGATGGCTCAGGAAGAATATTTATTCAGAGTACTTTTTCTTTTGAGTAAGAAAGCTCCATCCAAAATCAAGTGCAAGGGTAACATTATACTTTGAATTTTTAGTTGTTTTTTTTTCATGAGGGAAATAAGCAGATTTCTCCCAAATTATATGTGTTTAACATAAAAGTGTGATAAGTAATGGCCAAGTTCTTTTTTTCGGCTTACCTAAACCAGATGTTACAGATGGTAAGCTTTAGCAAATCAACACAGAAACAATGATGAACACATTGCTCTAGCAGATTGCGTCACGGGGCATTAGATGGACAAGACAAATAATGAGTTTGTACTGTTCCAACAAATTTGAAAATCACTATTTCACCCGAGAACCTGACTGATCACAGAATGGCCTTACTGCCGTTTCCGGGGAGGGTTCATCCCTCCATCAGACCTGTTGCCGTTGGGTTTCAGTCCACTTCTTGTGTCATTTGGCAGAGCTTATCCTTTTCTCTCTTAGTCTCTTTCTTTGCCTTTTAAAAGTCTTTCTGTCTCATTGCGCATCATGCCAGGATTGCAAAGTAGTACATTTCCTTTAAAAAAAACAACTATATCAGATAAACAGAGATTTATGTCTGTCAACGTGTTTTATCATAGAAGTGTAGATGGATGCAGTTTAATGTAAGTTCACTGTGAAGTTGTCTCCGATCCATTTGACACGTCCCGATATTAAGGAGCCTTGTAAGCTTAAACGATCCAGGGGTGAATTAACAAACAAAGCCTGAAAAGTAAAACAACAAACAAACAACAACCACCCATTCCTGAAAATAGTCAGGCACAAGGACTGGACTGAAAATGGGAGAATAGAGCAGCTAATGTCCAAAGGAAAACTTTGAAAGACCTTTATACAGCCTGAAGAAGTATTACTCAAGACCTTTTTAAAAGATTATGAGCAGGTCTGGCTGCCTGGAAGCTACAATATAAAAAGGAGAGCTGGCTCTGGACTTTTACACAGTGCTGTAGGTGCTGCTATAATGGAGCTAAGCCTAGATTAGGCTCGGTCCAGCTGTTCCCGGGGGCCAATCTAAACCTCTTTGCTCCCCTTTTCCAACACCGAGGACTGCATTTCTGCTTTAAGTAATGATAGGAAATATAAGTGCTGCCAAAATACATCATTTGTGAGCCTAAAGAAGTTTACTCTGTGAAATGTAAATCCCAGAATATTTCCATTTGAGTCTGAAATAAGTTGAGAATAAGATTCAATGAAAGTGTTGGGAAGAAATCAGCCTTAAAGTGTTTGTCAAAGTCAAAAGTTGGAACCGCTGAAGTTTGAAGGTGAGCATCAGTTTTACTCTTCCTCCCCCAGCTATAACCGCTTATGTTGTGTATATGTAACATCTATAGCTGCTTCAGAGCCGGAGCTGATCATGGTGTTGTGCACAGATGTCTGACACCGCAGTTCATCTCTGTGATAGATGGAGTGGCCCCTGCCGTTTGATCATTTGTGCAGCTTGACTTGTGCCGGAGTGTAACTGAACGAGAAGGGAGAGCTCAATAACAACAGTCTAAACTGCTATGATAAAGTTGGCCAAATCCAGCACATGACTTTAACCCGGCTGCGTGCTTCGTCCCCCTCCACTCCGAAATTTTGTCAGGGAAAAATACCGTTGGATGTTTAATTGTAAGCCTTTCTTGGAAGCGTTTCCAAGAACAGATTTTTATCAGGAGTGTTTTCGCCCTTTATGGACTTAGAGCTCTGGCCTGTCTCTTAATCCTGATCAATCCAGCTGTGGACTTTCAGCCATCATTCCGCATCTCACAAGAACACTCGCTCTTCTATTTTTGCTCTCTTGTCTGTCATCCCATTAGGCGCTGGCAGCTCTTCACCACACCGTTTGTTTTTATGGGTAATTGTTCCAACAGTGGTCCATTTCATTCAGATTTGGGGGGCTCCTAGTCAAAATACTCTTAAGATTGAATTTGGCCTGTTCCAGCCAAACAGTGAGCAATTATCATGAGCAACACTTTCCATTAATGTAGAATCAGCTCGTTAATTTAGCTGCATGCTGTTAAGCTGCTCCGGGCGCCATTATGCTGCTTGAAAGACAGGAAAGTTTATTTATTTGAAATTCTCTAAATGAGGGGTAGTGGGTTCCATGCGCAATTCAACCTACAGAATCCATCATGGCACTGTTATTTTTACTGGATCACAGAGGGAAAAAGTTCAAGAAACAACTGCAGCCAGTTATTGGATCGGTCAGGGTAGGGTGGGGGGGGGTCTTGGCAGCTGTTCAAGTTCAAGGCCCATCGTTAGGAGAATAACTTTTTCAACATGACTTGAAGGCTTGCAGAGAACTCGAGCAGAAAAAAGATGAAAAAGCCGAGAGGCGCGAGGCCGTAAGTGAAAGAATGAGAGGCTCTGTAGGCTGAAGCAAGGAGCAGGGGAGGGGTTCCACTGCGGCCGGAGAGATATCCCTCTTCCCATCTGCCAGCGGACAGCCTGTCCTCCCAGGAGCTATCTGAAGAATCTGGTCCGGCAGTGCAGCACGGCGCCTCCACAATCCCTCCAGATGACTATTTGGGCCCTGTTTGGGGTGGTCTCCTGACAACTGGGGCCCAGCAGCTCCCAGCACCCCCTCAAGGACGGCCAGATTGGTGCAACAGTCCCTCCATCCACGGCTGCCGCAGCCACGGCCGCTTTCGTGTTAACACTCACAGGATTCAACTTGATGTTTATGTCTGCAGAGATATTCCAGGCTAACGCGGGCTCTGCTGGCTCTCGTGGCACATATTTCACTTCGCTCCTCTCTGGAGATGTTGTCGGGCCAACTGCTGAATGGACTGGCCCGTGTCTGGCTGGCCACATGTGGTAGCGGTTTGGAGATCTCCAGAGTGGGATGCGAGGCCACTGCACATAACTTTCACTGGACATTACATTGTCCCCAACAGCATCTGGAGCTCATTGGGACCCCAAGTCATCCTGCCTTTTTTCCTGTGATTCAGCTGGCACGGGAGGCCCGCAGAAAGTGTGTCTAGTGACCTGTTTCCTGTGGCAGGATTTATGAATGAAGTGGGAGGGGTTGGCATCAGACTGCAAAGCCTGTAGCTCAACCATGAATGGATTCAAGTCGTGTGGAAAAAAGTCGGTTTCCTTTTAACAAAGCAGGAGTGCTCGGTTGCATAAACACGCATTTAGAATTGGCTTAATTTCTGTTTCCATGAAAACTTTGATTTTCTGTAACATGTACTGTTTAGGGCTTCGCCATCTGATAACTATTTCCACAACAAGCTTCAGCTTTTGCTAGATTTCCATTTCACAAGAGCCGCCTGCTAATGCAGGCCTCTCGAGCGCTCCTCATTTATCGATTATTTCGTTTTCTTCCAAAACAAACTATCATATGGCAGCTATGAGATGTCCTGCTGCAGTAATGTGAGTCAACATTGTCTAAAGACAATAGCAGCAAGGGATAGCCTGAACAGCTCAAACATATAAAGGGCGCCATTGTTCCGGAGAATCGCCAAAAAGCAGAGAGGAAATAGATTCATGAAAAAAAAAAAAGTTAGAAAGAAAAGCCCGGCAGTGTGGGACCATGCTGTGTTTGGATTGGGAGGTTCAGGAACCGGCAGGAATGTGGAGAGCCCAAGTGAGCAACAGAGAAATATTTCTTCCAGTGGAGGCTGTTTTTTTTTCTTTATAAAGGAATGGGTTATTATAGTTGGCCAGTAAAACCCTTCAAATAGCTATGACATCATGGCTGGGCTTGGTGCTGCGGGGGACAAACAAAGGAGGGTTTGTACCCAGAGAACCCAAGAGAGCTTTGAGGGTCTCGGGGAGACTCAGAGGCAGGCGGAGAGAGAGGGGGTTAGAAGTCACATCTGGTACTTTACCTGACCCAATCAAACCCTGAGAGGGAATCAAGTGTGCCAAACTGCTTTTTGAAAAATCCACTAAACGCAGAAGGCAACGATTGCTTGCTTTTTAAAACCTTCCTCTTACTCCGAGTGCAAAGACTCAGTCGATCTGCAGTTTTATGATAATAAATTAAAAAAAACAAACATTTTTCCCACTGAAGCACCGTGTTTATAATTATTTTGTTAGAAAAATGCTCACTGTCGATACTTAACCATCAGCTTTAATGCCTCTATCCACACAGATTGGCAGATATCAGTAAGGAACCCGATCTGCTCTTTCAATTCATCCCTGCTTAGCTCGAAAAGTCACGATGCATCACAAACCGTCGATTAGGTTTCACTCATTATATTTTCTCTAAGCCCCGTCTTAGCCGGGTTGCATGATGTCAGCCAATGACATAAACTGCACAGCTGTCTGCTGGAACCTGGCTTATAAAAACCGATCGTATTACTTCCAAATGCCTCAGAGTGTGACCCCAGTGTGCAGCCCTCGCAGGAGAGGCCGCCGATGAATGCTCAATTCACCCGGAGAGGGCCCAGAACTCTGCCCTGGACTGGTTGAAGGGTTGAGCTTTAAATGCTTTCAGACATTTAAACAGATTGAAACAATGAAAGGAATTGTGAAATAAAATAAAGAATCACCGGCTCATGGATGTATGCAAAGTTTCAGATATACAATGATTAACTACAAGCATGCCGCTTTTGTCTGTTTTGTATGTCCACCAGCTGTCTGACTTTTGTCCTGCTGTGTTAACAGATGACTCCGGTCCCGATAAAACTGGACCAGCCCATGAAACCGAGGCTGAGCCATGCTGTGAAAAACTTGGTAAGAACTCCACTGGCGTGCTGTCAGGGATGCTGTGGCAAACGAAAGTTCACATTAGTGGTTTTGCATGTTTTAGCATGCTGTTAGTGGCAGTGCTTTCTTTTTCTTTTCTTTTTTTTAAATACCATTTCAATTCAGCTGCTGGTTGCCTTAAATATTTGTTCTTATACGGGCAGCATTTATGCTTTCGCAGTCCACACTGAATAACTGATACATAAACTGAACTCGCACCAAAGTAACATCCACCCGAATGAAGACACACTTCTTGCTCTCTGAAAAGTCACTGAACTTGTGTTCTTTGTGTTTCCAAAGTGCGCCCTCGCTTCACCCAGCCCACAAAGATGAGGAAGAGGGTGATAGCACGGCCCGTGGGCAGCTCGGTGCGGCTCAAATGCACGGCCAGCGGGAACCCGCGGCCGGACATCGTGTGGCTGAAGGACGACAGGCCGCTGACGGAGCAGGAGGTCGGGGAGGGCCGGCAGAAGAAGTGGACCCTCAGCCTGAGGAACCTGACGCCGGAGCACAGCGGGAGATACACCTGCAGGGTTTCCAACCGGGCCGGGGAGATCAACGCCACCTACAAAGTGGAGGTCATACGTGAGTACCGAGGCCGAGCCGCCATCTCACACACACCTGGACAGATTAGGTCCTACAGATGAGGTCAGAGGAGCAGTCTGGAGTGATTACTGCTGTTTGTTTCGAATCCTATTAGTGGTGTAATGCGCATAGCTGAGGCTAATCACTGCGATAGTGGGCCAAGCCGTAACTTTTGAAAAATCTTCCCTCCGAAACCACCTCCTCCTGATTGCGAACAGCAGGTCTCGCTGCTTGGATGAATGTGCTTGAGTCCTCATGTGCACGAGAAGCAGATTGACAAAGCAAGCCTGAGAGTAAAGGTCTGTATGGGGTGTTAGCACAAAAGAGGGGGGGGGGGGTACAGGGCTGTTCAGCTCAAGGACCATCCACCCAGTCTGGATCCGATTAAAGCCCAGCTGTCTGCCAGAGCCGCTGCCCCCCTTCCCAAGAGAAATGTGTGCTGTACGACCAGGAGCAAAGAAAGAGAGGAAACTAATCACACATACTTCTTGTGTTACATGTGGTATTCCTCTCTTTCTGTCAATTACAAGTTCTGAGCCCGAGGCCAGTGTGGACAACTAAGGGCTGCTCTGTGTGCAGAGGAGCTGTCATGCCAGACCACGTCTGTGTCTTGACAGGTTGTCTTGTTTTCTGTGTGTGTGTGTGTGTGTGTGTGTAGAGAGGACAAACTCCAAACCTGTTCTCACGGGGACCCATCCGGTCAACACCACGGTGGACTTCGGAGGGACCACGTCCTTCCAGTGCAAAGTGAGGAGTGACGTTAAGCCGGTCATTCAGTGGCTGAAGCGCGTGGAGTCCAACGAGGAGAGCCGCTACAACTCCACCATCGAGGTGGGGGACGACCGCTTCGTGGTGCTGCCCACGGGGGAGGTGTGGTCAAGGCCCGACGGCTCCTACCTCAACAAGCTGCTCATCTCCCGCGCCAGGGAGGAGGACGCCGGCATGTACATCTGCCTGGGCGCCAACACCATGGGCTACAGCTTCCGCAGCGCCTTCCTCACCGTGCTGCCAGGTGAGGCGGGGGCAGCAGGAGCTGGGGTGGTGCTTTTCAATAAGGATGGGAATGTTTTTCTATCTGCTGGAGTATTTCTGTAACATTTCTTTTTTAGGAATCGCACTAACAGATGAGACGCCATAACACCACACATGAATGAAATGCACCCCACGGTGCACAACGTTTTACAGAACAAAAGCCGCTTTGAACCAAACACACGAAAACGCACGAGAACATGCTAAGCATATAACAAAACATGTGTTTTTGTGAAATGTTTTGTTTTGGTTTGAAATAGCTGTGGTTTATGTGAAGTCTGGCACCTCAGGGCCTTTGCAGTGAAAAGTGCCCTGGAGACAGAGGAGAAGAAAACATGCAGAAATGTGTTGCTGTCATTACCCCCCCCACCCAGTTTTTGATGTGGTCCCAGCTTTTAAGATTCTATTTTTCTCCCTCCTCCTCCCCATCAGTGATGAAGGTTACCCAAATATGCATTGAACATTGATAACTGAAAACATTCAGCAATAAAGTTTTGTTCTGAATCGATTTATTAAGAATTCAGAACCTGCTTTAAGAAGAGTAGTGGAGCTGTCTGCCCTTTTTAAAAAACCTTTGTCCCCCCCCCCCCCCCTTTCTTTTGCAGACACGAAGCCTCCAGTCACGGCCCCGTTCCCGGCTGCCTCCAGCTCCCTGCCCTGGCCTGTCATTATCGGCATCCCCGCTGGAATAGTCTTCATCTTTGGCACGGTGCTGCTGTGGTTCTGCCAGAGCAGGAAGCGCTGCCCCCCCCCCCAGCGCTCCCGCCGGGCAGGTACTGCCGGGCCCCCACCGGCTGCCCTGCAGAGAGCGGGACCGCGGCTGCGTGGCGCCGTCCTCCAGCTCCTCCAGCCCAGACAAAGACTGCGTGGGCTCCATGAACTACGAGGAGTACTTGGCCCAGCAGCAGCAGCTGCTCCTCGGCCAGGGGGGGGCGGCGGGGCCCCCCAAAATCTACCCCAAGATCTACACTGACATTCACACACACACTCACTCTCATGTGGATGGAAAAGTACACCAACACCAGCACATCCACTTTCAGTGTTAGCCTCGGTGCCAAACGTCCCCCCCCCCGGCGTCCCTCCCTGGCGCCCCCCCTGGACGCGGCGCTGTGGACTGAGAGCAGCTCACCGGTCAGCGCTCCACCGGAACTGACGCTGAGAAAAAGAGCGCCGGTGCGTCACCACCTAAGACAAAAGTCTGGTGCTTTTCCTCTCACACCACTAAGATCCATTCATCCCTGTTGTGCACTTAGAAGAAAAAGGACACGGGCGTTTTCACAGGGTGTGAGGTCAGCTGCGGCCTTTCGGCCCCCCCCTCCCAGCCGCCGGAGCGCCACAGCGCTCCGTCCCGAGACACAGATGAAGCGGTACTCGAGAGTCACAAAAGGGCTTTTTGTTTAGTTTGTTATTTCTTCCGTGCGCCAACTCAGGTCATCGTTTTGTTTGTTGAAGATGTAAATGCGTGGAATACTGACCACTATTCTTTCCTTTGACTTTCTTCATCCCTCACTTGTGTTCCCCGTTAAAAGTGATACAAAACGAGACTGGTAGCTTTTGATGGCATGCGACCTTGCCAAAGACTGCAAGGGATGGAGGGATTTTGTTTCCATTTTTCACGTTAGCTGTATTGGTCTTTAGTATCGTTTTTTAACTTTATTTTTGGTAGTTTAGAGTTAGAACTTAGTATGTTGAATAAACCAGCAGAGAATGAGTCTCTTTGACCGTCACCTTGTCCAACGCAGTTTATTAAGCTGTTATCAGAATATTTAATTTATTTTCCTAAAAAATGTATTAAAGGTTTTATTTTTCAGAGTAAGGCATTTTACTTATGTTGTTTTTAAAAGTATGCTGTTGTGTATTGTACATTTGAGTACTTTGTTCACTTGTTAATCACATGTATTTCATGCCAACATGTAGGTATTTCTATACGTAATGTGTTATATTTGACAATCTCTCGTGTATTATATCCCAAAACATCTTATGTTTAGAGGTTTGATAGTTTGAATAAATGATCTGAAACTTGATTCCCATGCCTTGTGAAAACTGGCTCAATCTGGACCGTTTTGCTCCTCCATAGTGCTCAAAGAATTCATTCTGCTCCTGATAATGAACCGGAGAAGATAACTCCAGTGGTGGCTACTCAGATTTAAACAAAAGGGCTGGTCCTCTTAATGTAGGTCCACTTTCTTCCTTTGAGCATGTTGATGTGTCTGAGGGTGACTCAGGGGGCAGCCAGCAGAGGGACGCAAGTGGCCGGGATGAAAGCCTGAATAGATACTATACAGACACAAGAGCAGTCTCACAGTTGTTTTGGGGGGTGAGTGATGTCCCCTGCAAGACTACACCGACTGACCACCATCTTTCCCCATTTAAGTGAATAGTTTAACCCCCCCAACGCCCCCTACCACCACTCTGTTCCCTGCCCCACAATCTCATTCAGTTCCAATCTAGGTTGGATTTCCTTTCACCATTTAGGAAGTACATTCATTGTCCCGCTCTGGGACTGATGTGACAGGAGCCTGTGATTGCTCGGGAAAGAAGGGGAGCTTTGTGTCAGGTGAGCTTGTTTTGTGGTGAGAATTGTAGCTGGGAGATGAGCTTTGGCTCCAGCCAGCTGAGCACAGTTGAATGCGTGTGTTTTCAACAGACAGCTGAAATCTTTTAAGGGCAGAAATTTGTTCACAGACACCCTCAAAAGAAACACTGTTAAATCATCTTTATTAACTTCTTTTAATACAGTATCATAGAAACACTGACGGAGAAAAAGACACTACACGAGAAAACGATCTGGACACCGACAACAGTAAAACAGAAGCTCTGAACACGTACAGTATTTACAAACGGGCTCAGCCCTTCTGAACTTTTGATATCAGCTCATCGCAGAGTTTTGTGAGCTCTTCTGCCTCCTTTTCCTGAAAAATAAAAATAGCACATTGGTATTATGTATATGCTCACGAGACTGTGGTGGTACATGAGGAAGGCCACTTGCCTTCTGGTCCAAGCTCTTCTCCAGTGACTGAACCTTCAGCTGCTCGCGCCGCAGCTGGGCCTGCAGGGCAGATACCTCCGCCTTGTATTTAGAGCGTACTTCGGCAATTTCCTCATTTGCTCTGACGACGAGAGAGAAATTTACAGTCGGTCAGTCTCTGCACTTGCCAAGTTTTTCTTTCCAAATTTAACACAAAAGCCAGGTCCAGTTTGGTTTCTTACTGGCCAATTTTCTCCTCTGCGTGAGCTTTCAGGGTCTGGTAGCGCTGCTCCTCCTTCTTGATCCTTGCCAGGTAGTCCTGGGCACAGGACTTCAGGGTCTCTTCGTTCTAGGAAAAACAGCAAAGAAAAATGTATTGTTGAAATCTCCTTTAACTTTTCTGAAATTGTATAAATAAATAAAATGCCAGTAGTTTCCACAAACTCTCACCTTTTTGTAACCCTCCACAACATCCTTATATTTCTCTAGTCTCTTAAAAAGTTCTGCGAAAGATCTCTCCATGGCGTTCAGGTCACTGGACACCTGCTCCTTCTCTAGCAGAGCCTCATTTAGCTTTGCCTTGGATACCTCCCTCTCCTTCTCCTGATCAACTGTAGTGTCCAAGATGAAAAAGTTAACTTATTAAAAGACTACCTAAATAACTTAAAACTCCTGAGTCTAGCGTGGACGGTGTTGACTTACAGATCATCTTTGCGATCATCAGCTCAAATTCTGCAATGATTTTCCTGCATAGAGGAAAAAAAGAAAAAAAGATGTCAGTTTGTTGTGATAATGATAGTCTAACATAATGGAGAACATAATAAAAGTTTACCTCATTTCTTGACCATCTTCGAGCAGTTTCTTATATTTAGCATTCCACTGGTCCTCCTTTTCTTTTGTCTATTTGAGAAACAGCACGAGTCTGTGTTTTAACAGCTACCAGTAATTGCATTATTTGACTACAAGTTCTTAATTTGTATTTTTCCAATGGGTTACATTTATATTTGTAGAGATCAACAACTAAAGAAACATTTGGAGGTTTGATTAAGAAAGAAAAATTAGATTTGAGAAGTGTTACTGGTCTGACTACAGTGCCTCCCGCTAAACAAATACACTAAAACAGAAAAAGAAAAAAAAAGTACCTCTGCCTGCTCTTTGGCAATTGCTGCATCCATGTCTTTCTGGCTGTACTTCAGCACTTCAATAATAGCGTCTTCTGTGTTTGCAGGCTGAGGAAAAGTTGGAACAAGGTTCTCAAGGATTGGAGTCTATAGACACAAAAGGTTATGGAGGGGAAAAAAGGGAAAGAAAGTTTTAATAGTGACACATTTTAGGATTAATTAATTTAGTAGGTTTAGCATTTTTTAAAAAAAAAAAAAAAAAAAAAAAAAAAAAAAAACTTACTGGTGGTGCAATATCCTCAAAGAGTTTGAGGCTATTCTTTTGTGGACCACTTGCCATCTCCTTATCAGAAGTCTGAAGAGTTTCTCTCCTATAACAACATTTTCAGATGTAAAGTTTTTATCATTTTGAGAAATATTTGTTTTCAAGAGCAGCGCACAGTGATAATCTCACAATAAAAACAGAACATTTACATACCGGGAGGCATAGGAAGACTTTTTTGGGCTCTCTCTCAGGAGGGGATCAAATTTTAGGTACAACGACTGTTTCCTCAGGGCAGACTCTTTAAACTGGTGACAAAAAAATGTGAACATTTAAAAAAACATTCAAGTGTTATATTAAGCGTCACAACATTCAGTGACCACATACAAAAGGCAGTACTTACACCGGTGGACCCAAACTGTTCAAGGTAGTCAAACTGCTCATCAAAGTCAGAGGCCATGACTGAAAAGGGGAATCATAAGTGACTAAAATGAAGCATTCAAAAACCAAAGATAGTCAACTCCACTGTCTAAACTGGGCTGCAGGTGAAATAACCTTTTCTGGAAGAGAATGGCTAATATTTACTCACACATAGTTCCAGGAACAAACTCCTCACTGAAGTCCAACATGGCCGCCTGAGGCTGCTGGTCAGGTTGAGACGGCAGACTGGACTCAGAGCAACTCTGAATCAGCTGCTCAGTTTCATGCTGAGGCCCCCTGTTATCAGTGATCTGTCATTCCATAAGAGCATAACAACTTTGTGAGGACAGACAAAAAACAAAACAGGAACTCTTGAAGATCGCATCAAACTGCACCAAAGCTTACCGCTGCAGGTTTGGGTTCAGTGACTGGTAAACCCTCTCCAGCACTACAGAGGGCAAAAGAGATTACAATTAAACTATATATAGTTATATGGAAAAGTTTATATAGTTTATACAGAAATCTTAGTTCCCACTGCACTGGATCCACAAATAGAAAGTTAGCTCACCACTCCATTGATCCAGCTTCTTTTTCTTTAGAATTGGGCGTATTTTCTTGATCAAATTCCATGAGCACTGGGTTGGGTTTGGTGATGCACCTCGGAGAGCCTTTCATGTTTACATTCGTTCCAAAAGGATTGAAATTCGGGTCATCAAACTTTTCAAAGTCAAAGGAGTAAGAGCCTTTGGGAACTGGAACTGCATCAGGCTCCACAGGAGCATCTTTTGCTGACATCACATCAGACGCTGGCTTTTCCTCCTTACGTTTGAGACCAAATGGTCGTTTGGCAAATTTCTTGGGCAGTGGTTTCTTCTTGACCTCAATTCCATCGCCAAAACTGAACTCCAGCTTGACCGGTGCTTCTTTGACTTGACCGTCACCTGGCTCTGACTCGGCCACTGGGGGCACGGTTGTGTCTACAGAGGCTGGAGCGGCCTCCGTCTGCACACACAACTTTTGCTCTGCCTCGGGAGCACCGTCACCGTCATCAGCGGCAGCTTTATTTTCAACAGCAGGGGAATCGCCCTTTATTTCCTGTCCCCCAGGAAGAGGTGAATTAGGAATTTTTGAACCCCCGGTCTGGAAGGGATTGATTGCGTCAAGGTTGTCAAAATCAAAGTTATAAGAAACTTTTTCTGAAGGTTGGACATCCTCCACCGAACTGCTGGTTGGTGCATCCTGAACAGAGCAGGCAGGCGACGTGGGGAGGGGCTTTTCATCAGGCGTCGCTGTGCATGAATCCCGTTCCTCAACCATTGGGACATTCACCGCCGTCACTGTGACCACACTGCTCTCTGTGGAACTGATGTCAGCCAGCGAATTCTCCACAGACGGGGTGAAGGGAAGTGTGTCGTCTAATGAGGGTTCAACCTTTTTAGGCTCTTCCAGGACATGTTCTGGTGCTGGTTGATGAGTGTCAGTATGATGTGGGGGAGGATGCTCATCGGTTGGCTTTGCAGGAGAAAGGGCCATCTTGTCAGACCCTTGAAATGGATTCATTTCATCAAGGTTGTCAAAATCTAACTGGTAGCCACCTTTGCTTTGAATTGGCATGTCGTCATCAGGATAAGAGGACAACTCTGTATAGAATATAAAGAGTACTTCGGTTAGTTTCTCTGCACTGTTAATGTAATCACAAAATAACCTGCTTAGAATCAGACAAAATACCTTGTTTGGGCTGCCCTTGTTGTTCCTGTGGCAAAGTGCTAGAAAAACAAAACAAAAACAGTTACGTAAAAGCACAACTCGGATTTGCAAGCATGTTGGAGGATATGTTATTTACTTTGATTGATCTATATTTAAGGACTCCAAAGATTTTGTACACTCATCCACACTGGACATCTTGGCAGACTTGCTGGGGGAAAGAATTCTTTTCGTCACAGGGTCTCTTCTTGGAGTCTGAAAACAAACCTAAGCAAAACGATTGTTGTTAGTATAATAAATGATATCTTAATGCAAAAAAAGAGAGGTCGACCCATATTTTCTATTATTATATTTGAAACATTTCCAACTACATTCCAACTGAAAGAACACTATTTTCAGTGTACCGTCAAATATAATGACAGCAAAACAAAACAAAAAGACAAAGATAAAGTGGAATACAATAGCCAAGTGAATATATTTAATAATTTTAGTTTCTGAACCTTCATCCCCTTTGGAACGGTTTTGCTGGGCAAGTTCTCTGACTGACGTAGGATGGATGGCCTCCCAGTTGGTTGATCCAAGTCAAAGATGTCCTGACTTAAGCTGTTGTGCCTTCCTCCTGGGATGACCCCGCAGTTTTCATCATTTACCTCGACAGAAGTCATCCTGTAAAAGCAGCGAGACAAACTGGTAAATGACAGGAATTTATCGGCTGTTTTCGGAGGGAGGAGTCACGTTGAAAGCTGCACTAAACTGATAAGACACTTTTGGCTGTATTTTTTTCCCTCCTTTGGGGGAGATGAGGGTAGATGGTGTCGAAAGAGTTTGCACTCAAATCAGAACACATAGCACAGTGCTAATTTACTACTAAAGGTAAAATCATTTTTATTTGCATAATTTTAGAAGATATTACAATCCTTTTGACTGAGTAGAAAGAAAAGCAATCAGTTGCTTACTTTGATTGTATGAGCCTCCATTAGTAAATTAAGATTTAAAGTAAGTAATTAAGCTTTAAAATAAATACTATACAAATGTTGGCCATTATAATGATATTAATGACAAGAAACTACTTTTCTTTGTAAAATATCAGCACCTTCACACTTTGCCCACCAGAGGTCACTGATTGCTTAATTCTTCAAATTCTAAATGGTTAGCAATATCTTTATTGCATCTTCATGGAAAAAAAGAGGAAAAAAACAGAAATGCAGTTTTTGTTCATGTTAAAAAGGACGTATCCATGGGAGGTTATACCAGTGTCAACAAGTATTTGTATTTAGAGCTTCACAAGAGACAGCACCCATCATAATCTGCCGGATTACAAAAAACAAAAGAAAAAGTAAATGTATACGGATTAATTGAAGAACAGAGAACAGAAAATCCGCCAAACTTTGAACATTTGGCCTCAATTTATACAGTTTATCTGGCATAAACTGGGTCATTGGCTTGGGTTTTGATGACAGCACATATTATACACCTGAGCTAAAGGGTAACACGAGTTTTTCCAATAACCTGTTGTTACATCCTGACTGATAACGATGTTGTGTCTATGTAAAGTCACCCATGTCTTTTTCCATACAAAGCCACAAGTACACAAGGAGCAAAACAATGTGGACAGCTATTAGCAACACAGTTAAATCAATATGAATTTATAACTTTTTAAACTGTTTACCAGCTGAAGTCAGACGTACCACTGAAAATTCCAACAACAAATTCAGACTGTTGGACAGATTACATGCGTTAACTGTTAACTAACAACACCAACTTTAGCGAGCAGTCGGCAAAGGTTAACTGCAGTAAAGTAAAGGAAAAGGGAGACACAAATGTACAACTAAAATAAATTGCATTGTAATAACCACCTACCTAAACACATTAGATCCTGCTGACCGAAGTTACAGCCTCTTTCTCCAAAGATTTCAACAGCACACTGACAAGTTGGAATACTGTCCTTTTGAAAATCCCTCGCCAGTCTTCTTGGAGCTATAGCCGTTTGGAATTTAAAAGTCTTGAAACGCACCAATAAAATTGCTCAAAATGTTTAAACAAAATGCTCTTCCGGGTTGCACAGCCAATCACACTAAAGAACGGAAATGGTTGACCTATAACAACCCCAGAAATGACGTACATACCACGACGGTTGTTGCTTTTCTCTCTTTTATTCCCCAGTTTAAGTACATTATTAAAATATGTGTTCGTTCAAAACATTAGTATATTACTAATGACTATAGAAACATCGAAACAATTTAAGAAAAAAGCAGGACAACAAAATGAACCACTCCTGTTAAAATACGTAGATACCGTTTTGTAATGGCACACTCTAGTCTGACGGGAGCAGTGTTGCTCTGCTGCTGCATCTAATCTACCATATCAACGAAGAAGAACGATAGGTTTACGTGCCCGCCAATTTTGAAGGTTGTAAACAATGTCGGCTATCTTCTGACCCTCGTAATCGACATGCTGTGAAGAAAATACCACTGACCTCGTCAACGGTTTAAACGGCTTGGAATAGCAATGAATTCTAACGGCAAAGGTAGGGCACTTGTTTATGTTAGCAAGCCAATATGCTTTCAACAAAACAATTAGTTGCTGTTTTTAGAAGGGTGTCACTTTAGCAAGCTAGTAAGTGGCTTGCGGCATGATATTGCTATGATGCACGCAAAATTAAAATGAATTTAGTAAAAGTATTTTAAAGCAAATACAAGGATGGGTGATCGATCAATAAGCATTTTACCGATTCATATTCGTGCAGCTATTAATATCTGCTTAAGTAATGAAAATACGTTTTAATAATTTCACAATTCTCTTAACAGGAGCTGGAGATTCAACTTTGCTTGCTGCCAGGTAATGATAATCAAAGACAAAGTTTTATCCACACATACCTCACGACATTATGGCTCAGTTTTTAGAGACTAACGTTTCCAAATACTACTGATACTAACTACAGGGCTATGTAGGCTGTTATGTCGATAAAACTAGAATAATGTCAGCATATGTTTGTTTTGTTTTTCCTTAGCCGTGGGGGAAAGCAAGCACTTGAATTAAACATTAATGAAGTACATTGTAGTAAACTACTTTTTTTATTTTATTTTAAACACCATGGCTTTAATCATTTCTGTATTTCTTGTCTAAATTGTAGTGGGGATGGCGACTCCATTAAAGTTTTTGTCCGAGTACGACCTCTGACCCAGGGGACTGGGCTGACCACAGATGGGGATCAGAGTCTGTGTCTCATGGTCACCTCACCCAGCACTATCCGTTTGCTTTCAAAACCAGAACCAAGAACTTTCACCTATGATCATGTGGCGGATATGGACACATCTCAGGTTTTAACACATAGAAACAGTGTTTTTAAAAATAACATTTCGAACTGACCAACTAAGGGAAGGATTAACTCGTCTGAAAATAATGGATCTTTGTTTGTCATCTGTCTGTCTACAACAGGATGCTGTATTCAACAGTGTGGCCAAGAATATTGTTGAATCCTGCATAAATGGATACAATGGAACTATATTTGCTTAGTAAGTGAGTTTTCTAAATAAATTCTGGCATTTTACCAAATTGTGAATTCCTATTTTATTTAATCAGATAATTTGTGTTTTGTTTCAACAGTGGACAAACGGGGTCAGGAAAAACCTTCACCATGCTTGGTGAGAAATGACTGATACTTGATATAAAGAAAGTCAAAGATCAAGAAAAAGTAGTCACATGTTTTTTTACTCTCGCTTCAGGGCCATCTGAGTTGGATAACTTCACAGATGAACTGAGGGGAGTTATTCCTCGAAGTTTTGAGTATTTGTTTTTTCTCATCAACCAAGAAGTGGAAAGGGTGGGTTTCACAATTGAACCACCATGATGTTGTAGATCAAAATGTTGTTTCTGCTTTTTTTCTAATAAATCTGCTGCTTCTTTTTTTTCTCTATTAGTCTCCCAAGTCCAAGAGATTCCTTTGCAAATGTTCATTTATTGAGATATACAATGAACAAATTTATGACCTCCTGGACACAGCCTCTGCCAGCCTTTTTCTCCGAGAGAACATCAAGAAAGGTGTTTTTGTTGAGGGAGCTGTGGAGAAGTTTGTGAGCTCAGCACCTGAAGCTTATCAGGTAAATACTTCTCTGTAGCATCTTACTCAAAATTACTCTTAATAAAATTGTTGAAGATTTAGAGCCGAACCCTTCCATTATTGAATTGTATTAAATTTCTTGGTTGAGAAAAGAATATTATTGTCTGTGTCTTCAATTATCATATTAATTTATTTTCTGTTTTTTTTTTTCTAGGTGCTATCTATGGGCTGGCGAAATCGACGAGTAGCCTCCACTTCTATGAACCGAGAATCCTCGAGATCTCATGCAGTTTTCACCATGACTTTGGAGTCCAAAGAGACAATCAACGAAGTGGTGAATATCCGAATGTCTCAGCTCAACCTGGTTGATCTGGCAGGTTCCGAGAGACAGAAAGACACCCACACAGAGGGCTCGAGGCTTAAGGTAAAGCTTTCTGTCAGAATGCTCTCATTCTGTGGTGTTTTTTTGTGTTTTTTGGTTGTTGTAACGGTATGCATAACTTTTTTGGCAGGAGGCCAGCAGTATCAATCGCTCACTCATGTGCTTGGGCCAAGTGATTATGGCTCTGGTGGACGTCTCTAATGGGAAGAATCGTCACATCTGCTACAGAGATTCTAAACTCACCTTTTTGCTCAGGGTAAGGGTTTTATTATGGTGTAGTTCAGGTTTTCTTATGGAATCTGAACAAACTGTTTATAGTACTATATTTTCAAACACAGTGTATTACAAGTTACCATTTTTCTTTTTGTTTCAGGACTCTCTCGGAGGAAATGCCAAAACTTACATCATAGCTAATGTCCATCCAGGTTCAAAGTGTTTTGGGGAGACATTGTCGACTCTACACTTTGCCCAGAGAGCAAAGTTAATAAAAAATAAGGTATGCATCATAAAACTGAAGATCTCCCAAATTAGACAAAAAACTGAATTTTTCATAATTCTTTTCAGGCTGTCATCAATGAAGACACACAGGGCAACGTGAGGCAGTTACAGGCTGAGGTTAGGAAGCTGAAGGAACAGCTTTCACTGGCGCTTGCTTGTCCGGGAGTTGACAGCGGAAGAGATGTTGCACCAGGAGGTCCTGAACTCGCCATGGGTAACAATTTTCAGTTAAAAAAAAAGATCAAAAAGCTAGCATGAAGCCTTTAAACTGATGATAGCGTTTTAAAGTCTTCTTTTTAAAAGCCTTTTAAGCAACAAAATGTTTTCTTTTTTTCAGTGTCATTTGTTGAAAATCAACAAAACGTCTTGTATAAACCAAAGTTTATGTCTGCTGTTCGTCTCTGGAAGAGGCTAGATGATGAGAAGAGGGTGAGGTCTTTTTCATTTATGTAGGAAATTGTTGTGTTTAGGGACCAAACAGTTGGTGCAAGGCACTAACCGATACATTTGACTGCACTCAGTTGCTGCTCAAGAAGGTGGCTCAGCTCGAGGAGGCCTGGACTCAAAAAGACAAGTTCATCCACTCCAGCAGAATGATCATCAGGTTTCGTGAAGACCACATCTCTCGCCTTGAGAAAACGCTGAAGGAAGGACAAATTTCTTCGTCAGACATGCAGTCACAGGCTGTCATTGATCAACTGAAAGAAGAGATTAAGATTTTGAGAGATCAGGTAAAATGTCAAGCCAATTGAACCTTTTCCAACCAGCTGCTACATTTAAGACTTATCGGCATCAGGTGCAGTGATCCCCTAACATCCCACAGCTTTCTCATATTTTCTTCAGAAACTTCAATCATTTACTATTTTTTGTCTTTAACAGAAGAAGAAATTATCTAGGCAAAATATGAACATTTATTAGAAAAATAGCCATAAAGGCATACAATCTTTTTTTTTTTAACAGCCATTATGTCTTTTTCTTTCCTCACGCTTTCTAAGGTTGAGCACCATCCAAAGATGACTCGATATGCAGCTGAAAATTACAGCCTGAGAGAAGAGAACCGCCAACTGCGTTCTCTGGAATCAGTGATGAAAGCTGAAGAGGTTGCAGAGCAAGTTGGAGTTGAGTTGGAAGAAGCCTTTCAAAGGGCTGTGGAGTCAGAAAGATGCACAGAAAGTATGACGATTCATCATCAATTTCCAAAAGATTTAATAAAGGTTTAAATAGATTTTGATTGATTTTGTTTTGCTCCAAAGCTTCCGCAGTATCGTCAACTTCTGCGACAGCGGTCGCAGTGTCTGCAGCCACGATTGAGAAGCTGAATGCTAAACTGCTTCAGAAACAGTCTGACCTCACAGCAGCCCTGCAGGCCTTTGAGGAATACAAAGAAATCTCCAAGTAAGCAGACTGTTTGGTCATGATTATCCGAAAAGGCTTAACAAATGTTTAGGAAAAGAAAAGACAGAAGTCATGCTAAAACCATTACTCATCCTGAAATTCTTGTACTATGAAGTTAAGCAGATGTTTGTGAGCTCACGCCGATTTAACGGGATGCATTTTATTAAGTCAGCATAGTGTGTCTTGTAGAACTTGAAATGTTTCTTTTTGCTTCAGGAAACAGCTGTCTCAGTTGGAGTCTGAGAAAAGATATCTCGACAAGTCCAACAGGCATTTGGAAAACATTTTGGAGGCCACACACACTTATAAAAAACAGGAGGTCTCTGAACTTAACAGAATCCACGTTGAAACTATAAAGGTGAGAAATGACTTAAGAATTAGAATATGCTAAAAACCTGCAGCACACATGCTGTTGCATAGTTTCTATGTGAAAAATTGTGAAAATGATCCAAACTGTTGTACCAGATTCTCACCACGCCCACCAAAGCGTACAACCTGCGGTCCCGCCTTGTGCCACTCGCCAGTCCAGAACACCTGAACGGGAATGACGATGATGGAGAAAACATTTGGGCGGAGCAGCCTCCATCAGACATGACTGAGATGGCTTTGACAGAAGAATTGCGTCATGTACAGGTGAAGTATTGCAGATTATCCTCTACATAAGAAAAAGTAAAGTTCCTGCACTTAAAATTAAAAACCTTTCTGACATCAGGATCAAGTGAGTCAATTCCAGACGCAGTTAAACGAAGAGGAGCTGAAGAACAGCAAATTACTTCAGCAAGTTGCAAAACTTGAGGAGCACATTGCCATGAAATCTAAAGAAGCTGACCACAAAGATGAGGTAAAAAAAAAAAATTAATTTGATTACTGAATTTGAATGAGTTTCAGTGAATTTGCAGTTTTCTTATTATTCATAATTTTTACAGCAACTTTCTGCTGAGCGAGCAAACAGGAGCAAAGATCAGCTTGCCTATGAAGACACTGTAAACAACCTTCAAACGCGCCTTCAGTCTGAGCAGCAAGCTGCAGCCGGTTGGTCTCCAGCTTTTCCTTTAAGCTTATTTCTGAAATCTTAATGGTCGTTGGGAACTATTCAATTTCTGTTTCGACTTCACTTAACAACGATCTGTGTTCTCCTTTCAGTTCTGAGGAGCGAGATACGCGATCTCCGTCTGGTACTGCAGTCATCCGACAAGGAACTGGCCTCTGCGAAGAGCGAGCTCAAAGGTGGTCTGAGTGAGCATCGACAGGAGATGAGTCAGCTCTCCAACAGCCTGATCAGTACGCAGCTGCAGCTCGACAAAGTCAAGTAAGGAAGAGTTCACTGTGCGGTGCTACGTTTTTCTTGATCTGACGCATTTATTAGCGAGTGCACAATTTCACTATTCCAGGCTGGAGTGGGAGCAGCTTCTGGAACAGCATCGAATTCTGCAGGATTCGTTTGAGCAGCTGCAAGCTGAGGCCAAGTTTGAGGCTGATCAGGCAAGACAGCAGCTGCATGACCGGCAGCAGGAGATCGATCGGCTTAAAGCAGAGGCCAGGGTATGTTTTTGTCCTGAAATGCTGCCATTTGATGACTCAGCTGTCATCTAGTCTTCCAACATATTTCTGATTTTTTAAAAAACTTTTTACCGAAGGATTTGGATAATTCTCTGCAAGCTGAGCGAGAGCGAATAGGCAGCTTGACCTCCCAGCTACTAGAAAACAAAGAAAACACATCAAAGTGAGTTTTGAACACTTTAAGTAGCAGTAATTCTTCTTTCATTAGATTTTATAAAAACTGGTTGCTTTATTTTATTTATTTATTTTTTTTTAAGAGAACTTATTGAAACGATGGAGCAGAACACACAGCTCAGAAAACAAGTGTCGGATGCAATAACACAAAATCAACAACAGGTTGGTCCAAAGAGCAGCGTGCACTTCTCCAACTTGAGGACAGTGACGATCAAAGCAGTAGCCAATGCTTAGTTTTAAACCCTGTCTTATTTTTGTTTCAAAGTCATCCCAAGTTGCTGATCTGGAGCAGAATTTGGCTGCTGCCAATGAAGGGATAAAAACCTTGGAGCAGAAGATTGAACAGGACAAAGTATAAATACATTTCTTTTTTTTCTTTTTTTTTATGTGGCGCAGTGTGTTTGCTGTCCTTCCTGAATAGCTCTGCTTCATATTTGACAGGATGTTCTTGTAGACCTAATGAACCAAACCAGAGAGCTCCGTGGTGAGCTAAGCCAGAGAGAGGAGACCATTGGTCATTTGACTGAAGACCTCAAGGACATCACAGTACTCAAGCTCTTATTATACCTTTTATCTGCCTCAAATACGTCCACCAAGTAGCCTTTTTACCAGAATAGTGTCACTGTTTTCCAGGAAAAATACAATTCTGCCTGCCTTGAAAGGGAGAACACCAAGGAGCAAAACTCCAAGATGCAGACAGAAATATGTGCCCTGAAAGAAAGTTCAGACAGGAGGGAGGCATCCAACAAGATAGAGGTAATGTAATGTTTAAACGAGTAGATATGTTTGGAGCTTTTTTGGTTCTTGTTGAGTGATCCATATCACAAAAGATTTGGTTAAATGAGAAGTCTACAACTAAAAGGACTGTAATGTGTTTATGTCTGTAGGTTGAAGTATTGCAGGAGGAGATTTGTTATGCCACCGAGGAGGTTGAGAGGCTAACTAAAGTCTTAGGTGAGCAGGACAGTCTCCTCCAAACATCTCAGGAGCAAATGGCCCAGAAGGACGTCATCATAAAGAACCTAAAACAGAAGGTAAAAATGAGCTTTGATGAGTGAAATTCCCCTGGTCAATAACGAAAAGTGAAATGTAACTCCTTTTCCTTACAGCTGCAACAACAGCAGGAGTCTGTTGAGAAAATGGTCAGAAATGGAGGTTTCAATCCCGCTGAGCAAGCGCGCACACCCAAATCATTTCCTCGGGTAAATCTGCTTTATGCTTTCACCATTAATAAAAATGAACAAAAAAAACTACAAAATATTGCCTCATTTGTCTTGTCATCATAATACAATTGGCATTTGTTACTAATGCAACACAGGAGCAAATGTCGTAATTTTTTTTCTAATTTCTGTGTCTGAAGACGCCCTGTACCCCCGGCAGCTTCAGCAGAGATCTCACTCAGGTGTTAGAGAACCAGGAGCGAGAGCTGGAAAGCAGACGCTCCTCCATGATGACTATGGAGATTCTTCTAGCTGAGATGAACGCTGAGAGGGCCGCCAAGAATGATGAAATCCAAAGGCTCAAAGTACTGTGTATTACACAAACCTAAAGTTATTCTCAGACAGGCTGATTTACAGCACAGAAGTTTGGCTGTTTTCAGTTTAGTCAAAGTTTTTTGTAAGGGCTTCATTTTCTTTCTGGAAAGGAATATTTTAGTTTTTTTTATTGTGTGAACAAACATATTTACTTTAAACTACTGTTTTTATATGGTGTTATCTTTTCTTAGGTGGAGCTGACTGACAAAGAAATGGTTCGAATGGAGATCCAGGGATTGCTTGACAAGTTTTACACCAAGCAGAGTAATATGACTCAAAATGAAAATATTAATAGGTTTGTATTCTTTGTCAGTTCATTCAATTAATTCACCACATCTATGAATTACAGAATAAATAAATGTAATTGTTTAATTTTTTTAGTGAGGAGTTTAATGGAGCCATCAGACAGGCCATGCTCAAAGAGCTGCAGGAGGAGCGAGCAGAGAAGGTCTGCATCTCTTTCTCTGCTGGTCTTGTTGATTCTGTTGAGTGAATGTTTTATTTACTACGTGTACTACTGTTATCCATTTTTCCAGAGCAAAATAATGCAGAAACTTTCAGACACTCAAAAAAGGTAAGACCCTGTGTTGATTTCGTGTTTCATGCCATCTCAGACTTTTTGGGACACCTGGAAAAACTGGACTTTTCTGTTGTTTCTTTTCTTGTTTGGAGTAGACTTCAAATGCAGGAGTCTATGTTGGCTCAATCTCAGACCTGCGTTCAAGAGCTGACGTCTGAGCTGAGGAACCGCTGTCTAGAAGTGAGAGACCTGAGCCAGAGGATACACGATGAGGAGAAACTGCTCCAGGTGAGGCTCAAGCTGTACAGGTAGTAGCAATAGAAATATGCTAATTATTATTAGTCGATGAAGTGTCTGACCATTAAATTCAGCACAACATAGTTTTTTATTTATAGATTATTGTGGTCAATTATTGACTTACTCATGATATTTGGAATCAAATCCAAAAATGACATTTGTAATGTTTTTTAAGTCATTACACTGGCAATGCTTCCCCCCTTAAGCCAAAGATTGGAGGTTTCCAGCTTTCCTGCTTCAGACAGCCGTTAACAACATGTTAATGTTCTATTATGACCAAATGAGTGTTACCATCTCAGGATGTTATCATAAACGTTTGATGTTGAGGATAAACATTAGCACAACAGATATTAAAGAAACCAGGATTGGATTTAAACAAGATTTTCTGCTTTTGTCGTACATTAACGTTCATCCAGGAGAATGAGGTTCTTCGTAAGCAGAACGTGAAGCTTTCAGAGGAGAATGGAAAACTTGTGGGACACAAAAACCACAAGCAGAGGATTGAATACCTTGTGAAGCTCAAAATGGCAAACACCAAACTGCAAGAGGTAGCTTGCATTTCGAATATTTCAAAAGACAGTATTAATATGTTCTGAATGATGGGAACCAATTTTGTTAATTAACTTTGTGTATCGTTTGTTTTTAAGGACAATGAAAAGCTCCGGACAGAGATTAGCTCAATGCGAGAGAACCCAGGGTGTTCACCGCTGGACTTAATGTGAACCTCTTTTGTGACTGAACCATGATAATCTTTCCCAGTCTAAAAGTGTTTATTTTTATACCTTTACCATTTGAATAAACTGTTATTGTTTCACATACAAAGAAACTGTCGTTATAGCATGTCTTTTCTCTGCAGTGCTGATCAAAAGTCTCAATGGAATCAGACATACCTTTACATCAATCTGTAAATATAATAACGATGACATTAACTTCCATGAGTGCCAGTCCAGTTTTTGTTGGTCTTGTTTGGATAAGTTTGATGTAAATTTGTATTTCAGGTCACGCTGTTCTCAGGATGCACATGTTTGTGTTCTTAAATGTGTCTGTATTTGTATTTGTCTGGTGCTCTGATTTTTGACCAACCATTGGTTTTTTGTTCATGGTATTGTTTGCTGCCCGTTATCCATCACACTTGGGTGCAAAGCATAATTAATTCTTTTTTAATACTGTAATTAAATTTTAACTTTACCTCCTATAGTAATATGTTTTGACTCCTCATGCTTTTTGTGTTATCTCTGTTGGAAAAAACAAGTTATATTCTATAAGATCAGAAAACTTAGATAAACATCCAAAATAGAAAATGTTGTACGTTCAGTTACCAATAGAAAGCATTTATACATATATATACATATAGATAGATATAGATACATGCCTTGAGATGATTGGAACTGTATTAAAGTAACACGAGTCACTAAGGAGGGTCAAGATATTATAATTATGATGCTAAACAAAAAACAATAAAACATCATAGTCAGTTTCTTTGCTTATCTTAACATATTCAGGACTGATTAATAAAATAATTCTTATATGGAAAATAACTCAATTATGGCAAATTGGCACTTCAAAGATTTAAATTCTGACAATTATTGCTAAATTGATAGTTTTTAAATTATTTAACCGAAAAAGATGGAAAAATAATATGTAGGTGTTTTGTAGGGAGTTAAAGGTTTGCCAGTTTGAAATGCAATAAAGGGCACATTTCATGGCTCATCCTTGATATTTTCGTGACAAAAAAAGTTATGTGGAAATATATAATTTACTGTCGATTTTTTTTCAATAAAAAAATCCAAGGCACTAAGTAATCAAACTTGCATTTAAAGAGTTAAAAACATGTCATTTAGTTTTTGTCCTGAACGACACTTTAGGGTAGTCAATTAAACACCTGAGGGTTAATGAAAATTCCTGCATCAGAAAATATTGCGCAGTGGTAAAATATGTTATTATTTACATAGTTTTACTAATTGACGGTTTTCAATAAAGGTAAGATTAAGTGGGAGAGAGGAGGGGGCGCGCGCTTCAACATTGACCGTTACTTCAACGGGCAAACATGCGGCGACGGCGGTAATCCTAAACACCTGCAACATGGAGAAAGCTTTTACTGCCGAGAAAATATCGGACTGGTTCACCTCTGGGTCGCTTTTTGGTGAAATTAAACTTACCGACGAAGTGGCTGAAAAGGAGTCTGGTAACACATCCTCCAAAGAGACCAGGTGAGAAGTTAAGATTTATCTTTAGCTTAAACCTGCTAACTATGTGCTACCTAGCCAAAAACTTCACCCCTCACGTGGAACTTGGGTTTTCAGCATGACTTTGACGGACGAACTAGCACAGAAGACTGTGCTAGTTAACGTCTCCTTGTATATGTGAATTACATAACTTAAAATATGATAAATGGCTGAAGACATTTCTTTCCGTTTCACCACGTGGAAATATGCATTTCATTTTCTAAAAAAAAATCATTTTACGTTCAATTTATTTATTTATTTATTTTATGGTATCTATGTATTTTACCCTCTTATTGGGTCATTCCAATTTTAATTAAAAGTCCTGATTAGTCAAATTGTTATATGGGCTCCAGAAATGCTAAAATGGCATCTAACTGTGAAGTAAAAAAAAAAAGCATGGGATACCTGTTGCATGCACTGATTACCAAATCAGTTGTGAAGCTTATAAAAAAAATCGTTTGCTTCCTTGCAGTGGAAAATTTGGTTTAACATTTGGTTGTGAGAATTAGAAATTGTCTGAGATATCATTTTAGAGGCTGTTCATAAACTGAGTATAGAACACAATCTGTGCTTTAAGAAGGACAACAGCCTGAGATCAAATAATATGTAAACCTAAGGTATACTTACAATCCCTCTACTTAATTTATTTTCCACTTCATGACATGTTCATATGTAAAAATTTTCTCCATTAGACATATTTTGGAACATATTTTTAAACAATGGTGCCACTGAATAAGTGCCCACATGACAAAAAAAACAAACTTTTCCATAGTAGTAACACAGACAAAATATCATTTTTGGCAGATTTATTTTTTCAGTTTGTTTCTAGTAGATTTATTGATAGTATAAGAAATGAGACGTTGGAAACTGATTGGTAAAAATATTTACTAAGTTGTCCCTTTCTCCATCTAGAGTATTTGATGTTAATTCTTGTGTTTGCTGTTGTACAATGAATTGAATGAAACAACAATCGCACTAGCCTCTGTTACAGAGCTGTTACAAAGTAAAGACATCTTTCGACTAAAAAGCTCGAAAAAAACATCTGCATTTTGTACCTGATCTATGTAACTACATGACATTCTACCTTCTGGAAATTAATCCAAAATAGATTAGGTCTAACTGGACTTTATTATCCGAATTACATCAACCAGTCGCCCCATTAAGAAAGGAATTTGGAAAAGAACAATATCAAAACTACTCAATGCTATTTTTTATATAAAGGTGTTCAAACATTTACTAACACAGGGTCATCACAAACTTTGAATGTCTACAACAAATACAAATAATTTATTCATGTCAATGCTATGGATCAGATGCTGGTTTTCTAATGTGAAACGTCTGAATTAGCCAGGCCAAGTGTGTTTCCTCTCACAGCGTTGTGCTATACGCGCCTTTGGGCTTGAGGGGTGATGGATAGAAGTATGGAAGGTCCCAGTCTTTCTTGAGACAGAAAGAACCTGGCTGACGCATGGCCCGATCCACATATCCAGAGACTGTTGGGATCTCTTCTCTTGGGTGTTCTCCACAGTTGGGGACTGTTGGCGTGACAAAGCCTTGCTTAATTTTGTAACGGCTGGTCCATGCCTCCATTGGTCTGAAGTACTTTGGCTGCAATGAGACGTCATCCTCTTCATCATAGTATCTTTGGCTCAGGAAGTCCATCAGAACCTGCTTAAAGACAGAGGCCAACTCCCAGGGCCTGACGTTGTTGGTTGCGAGCACCTCTCGAAACCTACGAAAAAATGGACATCAGTTTAGTTTGTTTAAAAAATGTTGCTGTAACAATGCATTTTATGTCCTTACAGTATGTTCATAATATTTGAGGCAGTAGCATGCTGTGCTTATGTTTTTCACCTAAGAAAAAAACAAGAGCTTTTTCAGAAGCTTTTCTGAGATTCAAGAATGACATATCTGGGACAAATGTGCTGCTTTTTGGCAATAGTGAAAAAGTAAAACATAACTCAATGAAGTGTAAAGTGGTTATATAAGTGCACAATAATGACCTGGTACTAAGCTTTATGGGTAATAAGTAAGTAGGTCACTCAGCTGCTGAGCCATGTACTTTCCGACCTTTTTCCCATGCAGACTAGCCGACGAGAGGAAACCCCTCTAGTCTGGCTGCTCTCAGCCTTACAGGGCATCTTTCACCTTCACATGTTAACACCCCAAATCGTCTGTGTCTGACAGTAACGCGTAATGACTTTCTTGGCAGTTTGCCCTGCTTTCCTTTCCCTTTGGGTCTTCTTTGCTTTGCCTGTGTTGATACAGTAGCAGCTAGACACTGTTGACAGCATACTAGTGTTAGGAATGAGAAAGACATGGTTGCTACCAAACACCTGGTGAGGACGGTGGCTGCGTGGATAGGTGGGACCTGGGCACACAGAAACTCCAGTTGGTGTAGTTCCGATGAGGGAATGAGGGTTCGTAACCGGGGGTACTTTTGAAACCAGCGGAGACCCAGGGCACTGTGGGCCAACCTGTGCTCCCGCTCTAGTTCTCGGGCCAGACGTTCCCGTTCCTCCACATGCCACAGGAGCTCAGTGATCAGCACACGGCTGGGTACAACCCCTGAGCTGTTCAAAACTTCATCATGAGTCTGCTCCCTTGTCTCATGCGACCACCTCATCCAGCTGAACAGAGGCATGGCACTCACTGGAAGCAACCCTCAAAAACTGAAAAGGCAACAATCATGTCAAGAATTTCATCTGCACCATTTTAATACATCTGAATATGTGGGAATGTCTGCAGCTTCAAACTACAGCACAAAGCAATATTATACTTAGGACAATTTTATTCATACATTTGAGGTGGAAAAAGAAAACATGCAAAGAGAGGCAGAAATTCCTGACCATATTTCAATCGTTCGTACTGAAATCAGGTCACCCTTTGAACTTGAAAGAAAATTACTCGAATTAGAATCATAAAATGTATATATATATAAAGCAATATTGTGTATTTTGTTTTTTTTGTCCAGTATTTTATAACTGATGTGAAAGATGATCACAGCATAACCAATCTGACCTCTGCTCCATGAGTGATGGCACTCTGATTGCTATCACTTCAAGTGAATGATGCACAAATGTACGCACCAGATGATGATCAGGTGTGTATATTTGGCTCTTTATTCAAGCTGATGAATCCAGGACAGTTTCCACCTGGGATTTGGATTCATTGTAAAGCCTGAAGGGTCAGAGGTCAGAGGCTGCACAGCAATGCAGGTATCACATTATTTATGCTCTTCAGAAATATTAAGTACAGTTTGTAAGCTGCAAGCCTGTCAACATGAGCAGCTAGAAATGCACTGCAAATAAAAAGCTTAAAATTCAAAGGAAAGATCTGTACTCACGACTAAAAACTGCACTGCCAACACTTGTGTGAGCTTTTTAGAAATTTGGCAAAGAGGAGTTTTTCACAGAATGCAGCCTCCGGCTTCTTGCTTCCATGGATCAGCCTTAGTAAACTCCTTTGCTCGCTTTCGACTACGTCCTCTGGTGTCAAATGCTAAATTTCGACAGCACTCCTCTTCCACCTTGAATTCTTCCTTCCTTTTTGTCTTGTCGTTATTGTCCAACTGCTCTTGTCATGGCGACTATATCCAGGAGAGTTAGTCACACACTGCTAACTGACTAAGAGCTGTCACCTCTCCTATCCTTTCACCCCACTCTCTGTGCAGTGTGCAGCTTTGTTGTAAGGTCAGCTGCTTTGTAGCTTGCACGAAATGTGTGCATTGGAGAGAAAGAGACGATGGGAGTGCATGTGTGTGCACAAGCCGTGGGTGTGTTATATTTCAGCTCCTCTTAGTACTGTCAGTTAGTGCTGTGTGTGCCTGCTCAGAATACGAGAAGTTCACACAACCGAGGATGCTCCTGAGGCCAAATCGGACATGGTCGAGCTTACCAGAGGGAAAGTCGAATGGCTGGCATAAGAAAAGAGTCTTGCCCACCAATATAAAGTAGGAATTGTGACAAATGGCGAAATCAACAGAGAGGACGATTTTCAACCACTTTAAACACATTAAAGAACATGAACACTTTAAACCAGAGGTGCCAAAATCCAGTGCTTCAACAAACCTGATTTAATCAGAATCAGGTGTGTTGAAGCAGGAAAACTTCTCAAACTTACAGAATAGTTTCCCTTGAGAAGAGGTGTTGGCTACCCCTGCTGTAAACGAACATACTCTGCCCTTTCTGAGAATTGTTACATTTTTAGTTCGGCTGGTAAAAATGGCAGAACATGAAGTACTACATGAGCATTTCATCCTCTTCTTCACATAAAATAGCATTTCAATTTACACCAAACCTAATTGTTGCTGAATTGATCTTGAGTCGTTTGATTACTTGGAAAGGAAAATATAACCAGTTCGATATGTTTTCATCCCCAATGTGAAAGGTCTTTTCCCATTTAACTCTTGCTCATGCTGTTTAAGAGTAATTTTAGCCTTAGAAGGAGAGAGAGAGATTTGTTATGGTATTTTTTTCCCTGTCTTTAGAAATTTGTTGACTTTTATCGTTGTGCACATTTTAGTTTAGCAATTCAAATCAAAGCATGACTTTGACTCAGCAGTTTTGGTCTTTAGGGACTTATTGTGGGCTATGCAAGTATTTATAGCTTTTGGAAGCAAGTTTTCAGATTCTTAAAATAATAATATACACTGCTTGAAATTCTTAATTTTTTCTTTTATCATTTAGCTCAGCAAAGCCTGTTGGTGAGGACAGTCTGAACTCTGATGGAGGAAGGTTCCAGAAACCAGAACCTACTGGGTTAAGTAATTAATTTTATGATTGCTTTTTTTTTTTTTTTTTTTAAATTTTTTTAAAATAAAATAATTTTTTACTTTTTTTTTTTTTTTTTTTTTTAAACTGTTTCAGAATCACATACATTGCTACACTTTAGTGTGACCTTTCTTCCAACGGGTTTGAAACTGTCTTGTGCATCCAATTCTGCATCCTCAGGCTCTGCTGCTCCTCCTCCACTCTCCAGCTACACGTACCCAAGCTTACCCATAACCAAGAACAGACAAGAAGTAAGACTCGCTGTATTGTACATAGACAAAATCCACCGAAGCAAAAAGCTTGGTGGTCTCAAAGTGCACTCTCATTCTTTTTTAGTTTTTCTGTCATTTTAGAGTTTGACTAAAACGGTCACTAAGTCCTGAGGACACTGGAGCACTTACGCTTTATAGTTCGCTATATACAATAATTTTTATGTGGTAGGACAATGGCTAACTATATTTACCAGCCCTCTGTGTACTAATGGAGAGTTATGTGTGTATTATTAGATCTCAGGGCTGTCATAAGCTGTACTTTCCTTCACATAATATCACACATCAGCTTATTACATCCATCTGCTAAACAATTTCAGAACTTTTTATACATTTTTTATGTATCACAGTGATATGATAAAGTCTCATAATGCATTTTCTTTTAACTATACACACGCGTGTTTGTACTTGTGTATCTGTTTGTGCGCCTGCATCCAGCTGGTTTCCCTCATAGAAAACAACTCTGTTGTGATCATCCGAGGAGCCACAGGCAGTGGCAAGACAACCCAGGTCCCACAGTACATTCTTGACCATTACAATGAGAAAAATGCTTCATGCAACATTGTGGTCACCCAACCACGCAAAATCGGAGCCACCAGCATCGCTCGGTGGGTCGCCACACAGCGGAAGTGTACCCTGGGAAGCCTGGTGGGATATCAGGTTGGTGCTATACTGAGTGTAATATTTCATGGTCTCCTAATGCAAAGTTAGCTTGTACAAACATCAATAATAGTAACATTGTTTTCACAGTGTTGTTACAGTTGCAACATAATCACAATTTAGCTTTTTGTATAGATGACCACATTTTGTTTGGATGATCATTAAATTAGTTTTTTGTTGAGTTTTTATAGCCCTTCAGTGATATTCCAATTTTCATGTTATTTGAGGTCCTCTTTCATGGTTTTACTGATTCGGGCTACTTATAGTGTGGTGCACAACTTCATATTTTCCACTTTGTATATTTACTTACACATACACTGAATATTAATTAATGAATTAAGCTGAGATAAGCACCATAGAATCACTAGTCGCAAAAAGATGTTAATCTAAAACAAAGTGGCTTGAAATTAAGGGAGAAATCTTTTCAGTTACTGATTGTAATAGTTGCGTGTAGCGTAGAAACTCAACAATTAAAATGTCATCCCTCTAACAGCCTTGAGTTTCTGTAGTTAGTCATAGATTGTGCTCGAAAAACATTCATCACATTCATTCATTGCTTATAAGTTACTGTATTCATGTGTTAATAAGCTCTTGAGTGCTTTGTTGCTAGGATGTCTGGCTGTTTTGTGCTGAGCTCTGAAGCTGTGTCTAATAATAACTGTTGTCTCCTCCGCTTGGTGCAGACCTCTGGAGTTAGGGATGATGTCACTGACAGTGGGAGAAATAATACTCAGAGATTTAATTAATTTCAACAATATATCCTTATCACTGTAGTTATGGTACACTGTTTACACAATAGTATTTGCTGTATTCCTACAATTTTTTTTTGTTGATCTGTAAATGTGAAATTCTTATGGGCTCATGAGTTCACAAACCAGCAGTTATGACACAGATAAACGATAAATAAACATTTTCTCAGGCAAAGAAAAATGCAATTTTTCACTGCAGACATTACCTTCTCAGTGGTGTTTTCTGAGTGATTCAAATTTCTCTGGCAGTAAAATGTAATTTGGTTTCTTAAAAAATGTACCATTTGGGTTTATCATTGTCTTTACAACCCAAGGAGTCAGCACTCAGCCATAAAGCAATACAATTACAAAAACCCTGGCTTTTGGTAATGGCCAGACACGGATTTTGATTTCTGTGCATATATCGAAAAGGTTTATGCATGACAATCTATGTATGTTTATTTCAGGTTGGGCTGGAGAAGATGGCTACAGAGCACACCCGACTTATCTACATGACAACAGGCGTGCTGCTGCAAAAATTGGTTTCAGCCAAGTGCCTCACCGAGTACTCCCACATTTTTGTTGATGAGGTACATTTACATTATGAGCATATTTTTTTCTCGGCCTAGATTTATCTTGATCCATTTTGTTTTTGCTCAAAATGGTAATGTTTTTTTGTGATCACTTGTTCACGTACTTAGAATACTTGTGTGTAATACACAAGTGTAACATGTTTAAATGTGTAAAGGTTTGTTTTGTATCATCAGTTTTAATCAACATTTTGAGTGCAGGTTCTCAGTAACACTCGCATTGTGATGAGTATGTCCATGTTGTGTTTTTTTCTTTTCTTTTTTTGTCAAACAAAAGCGCTTGCAGGGCACTGGCAACATTTCATCCCAGTGCCTGTACAAAAACCTCTATCCACCCACATCCGTATTGACTACACAGCTCACAGGATAGTTGCAACTTCTTTGGTGATAAAACACCTACACCGAACATTTAAAATTTAGATGATCTGTAGTGTGTCAGTAATGTCATTATTTCTGTTTAACATATAAACATTCAACTTGGGACAGGCAGTTGCATAATTAGCAAGTGCATGAAACATGGTCACAGTAATGATTATCAGCCTTCTGTAAAGTTGTAAAGTTCAGTAAAATAACTTCTAGTATCTTGTGCTCTGGATGCATACGCTCCATACTTAATGGGAAAAAAAAAAAAGACTGGCATTGGTTTTTACTAAATATAACCTCTTAACAAATCTGCCTTCTCTCCAGGTGCATGAGCGCACAGAGGAGATGGACTTTTTACTTTTAGTTTTGAGGAAACTCCTGCATTCCAACTCCCGTTATGTTAAGGTAACTGAGCAGAAACTTCCCTTGCCTGTTGCATCATTTGTGCTGTCACTCACAGAAAGTTGTTTTTTTCATTTTTAAAACATATCTTTTTCCATAGATAATCCTCATGTCGGCCACAGTTAACTGCAGACAGTTTGCGGAATACTTTGGCACTCTTATTCGTGGCAAAATGAGCCCTGCCTATGTGTTTGAGGTTGAGGGGGCACCATATGCCATTGAGGAGTTTTACTTGGATGATCTCCATAACCTTTTCTCACACAAGGTAAAGAAACTAAAATAAATAGTAGATTAATGTTTGAGCCACTTAATTGATGTGTGAAATTTTTATGTTTTCAGCAGACTGAGTTCCCTCATCCAGACGATCCCTACATCTCAGCTGAAATATACAATATCGCCATCAGTCTAATCCAAAGTTTTGACAAGATGGAGGAAAACGAAACCAGGTGATGCAGATACACGTGAGCTTATGCCTGCTAATAATAAACATTGATTGCAATGTTTCTTTCACTCTGTTATGCGTCTCATTTGTGCCAGTAGCAAGTCTCAGAAAGGGAGTGGAACGACTTTGTCACAGCGAGGCAGCATATTGGTTTTCCTTCCTGGTATATATGAGATAAGGTACATGCAGGAGGCCTTATTCAAGCTGGCAAATAAAAGGTGAGCAGTTGATTTCTTTATTTATTTTTAAGAAATTTGATTTATTTAGTAAATGCTGTTTGGACAGTTGTTTCTTTTGATATCAATTAAAATGCCATTTGCTTGGTTTCCTGATAAGTGATGGACATGTTTTTATGGATTTTCCTTGACTCATCACAGATTTTGTAACTTGACAGTTTTTGTCCTGCTGCTGCTCAGATTGCAGATTTGCCCACTCCACTCCACAGTGACTCTGGAAGAGCAGAACGGTGTGTTCCTGTGCCCTGTCCCAGGATACAGGAAGGTAATAAGTGTTGATTTGAATTTTTACATGTTTTTAGTACCTGTAGGAATGATGATCTCTTTGTCTTCATAGGTCATCCTTTCCACCAACATCGCTGAGAGTTCAGTGACTGTTCCAGATGTTAAATATGGTGGATTCCCATTCCCGTAACTCATTGGTATAAATTGTCTGTTGTTTTCTCAGTATAATTGATATTTTAACCCCCACCCCTTCACAGTGATCGATTTCTGCTTGGCCCGACGCTTAGTCTGTGATCCAGAGACTAATTATCAGTCTCTACGTTTGACTTGGGCGTCCAAAACCAACTGCAACCAGCGCAGAGGTGATACTGCTACAGCCTGGACTTAACATGACAAACTTTTAACATCTGTTCCCTTCCGTGCTCTCATACTTAATGTCTTTACTAACAGGAAGGGCAGGCCGTGTGTCAAAGGGCTACTGTTACCGACTTGTGACCAGAGCATTCTGGAGGAATGAAATCCCAGAATACATGATTCCAGAGATGCTGGTGAGATGTTGTTGAAGGCTTTCAACATTGTTCAGAACATACTTCCAGCAATCAGTTTAAGCCTTTCTTTTTTATCTCTTCTTAGGTTGCTCCCTTGGCTTCTATCATGTTGAAGGTGAAACTGCTGGACATGGGAGATCCCCGTTCACTCCTCTCTACAGCACTCTCACCTCCCAACATTAGTGACATTGTCAGGACCGTGCTGCAACTCAAAGAGGCCAGTCACATATTCAGTTTTGAGGGTTCTTTCATGAGAGAGCCATGTGTGACTGAAGTGCATAAGAATATTTGGCTGCACTGTTGATTTTGTGTTCGGACTTGGAGCCGTGCCACAGATGATTAGCAAATTCCCATTTTAGTCTGCATATCACTGCAAAAAGATTTATTTAGAACAGAACTATGGAGCAGCACCAATACTGTCCAGACTCTTCAAAGTTATGAAATCAATCGTATACATAGACTTTATAGTCACTCTTAACTTTATTTTTCCCCGTTCAGATGGGTGCATTGTCTTTGAAAAGTGATGGCAAAATTCAGAATGATGATGGTGACCTGACTTTCCTTGGCATAGTGCTGGCCCACTTGCCCGTTGACCTGTACGTAGGGAAGATGATTGTCCTGGGTCATGTCTTTGGCTGCCTGAATGAATGTCTCATCATAGGTCAGTCTCTGTTACTTGAAGGGGAAACTCCCTTCCTATGTTTTTGTTCGTTGTACAGGCATAGCTTACACAGATTTTTAAGTTATGTAATGTGTTTGTGTATGAAAGATTCATTTTTGTGGGAGTGTTTACAGAACAACCTCTCTCATCCTCAGCTGCATCACACTCTCTTAAAAGCTTCTTTGCTATTCCATCTATGCACCAGCTTGCAGGACACAGGTGAATCTCATCCACACTTGTTTTTTTTTCAGACTCAACACATAAAACTTAAACAGTACAAATGTATATCTGTCATATGTATTATATAATTTTTTTATGCTAATTACAGGAGCAAGATGGCTTTTGCTGGCTGCACACAAAGTGATTCTATAGCTTTTGTTAATGCCTTCAAGGTAATTCCAATTTAACACACTAGAGTTTTTTAAGGATTTACATCCACAGCTGCAAAAAAATAACTCGGCTTGTTTCTTTCTCTCAGGCATGGTACACGGCCAAAACGAAAGGACAATTGAGACACCCTAAGGTGATAACAAAAGAATGCTTTTTTGTTGCAACAAACACAAGTGTCAGACTGTTTACTGCAAAATGTGGCAACTTGAGCTTTGAATAACAACTAAACTCTAAAGGATTATGATACAGAACACTAACCTTTTTAGCATTGTCGGGATCAGTATAAAAAAGTACAATGAAATTCACCAATGGTGTGCATACCATCAGAGAATCTCCCCTAAGTATTTGGTCGACTATGAAGTTTGTTTTAATCATAATCCTGAAGTAGCAGCCAAGCTCCATGGCACGATAATTTTGCACTGTTTTGTACCATTTCTGTTTCTGCTTTATTCTTCTTAGGATGAGCTGGACTGGGGAAAACAGAACTCCATTCAGATCAAGCGGATCAGAGAGGTACAGGGAAGATACAGGCTGCTGGATCACATGGGTCTAAAAAATAGACACATCCAAGTAGATCATGATAGGGTGTTAAGTGGCAGATTTTCAACCAATTTGCCTGTTTTGTTAAAAGGTTTTCCTGCAATCTAAATGCCGTGTGGACAAGGTATAAATCTGTCTCTACTCACTGTCTAGGTTGCTGAGCTGTATGAGGACCTGAAGAAGCGTGTTTCCCAATTCAACATGCATGTTCTACATGACTCTCAGTCCTTTGACTACACAAGCACACACAGGCAGAAGTTCATTCTTCAGGTTAGATTAAAATGTGCATACATGGTTCACCAAGGTCAGAAATGGTTCACAGTTATGTGCACCTCATATGTAGATACAATTTGAACTTAAAAAAAAAAAAGAAATGATCTTTTATGTGTTTAAGGTGGTCATTGCTGCGGCATACTACCCAAACTACTTCTTCCAGGGGGAAATGGATGAAGATCTGGCATCTAAAGAGTTGTGTGGCTTCAACCCAAGAACAACTGTGATGGTATTGCACATAGTTTTTGAAGAAGTACCACATAGTGTTGCCAACGCTGAAAATAGAACACAGAACATTACTCAGAAAATAGTCAGAACTTGTTTTATGAATGAATTCTGAGAATGGTACTTAAGTCCAAACGTAGTCTGGGTTTAACAGTGTTTTTTAGATGTTTAGTATTTGTTTGTACTGTAGTACCATATGCTACCATACAGTGTTATGAATCAAGTAATACCATTAATGGCATGCTTAAAGTTACATGAAGTATGGAAATGAATGACTGTTTTCTTAAATTGTATCAGCAGACTGTTTTGTTATTTACAGATGCGGAACCTCCCGCCTTACAGTTTCTTGTATTACAAGCAGCTGCTGTCTCACTTCCGCCCTTATGGGCAAGTCAAAAACATTTCTTTTGAGAGCTCCAGGTATCAAATTCCATTAGATCACCCTCGATATTAACACTCAGTTATTTGTCTGTTTTAAGCAGTGCATAGTTTTACTGTATTTTTTGTGTTTTTTGTTTGTGTGTGTGAATGCATGCTGAAGAGCATACGTGGAGTTCCACAGGACATCTCAGGACTCAGGGGTGCTGCCAGAGGTGCAGCTAGCCCTCCTCATGGCACATCAAAACTCTTCAATGGAGATTTCAGTCTACCCAACTGAACAAATAGAAATCTCTGCTGGAAACAGACTTGTAACTCACATGAAATATACACGGTATGGCTCAGTTTGCATTTTACTAAAAACAACTGTACTGTTCGTGCATTGGTCAGTGGCCCTGCACTGAGGCTTAATGTAATCTGACATCCTAGCACTCTGCATGACTCCTTTCCAGCGTACATTGTCTAAGAGAGGGGGCATTTTGGGCAGAGACAGCACCTCCCTCTGGGACATGCCATGGCCTCCAAGCTATGTGCTCCAGAATGATGCAGATGATTCTCACATTTTTTTCTATTTTATTATTTAGTGTTGCTCATTTAGATACCTTCCAGTAAATTTTTACAGTTATCATTTGGTTTATTTTTCATTCCACTCTCAAATATAGGAATACAAGAATAAAATAGCTTCTTCATAAACAACACCTGGAAAATCACTTCTTTTGCAACACAGTAAATTTAATTAAGCGGCATGAGCACAATTGAAGGTCCTCATGTAATATTAAAGGCCAGATATCTGTGCTGCCTTTGTGCAGGGTGAAAGCTGACATCCAGAGCCAGTCTGTCAGCCCAGTGGGAGTTTTGAGCAGTGCCATTGACCCAGACAAGCTGCCTCCCAATCGCTTTTTTGTTGTGAACATCACTGAGGTAAGGTTTATTTGTTTAACAGTCCGACGCAGCTCATTTCAAGTCATAATGATTCAAAATAATCTTTACAAATCCACAGGGATTTCTTAATTTCTTTTGTCTCTTTCATTATTCTGTTTAGGTGGTTGAAGTTGGTCACTTCTGGGGGTTTCCAGCAGATGAAGCCAGCTTGAAGAAGCAGCGCCATCTGACAGCAGAGATTAACATGCGTACTCTGTATCCTGTAACTGTGTCGCTGTACCCCAACCTGCTGTGTCTGGCTCCATACTCCCAGTTCACTGAACACAACTTGTATTATCGAGCCAAGATCCTGCACATGCGCGGTAATACAGTGGAGGTAAATGTTGCCCAGGCTGCACAGCTCTTAGATTAAAAAAAGAAGATGAATGTACTCAATTTTCTTTCTTTTATTTTTGTACTCTGGTGGTTGTGGGGTTTTTTTTTCCTAAATTGTGGGCTTTAGTTTTCAGGTGATTGTATTAAGATGAAACCAAAAATCCCAACATTGTATCAGCATTTCAAAAACTTTAATCATGTTTAATGATTAACTTTGTTTTTCATGTGAAAAACATGTTGCATAAAAGTATTTTTTCAACAAATATGGTCTCTTGTATAAAGAACAAAATGAGAGTTTGAAACACTCTTGAAATGCTTAGATAACCTGCTTCCAAATATATTGTTTGTTGTGAACCTCAGGGGAAATTTAGCATGGCATGGAAAAACATAGTCTAAAGTTTTTGTTTGTTTTTAATGATGTGTATAAAAAAAAAAATCTGAATTTTGTTTTGGATTTTTTTTTGTTTCAAAGGAAGCTTTTTTTTCTTGCTTTCAGTGCATTGAGGTTTGTGACACTGAAAACCTCCGTCCTTACAGGTATTCTTTTTGGACTTTGGAAACACCGCAGTCGTTGAATGCAAGTGCCTGAAAGAGCTGCCTTCTGAGCTGCTATCTGAGCCATTTCAGGTTGCAGTGCTATGCTTTTAAGCATGTGTCAAAAATTATTTGCATTCAAATGTTGAATTAATGTTAATGAACTAATTTCTGTTGGTGGTTTTAGGCGAAAGAGTTCCAACTTGCTGGAATGCGTCCTTCAGCCCAGTCACTCATCCTGGGGAACCAGTGGAGCAGCCGTGCCCGCAACAGCTTTGTAACTTTGGTGAAGGGCCACTCCCTTATCGTTTCTCTGTACTCCATCCTGCATGGTGTGATGCGAGTGGAGCTGTTCATCAACGAGGAGTCGACAAACACCAGTGTGCTGGACATCCTGGTGAGGGAGGGACATGCTGTAAGGGCAGAGGAGAGCATTGATTCTAAGGTGAGACTGCAGGTTGTGAAAGTTGTTTAACCAAACAATCTTGTCTAAGGAAATGTTGTTGTCTTTTCATGAAGATTATTGCAGCTAATTTGGTGCTTTGTTGCAGCAGACAAATTTGCTTTTAGCCCTGTACACACGTACAAGATTTAAATAAGATTTACTGACAGCATGGTGAGAAGACAATATTCTGCAATTGAAATGTAGTAAGAGCAAAACGCTATGACAAGACATGAGGAATGGAAAACTTTTCCCTTAAAGAACCAGATAAGCAAACAAAAGTGTTTTCTATGTATTTTTTGCAGAAAAGCAATGAGATGATTGTGTCTCTGTACAAAGACTTGGAGAATGGAACAAACGTTCCCAGCACAAGCAACAGCTCTTGGAGAAATCGCACCAAGGAGGAAAAGGAACTGATTGACAGTCTGCTTTCTCATTTTTCTAAGAGCTCGGTGACCTTTTCTAAAGCAAAGGTAAGAAACAGTCCTGGGGAAAGAATATAGGAGATAAATAAGAGGGGGAGGAGTATGACATTAAAAATGTTTCATAAAAAAAAAAAAACTTATCTGAAGTACTTTCAGTGTTTATAAACATTTCAACAAAAAAATTTCTAGTTCTAGAAGTAATCTTGCATCATAACTCGACCGTCTCGGCTCTCATTACATTACAACGTGGCGCCAACATCCTAGATTCAAACACGGCATTGCAGATCTCTAGGTCCTGGTATGGCCTATCTCTATGGTCCTGGTATTACCATTCATTTCCTATGGGGCTGCGTTTTGGCCGCTTTTTTGCAGTTTATTCGAAAACGCCCGGACTTTTGAGAAAGTTGTATAAAAGCACGCATGCCCATGTCGGTCCGGATGTGCATGCCGATTTTCGGCCCGATCCGTCGAACCGTGGGGGACTAGTTGCAGTCCGCGGAAGCGGGCAAAGAATAAGCCGCGAAATAAAAGTTTCTGATAGTAATAGGGGGGCCTGCCGCTGGCAGTGGCCCCTCTAATTAATTGAAGTCAGAGTTGGATAACTAATATAGACTGTTTCACTAGGTTTTAGAAAATGCTTTGTTTTGTTCTCAATTTGTCCAGAAGATGGAGCCATTTAAATGTCTGTGCTGATCAGTTGGTGTTAATTAATTAATTTAATTAATTCATCATTTCAGTCTCACTAGACAATTGAAGAGGGGTGTCCATGGAAGCCTCATTCTATGTCTGATTACTTTGCTGTCCTCTCTCTGACACTTTAGGTTCGTGTGAATGGACCAACAAGTCCTTATAAGACAAACTTTTTCAGCTTGAACCTGAAGACCTACTACCAGTAAGCATTACATTTATCTAAAGAAAAAAAAATTGAATGCACCCCTTTGTTGAAGAAACGTCTTCCTGCAGGACTGTGTTCATTGAAAGGGCCAGTATGAACTTACTGGTCCTTAATGAAAACCCACACTACAAACATCAGAGGATGCTGGTAGCTGGGACTGTATCGGTCAACTCAGCAGGTACCGAATCACAATTATTTCAAAGCTTAAGTAGCCAATCCTGAGAGATCATCCAACACATTTTACGTGCTTTCAACTATTTATTTTTTCATAATTATGGGTGTATTCATGCAAATAATCTGAAATTTAGTTTATAAAAAGCATATTTTTACTTTGTCATGGTATTATCATTTTAGCTCCTGTAGTAAGGATGAAATACAATGTGCACAAGCAAATGTTACACTGCACACCACATAAAACTATCATATTTATCTTGTTTCCATAAAAGCATTGATTTTAACATTTCTATGTTTGATATGGGCTTCAGGTTTAACTCAAATACCCTCAACCCTTTTTGACTGTATGAGAATGTGTGTGCATGTTCATGCGTGTGTGCACACGGCCTGATGGTAGTATGAGCATAAAGCCTGTTTTCAGCTGGCAGCGTTTTTTTAAATTGTTTTTGAGTTGTCGACACAGCTGAGGGTGTTCATAAAGTGCAAGCTGTAAAAGTAGTCATTTTTTACTTGGCAACATTGAGAGGGATTTGCCTTTGAGGCGCTGGAAGGTTTGGAGTTTGTGGTGGAGTCTGATTCCAACAGTGCACAAAAGGACGCAGATACTGTAAAGGAGCAGCTAGAACAGCTTCTGTGTCTGAGTCATCCTGTGAGAGCTCAGGTGTGACCTCTGACAGCAGGAAAGGTGAGACAACATTCAAACCTGTGGATGTCAGTGCCCCTCCAACCACACTCTACAAAACAAAGCCTTTGGTCTCTGAAATGGTGCTGGGACCCGCCTGCCACTGCATTGCCAGAATCAGCAGCCCGGTCAATAGCTTCAATTTGCACAACTTTGATGACATCGCCAAGCTGGTTAGACAAACTTGCTGGAGAGACTGCATTCATCCAAGACTGGAGGGATATTGATACCTTCTGGCCTTGCATCAATCTGCTTCTGCTGACTGGATCATTCCAGTCACCTGTGGGGTGACACAGCAGTTGGCTTTATCCGGGTCTCCATTAGTCACGTTGCACTCAGGCTAATCAAAGCCTACTGTTTCACGACTGCTTTCAGCCCAAGATTAACCCTGTAAAACTTTGTAAATCAATGGATTTTTTTTTTTAAGTGAACGTCGACTTCAATTTAAATTCAAGTGTGGTATTATGACAAAAGTCTGGCATTCAAAGGCTTAATCTTTTCAAATAATCATAAATAAATAAAAAATTGGACTTATATATTATAAAAAACAAAAAAAGTAGAATTCTATTTTCTTTTAAGAATTTCTAATGAAAGGAGACCTTTGCTACATTTCTATTTTGTCTAATTATTCTAAAAATAAAGTATTTATATAAAATGACAGATGTGCTTGAAGTGGTTTTCACAGAAAATGTTTTGATAAATCTGGCTCAAATATGTAATTAAAATAAGAAATCTGTCTCTCTTGCAGGCACACACTTAATGTTGAGAGATACCTCCATCATGCCAGACATCCCCGGACTCCCAGCACTTGTGACGATGCTGTTCACCCCTGTCATGGAGTTGCGGTTTGTTAAACACACTGGCTGCTGAAATATGTAAAGAATAAAATGGCTCATGAAAGTTCCATACAGATTCTTCTTTCTGGGGTTATGATTATAAGTTGAGCCTCACTCCACATGACAATGATGTTATGAAACATAATTCCTGTTTCGAAAAAAATGTAGATGGAAAAATAAGGAAAATGTGTAATGTGTTCAGTCGGCCATTTGCTCTCTGCCTCCTCCCTTCTTAAACACTCATCGTGACTCAAGTGAGCTCTGATGTGGTAGTCATGATGTTCATCTAATAATTTATTTAGCCATTATGGCCTTGTAAGGATGAGATCACAGTTATGACCTGATTATTACGTGTTGTATGAAGGTAAAGCTGTAAGTGCATTCATACATCACTGAATCACACTGTGCCCTCATGATCAGTTTTAGTCAGTTTACTGGTCAGTTATCAGCTCATGTCATTTTCTCTTTCAATTGTTTACTCTTTTTTTTCAAACAGCACTGATGGAGAGAGAACCAGCTACACTGGCGCCCTCTGTGGCTTAGGCAGCCACAGTCAAACACAGGAGGCCATCCTCCCTGAGCATGACATAGAACTGGCCTTTGATGTCAAGTTTGATGTTGAGGACATCAGTGAGGTAAATGTTTTCAGCACAAGACTCACGTGTTGACTGACCAGTGTTTAGGATCCACTGTGAGCAGCTTTAACGTCCTGAGGTGTTTGTGTGGCCTAATACTGGATGTCAGTGTGGTGCTTTGAATTTGGTTGTCCTCTTAGTTTTCCTATATCTGGTTATGTGTGCAATCATGGTATAAACAGGAGTTTTTAAAACATGTTTCTCAGGTTCAATGGCAGTAAAGCCTCAGCAGCCTCAGCACCGACAAAAGCTGACTGAGAGGAAGATGTAATAGATGCCTATAAAAGGATGAATCAATCTGATGATGATTGTGTATTGTTTACTTATGTCCGTTTGGTTCTCGTGGTGGTGATGAATGCTCTTAAAAAAAAAAAAAAAAAAGCCAGGGAGTTTTTATTTGAAACTGTTGATGAACATCATTGAGGCTTAGAATCATAAATAAAAAATATGTGTTTAAATTTTTCAACATGCTATGAGATGAATAGAACATTTAGAGCTCTCACAAAGTATGAGCGTGCAGTTCTGTGTGGGGTGTATGCAGGGCAGGAGACAAGCACACACAGCCTGTCCTTTAAGGATTAGAGGAGTTTAAAATCCTTAAAAGTAAGCAGGAGCCATGATGTTTTTCACCTCTATGTAACAGCTCAATTGCAAGACAAGACCTAGATGATGTGTATATTTGTCTTATAATGTTGTCCCTCTGTTTTTGTTCATTATTGTCCATATTCTCCAATTCTCCAGCTTTGGATGTTTGCACAGTTTGAATGTAGATTAACATTTATTTCCTCTTATACCTCTTTTTGTCCCTCATTTGAGCAGACTGACTGATAGCTTTCACATCGTATCATTTTGATACAATGTTGATGCCTTTCCTTTCATGTTCTCGGTACAATTTACTCCTGAGTTGTTGTTAACTGTGCATTGAGTGTGTATTTGAATTATGAAAAAAATCAATGGAAGCAAAGTTAAAGGACATTAGTTTAGGTTTTAGTCTACTTGGTGATTCCCTCCTGCTTAAATATGTCTTATAAAATGCTTTATAAGTCTAACAGTGTAGTCTTTATTTGACTGAAAGAATTGCTATTCACCCCAATTCTCAACCACGCAACATTAAACATATTATTGCCCCACATGGGTTGCATTTTTTCCATTGATTCACCCACGTTTCCTGAAAGATATAGCCCTCAAGTCCGCAAAGATCTATAAAGAGATATAATGCAGGCAGGACATGGAAACCCCAGCTTGTAGTCTGGGTGATTCCCTCATTTGCGATGCTGGCCTATGTTAAGTATGTCAACATTTCATAAAGTAGCAGCCATTGTTGTTCATTAAAGGTTGACTTTGGGTTTTCTTACTTTTTAGATAAATGCTTTGAGAGTGGCCATAAACCGCCTGCTGTGTGACGGACCCAGCAGCACGCTCCATCTGGGCCCTGACCGGATCAGTCAGCTGCAGGAGGACTGCAGGGACCGCCTCATCAGGTAACGCCAGCCAGCAGGGTCACTCCATTTAAAAGGGATGAAAACAAAGGGAGTGACACATGCTTCACTTTGTGGTGCAGGCTGTTCACCAAGTCCCCACCAAGGGAGGCAATTACTCCACTGAACTATGAGAAACTGGGAAAGTGGAACCAGGTATGGTGTAGGTCTATGCAGCTTCACCTTTTTAAGGTGTCTTGTGTGGTCTTTAGGTCTGCTTGGCCAATTTTAGCTCCTGAGTGTTTAAAGCACGCTTTGGACCTGCAGGTGGATCCTGCTCTGCGGATGGACATTGCTGAGCCAGGAGCTGAAAACAGCAGAGGCGTTCTCTTCCAGCTGCATCCTGTTACTCTTCTCAACAGCTAAGAGCTCACCATAATAACTTTATTACTGTTGTCCTGAAATCAGACTGGTACTAAAGTATTAAGAGTGGAGGCTTTGGATTTGATTTTGATATTGAGTTGGGTATATGTTAAGTTCCTTTGGCTTTGAGCGGTGCAGTAAAATAACCAACTTTTTCTGTTTGTTGCCAGTGAAGGATTTTAGTTGCATGTTAGATTGAATCGGGATCCATCCAGTCTGCATTTGTTGTTACTGTGTTTCAGCTGTGGGCCATTAAAAATAGTTATCTGCAACAGATGAGGGCTGTCTGTCAGTCTTCTTCAAACATAGACTCATTGTGACCCTGGAGTCAAGTTAAATTTGTCAGCATAGCACAGACAAACACAGCACTCATCCATGCATGCTACTATGAGAGGTGTGCCAGTGGCAGAATGCGTGGCCTTATATTTATAGCTCTCCACTCAAAGTCTCTCATTCAGAGCGTTATCACATCAATCTTTGACAGTATGTCACACAGAAACACATCTTACACAACTTCAGGTCATCTTACGAATGTGAATTTATCAGTAATGTGGCTGAGGAGATGTTACACCAAGGTACATTTATTTCTGTTTTTCTTGTAATTAAATACATACTGTGAGTGCAAATAGATAAAGAGTCCAGGGTCTAAAGAACTACGGAGTATAGTTGAACATAGTACAAAGTTGGACAGTTATTCAAACAAGCTAAATATCACCAGATACTCCTTGTCTTCATAGTAGTTGTACAACAGTACCTAAACATGAGCGTGTGTATTGTTCCTTATGGTTATACAGAAGCAAAAACCCTACAATTACCACATCTAAGACACATATTGTAAATTATTTTGTGCTTGGAAACACCAAAAGGAAATCCATTTTTATATATACGTTGACATTTACGGAGAGAAGCCCCATCTGCTAAGTCAGAAACATGAAGCAGTACTTAACACTGGCAGCAGAGCACATCTGTGGGCATTCAACCTTTTTGTGCTAAACCATACAACTCGTGGTAAGCACTGCAAAGCAAAAAAGTAGCATGTTTTTTATCTTTTTTCTTTTTTTTTTTTTTTTAAATGCACAAAAAAGATCAAGTATTATTTACCCAAGGATCCACTTCATGCACTTAATGATAAGCAACACAAAAAAAGATGGCATCTTTTTTTGCCTTTGAGTTGTGTACTTGCCTACTTAGAAACAGGATTATGCACAACATGTGACTGTGTTAGTGTTTAGACTGCTATAGACAGGGTGAAGGCTTCTCCAGTGGATGCTTTTAGAGAACACCAAGATGACATAGCACTACGCCCCACAGATGACGACCAGGCTCTTCAGCAGGGAGCTTGATTCTGAGCTGGCCTGGACTGTCAGCTTTGCAGTGACATGGACGGGTCTACTCCTCCTTCCTTTTGGCCCCAGGGATCTTTGCTTGGATCCTGAACCAAGAGAATACACTTGAACACCAAGTTTTCGTCATGACATGAAATCTAAACAATGTGAGCTCTTTTGACCAAAAAGCTATAATGTGTTAAGAGGTAAAGAGTTTTCTGGGTTACGACAAGTTCAAATAAACACAGACTGCCCAGTTTCAGGCAGCAAAATGGATTATTAAAAAAAAAAAACCTCACTAGAAAAACTCACTGTGTGCTACGAGTACACATCTGTTACATTTGTCAGTCAGGTTGTTGTAAACAGGTGGTAACTAGCTTTCCTGAGTGTGATGTCCTGCTCAGAGTTAAGCTGAGCAGTTCCATCTGAATTAGCAAAGCTCCCATCTTTAAAAAAACAATGAATGATGAGCAGTTTAAACCACTTAACAGCAGACACTCACTTCCCCACCACAGAGTTGACCTGGGTCCGTATTAGTCCCACATACTGATCAATCTGTGCCTGGAAAGGAAAGGGAGGGGAAAGAATTATTATAGTTCAGGATTTTTCTCCAAACTAAGACTGATGTGAATGATTGTGGTGCTTAAAGTTCCTACCTGATGTTTCTCATAGACAACAGGCATGGTGAACATGGAGACCACAGCTGTGGAGGCACAGAAGAGGTTAGGGTTGATGAGCCGTTCTGACCTAAAGTGGGAACATGTTCTAACAGGTGCACGTTTGTGCCAGCAGGACCCAGCGTACCCCCTCCGCTTATCTTATCTCCAAGGTAAACTGGAAAAGTAAACTTGTGCTGTACAGCACTGCAGAAAAAGAAACATGGTAGACTGTTTTTTATCTCTCTGAAGCACGTGTAATGAAGCTGTTCGAGAACAAATACGCTGGAGGACATGAGTCATCAACGTTTCTCGGAGGCTGCAGATGTGTTGGAGCCACAGGTCCAATAAGCCGAGGCGACCTCACCTAAGATGAGCAGTGTCAGGCCGTTGAAGAGTGCCCCCACGTAGGTCAGCAGCCACATCAGAACTGCGAACTGAAACACAGCGCGGAGCAGGTTAACCTCACACAGTGCCGCTAAAGGGCAAACAAACCGTTTGGAAATGTCACTCAAACCTTCAAAGAGTCGATCAGGTCCTGTACGAGAAACAACCTGCGGAGCTCCTTCATGCAGGTGTTGGAGTAGAGCAGGATTTTGTCGGCATATTTACTGATCTGGTCCTGAGACAGAGCGATCTCCATCTCCAGGTACGCTCTAAACACAGGAAGTAAGAAACACATATTTGGCTATTGATCTCGACAGAGCTTGAAATGAGAGCTTTCTTTGCCATCGCTCACTTGAATGGATGTCCCTCATCGGTCTTCTGCACAGCCTGCAGCACAGACTTGTAGATCCTGAAGCTGATGGTGGCAGAGAGGGCTGCCAGGGCTAAGTAGGCTCCGACGCTGACCACGCTGAACTGGGTCAGAGAGAAGAGGAGCAGGAGCACGCTGCTGAACACAGCACCTGACTGCTTCACGTTCCTCCAGTAGAGGAGGTCGATGGCTGAAGGGGAAGCACAGAAAAGGAAACAGGGTTAGACCCCTCGCCCGATAATACCTGGAATCTTACTCGGAGTCGTCTTGTAATTTCCATTTCAAAGTCACGCTGCTGCGCTCTGCTCATCGGACATTTGGGTCAGATTACTGGAAGCTCTTGACAACCCAGCGTCCTTAGGGAGCTGCGGCTGTCACGGGATCTCGTTTTAACCCAGCTTCCTAACCCAGCTTTTGATTAGGTTTTGAGGGAGCGGTGGAGCTGTAAGGTGGTCTAAAGTTGTTTCATTCAGCTTCTCTCCACCTAAAAATAGAGCAACCTCTGCTGACCCCTGACATGTTGAGACAGGCTCAGTGTGTTGTGAGTGTCTTGGTCTGAGGGGCTTGATTTTTTTTCTTGATTTTTTTTCTTTTTGGATTTGATACGTGCTCACTGTCAGGAGCACCTGTGCTGATCTCATGCATTTAAAAACATCACACTGAGGGAACACCTGCGCTGCTTCCTCACTGTGCAGAATTAATGATTGACCTATAGATCTGTGAAAGCAGCAGCACAAATAGCCGCAGTATCAGCGGTCTGCAGATAATGGTTCAATGTGACCTGACCGGACAAGTTGCTCTGGTCAGACAGGAAGCATGACGATGCATTCGCTCCTCAGCAGTACTCTGAAATATCAGGATTTTGGGGGGAAATAAACTTGACATGTGCACTATACACTGACAAGCCCTCATGCAGGAACACATGTTGCTGCACGGGTTTCCCCACATCCATCTTCGGGTGGTGAGGCCTGTAATTCAAAGCCACTTGCAAAGACGAAAGGGAAGCGATAACTAAGGATTAGCCCAGTGTACCATTACGGCTTCAGCGGCCGATGTGGTCCTCCTCTGGCAGTCAGCTGGAAAAACGGGCCTGTTTCCATGAGAACTGTCTTGCCTTTTTCACCCTCTTCTGAAGCAGCCTGCCTCCCACACCACTGGGCTTTACAGTGCCTGCTCGGTTATCAACAACGTGAAACCCTTGATGTCACACAGAGGTGATAACAACTGGTGTGTTGATGTAAAATCTGGTACCAGTAAAAGGAGAACTGCTGCTGTGGTCTCTCGGGTCTCTTACTCTTCCTCGGAGCTGCTTGGCTGCTCGCTCTAATTTTAGCTGTTGAGCTGCGAGCAGCATAGTGATGACGGCCATCTTTAAACTCCACTAAAAGGCATCAGTGGATGCCTGAAAAGCAGGCTGGACCTGAATAGGGAATGAGGAACTGCCGTCTAAATAACTCTCTGAATAACACTGCCTGCATGAAACAAAAGCCCTCCATACTGTCAGCTGTCAGCTAGCACACATATAACACGACCTATCTGCTCCGATGTACCACACCTCTCCGCTCACCTAACAGTCTTTGCCTCCATAAGATCAAAGACTGAGCTCATTCAGGACCAGCATCCACGTGCCACTGTTCCTCTACATGCTCATCCCCCCTCATAAAAACCCTGGGTGCTGGCAACACTCATGAATTCTCTATGTGGCAACTGTGTTGAATGGGGATGCTTTCACAGACAGACACACACACACACACACACACACACACACACACACACAGTTAAAGGTAGCACAGACAGCAGCAGCTGTAACATCGCACACAAATCAGCGACACAACCGGCAGCTCTCGGAGGCAGACGGGTTGACAGGCGACGGCGACTCGCGCTGTGCTGCACACACCGAAAGCAGAAAGCAGGACTGAAAAGCTTTAGCTGCAGTAGGGGCTTGTACTGACCTGCGGATCCCATGGCTGAACAGGGAAAGAGGCAGCTGCTTTATCCAGGACAAAAGGAGAGCACTGAGGGGGAAGTTCCCCCTTTACGGGAGGGGAGGGGCCTCAAACGCACCAGCAAATCAGCAATGGCAGGAGAAAAGGCACTGAGGGAGGCGGGGGGGGGGCAAGTACGGGGTGTGGTTGCCAAAAAGCCACAGTGCGATCCACCACACATACAAACACCCTCTGTGTTTGCGCTCTTTCATTCCCGGCGCAGGCCGGCTGACTCGGAGAAAAGGCAGTCAGCCACCGACTAAAAAAAGGGAGCCACTTCAACTGGAAGCGCGCACCGAATGACCTCAGCCCGACTGTGACCACTGCTCTGCCGAGAAGCTCTGGATACGCCGAGCACCTGCCTGATGCAGTTACCATAGTTACCATGTTCCATTTTCTCCCAACTGCTCACTGAGAGATGAGGAGTCAGGAAGGGAGGGGCTGAAAGAGGGAGGGAGGGCAAAGAGTGCTCATTTGGGAACGGGAGACAGATTCATTTTCAGTGAATCTGGGGAATCTGTCGAACATCATGTGTTCCTACACATGCCACATGAAGACAGCCACTCCCTTTATTGTGGAGCGCTAAAGGACAATGGCAGGTTTTTCCCCAGGCCTTGGAGTTGGCAAAGTGTCAAGAAATGAATGAAAGAGATGAAAGCTGTGAGGCACAGCCCAATTAACTCAGACTTTGGGCTTAGTACATTTTCATTAGTTTGTACTTGATATCATTTGTAAAATTGTAATACAAAAAAAATAGTGAAATAGCCCAAATGAAGATTAAACAGATCGTTGGAAAAAATACTACACATACTTTAAAAGATGAAGTATTTTCTGTTTGTTTATCAGCATTTTCTTAAAAAACACCTGACAAACTTTCATGACACGTCCATCGAAAGCCAGATCTTTTGACATGGGATAAAGGAACAGGACGGGAAGGGCGTTTTAACTAACCGACATGGTAGTGAAAGAAAGGTGCTGACCCAGAGTTCAGAGGAAGTACGAGTGCTGCTTGCCAACACGTGGAGCAAAAACAGGAGCAAACGATTAACACCACTGACAATATTATGTTTTCCCTCCCCCTTTTCAGTAGTGGAACTAGTTTAGCCTGACCCATTTAAGTCACCAAAGACATCCTTGTGGCCTAAAACTAGCTATCAGACAGACTGAAGGGGGAAAAAACCTGAGAAAACACTAAGAGAGGCTTGTTTTGCAAGCAGTTTCTCACAGCTGTGAGTCAAGACAGTTTGAATAAATCATCAGAAAGATATTTTTATTATTTTTTAATAATTGTGCCCAGCTTGATGATGATGCTCAGATATTTAGACCTTGTGAAGAGAAAGCAGGCAGGAATTTGGCATTGAATGCAGCAGTAATCTGTGGTATGTTTTTAAAGCTTTTCTAATTTCGAGTGTTTGGGGGGGGGTGGAGCAAAAATACCAGCAGCTAGCAAACCGCAGCACCATCTCATTTTAAAGTCAGAACTATTTCCTTTCTAATTGAATTCTCCACAAGTCTGAGGGTCAGAGAAAAGTTGGCTACATAACAAGCAGAAGAAAGTTGTCTGAAGCTAAAAATCTCAGTTGTGTTTGTGTAAATGGTACACGGACAATTACAGTTTGACTAATAGCACCATAAATGCTTGGAACATTTGACGTGTTTTTAATTTTTGAAGTGAAAAATAATAGTGCTGCATTCTGAGCAAGTCACTGTGATGATTTAGTTCTGCATAGGTCTGCGTAATTCGATCAGTCTGGAGAAGTTGGGCGGCTGTGAGTCGGTCATGTGCGCTGCAGGGAGAATGGCTAAAACAATCTGCCTCCAGCTTTAAGATGATGCACAGGTTATGAAAAGCAGATAATAACTCGGCACAGTCTCATCCTCTGCTGTGCTGGGGGGCACAGGCCTAATCTGAGGCGTTCCGCATGCTGCTGAAAGGTCTGGTCAAACATCACGTCGCTGTCATCATCTTATTAAAAGCACAGTGACTCAGCAGAATGAAGAACCATGGTTTGTCTTGTCTTTGGTTTCTAAGCTCTGCGCCGCACCCCCACAATCAGATAAACTGATCTTTGCTGCGATACAGTGAACAGATTATTATTTTTTTTCACTGCTTAACCATAAGAGGATGAGGGATAGTAAACCACCAACAGGGCGGACGAAGAGGCGCCATTTTCTCCCCTGGCCTCTTCTAGCTTTCCGTCCGACAGACACGGACACCAGGAGGATGCTCCTGCCCCGTCCAGTCTCTGCAAGCCGCCATGGTGGCTCAGGAGATGGGCTGATGTAATCAAGATGGGTGTGCCCTGGTTACCATGGAGACAGTCTTTCAGCGCCAGTCGCTCTGGTCGCGTCATTCCCACAAAAACTGAGTGTGCGCCATGTATGTAATCAGCTCAATCGCACGGTGGGGAGGGCATCAACAAAAGCACACCTTGTGTCATTAACTCTGGCACCATGTTATCACCTACCCAAAGCAGATGGCGCCCAGCATGCTAGTGTGCACACTCATTTACCAAAGCGCCCAAGAGCCTCTTTCACCCACATTTTAAATTACATTTTTGACAGACAAACATTAAGCAGAAAGATTATCTTAGTAGGGTGTGTCAGTGTGTCAGGAGGCACAGGTTAAAATCCATCAGCACAATTAGAGGAGAGACGTACGCATCTAACGAACACACACGCTTCCGACAGCACACTTGCAGCGTCATGGATACCAAGACAGCATGCAGCAATAGCAGTCCGCCTCGAACGGGAGCGGAACACAGACAAACGCTGAGTAAATCACAGTAAACATGTCAGTACCCTGGCCCTTCCAGCTGCTCCAGGAGCTCTCTTTCTTGGTCACGTCTGCAGTGGCCTGCATGCTGGTGTTCAGTTAGGTCCCTGTTCTCTCTCTCTCTCTCTCTCTGTGAGTTTTCACGGTCGCCTCTCTTCTTCTTTGTCTCCCTCTTCGGTTTTACCGACTCACTCACTTCTCCCAGAGAGGCATGAATGGTCGAAAAAAGGATGCGGGAGAGAGGCTGAGACGACGGAGAAGAAGGAAGGGAGGGAGGGAGGGAGGGAGGAGAGGTTTCCAAGGTGCTGCCGGCTCGCGGAGCACAAAGACTGATGCTGTAGAGCAGTGCTGGCTAGAAGACAGAGCAGGGAGGCTGCGTACTTGTGTGTCGGTGTGTTGGGGGAGGGAGGAGTGTGGGGGAAAATTGTAAACACCACAGCACTGTTTCTGTTGCAGCAATCCATCCGTGCAGTGATTAAAAGCCTCGGGGTGTGGGGAGGCTGTGTGGGCGGTGGTGGCCAAAACCTTTTGTTTTCTTTTGGAGCCTCAGGATGGCTACCAGCAGTTATGGGGGTTATCCTACGCACGCTGCCCAAACACCAAAGCATGTGAATGTGTTGACACATGCGTTCTTGCAAACCGGTCCACATAATTATTGGTGGACATTTCACGTGCATGCTATAAAAAATAAATAAAAAACACATTTTCAGGCCTTAAAGGGGCCATTTTATAGTCTGATGTCATGCTTTCCACCAGACAAGGTGTGATGTCCTTTGTAAAAGCTGAAAATGCCAATCCCACACAGCCATGGGAATCTCTGGCTACCACTCAGCTCTGTTGTTTATTGGCACATTGCATCATTCCTGAGGTTGTAGTTAAGAATTCAAATAGCTGTTTCCAAAATGGCTTACTGGTAATTGAAGAGGCATGGTGCTTGTTCTTAATAATTTATGTTAGGAGACCCTGCTCATTTCAGCGCAATGCTGATTGTCTAGAGCATTCAGGATTTTTCAGGGCTGTAGGGTTCCCCCCTCAGATAGCATTCAAACGGGGAGAAATAATAGCTGTAAAAGCGATGCCTTCGTGTTTAACAGGGACAACTCATTCGCTGTGGTCGTAATTTGGGGAATTGTCGTATTCTAATACCATCAAAGCTGTGAGTCCTGTCCCTCCAGGACACCCGGACCCCCCCGCCGACAGACACGCCTCACACCTTCTGCTCACTGCAGTCATCGATGCCAACAAGCAGGGGCCAGAATAAGCTAGGTTGTCTGTAGCAGACTGAACATGCTCCTCTATCACTGTTGCCATGGCAACTGGTGTGGAAGTGCTCCAACTGATGACATAAATACCTGCTGGTCCACAACAGAGGCAGTGACAAAGGTACACTGCGCCCTCTGGTGGTGGAGAAGAAATTACACATGACCTGTTTTTTTTTTTTGTGTGTTTTTTTTTTCCATTTCCAGAACATTCCAACTGTCCGAGTAAACAAAACAGGGTTGACAGTGCTCAACTGTGGTTCAGTGAATTTACGTTGCAAATATGGGACTATTCACCTGATTTGCCTTGGATGAACACAAGCCAACGTTTGATCAGAGGCCTCAGCGGAGTGAACACACACACAAAAAAACCCTCAATGCAGAACCTTTGACGTAGAGATGCTACAGATTAAAGAGGAAGCCTGTGAAGCTCTGAAGTGCAAGTGTGCCCCAGTTTTTTGACATCACAGCATTATGTAAAGCCAGTGTTTACAAGGACAGAGCGAAGAGCCAGTGGAAGTCAAAATACCATGTCAACATCAAAATGTGCAGCTTAGACGGCATTAACTGCTGGCTGTGACTGGCCTGACTTATCTAATCACAGGAGGTTGAGGAGTGATGTAACTGCTCTGGTGCTGCCGAGACCCAAAGGAGCTCTTTCCCCCTAAAGCGTGTTGTTTTAAAACAGTGACAGAATAGACTGTCTGGGAGCTCCTGTCTGTTCGCATGGACATGGGGGAATGCGTCCATTCTTTTGGGTTGTCTCTTTTGATACATGCCACCAGGGGGAAGCAAACGTGTCCAGGGCAACACAAACACTTCCCTCCTCCCACTCCTGCTATGGAGGCATCCACTCAGGAGGAGGACAGCCTGCGTTTTTTTAGCCATACATGCAATATGTTATGCTGTAACACGTTTACAACAATCTCTGCTGTCTGATGTGCAGAAGGACACACTCCCTGATCCACAAGCTGGCAGTTTTTTTTGTTATTTTACAAGGTGAAGCGACCACATTGAGTTATTACAGATGTTATTTTACAGTTTAAGGTAGAAGGAAGAATTGATGACTAACCTTTCTGTTTATCAAATCCCTCCATAAGTGACACAGTAGGTTTGCCTTGTTCTTCTTTTCCCTCGTGGGGGATGTTGAATGTGTCATCCTGGTGGGGCTTTTCTGACCTCACTTCTGGAGGAACAGCTGCAGTTGGAGGCTTAGGCTTGCTGGGACGATCCTCCTCTGTTTTCACTGGGACCTTGGCCTTTTCGGCCATCGTAGGCTCGACTGGCGCCGGCCCAGTGGTGCTGCGGGGAGGGGTGGCAGTGGAAACCAGAGGAGAAGGGGAGCTGACTCCATGTTTGGGGCCACTGGCACCCTGCTCTCTCTTTGGACTTTCTTCAGATGCAGACTCAATGAAGAGATCACTGTCAAGCTCTGCCTCTCTCTCCTCCCTCAGTATGCTGTAGGCAGTGGGGGGAGCAGGGCTTCCCGCAGGGCCAAAACCACCCTTGGAAACCGGGGCATTGTCAAACGGGTTGTTAGGCTGACCAAAGCCGCTCTTGCTTTTTGGTGGCTCTGCAAATGGGTTGCTACTGGCTTTGGGAGGCTCCTCAGACACAAGCTCAATCTCGGAGTCTCCGGACTCTGCGCTGCTGCCATCGTGCTCCCTGCTGCTGGGCTTTGAACCGGGGTTACTTTTGGGAGCTGCAGTCTTCTCCGTCTCCGCTTTGAACATGTCATGTGATGAAAAATCTTTTCCTGTTCACACAGAACATTGAAAGTCCATTTTCACTTTTGAGTTAAAGATACAACTGGTTTAGTTCTGACTAAAACAAAAACGTTCCTTCTCCAGCATACATAATTAAATCAAAACCAATACATGACTTGCTTTAAACAGTGGTGGACAAAGTAGGTAGTTTCATTACTTGATTAAAAATACAGATCTTACTGAACCAGTAAAAGTAGCCCTGTAAAAATATTAAAAATTGTAAAATTTGACAGTAGTATAAAGAAATCCTGTAAATGATCCAAAACTAAACAACATAAATCTTGATGTATTCATACTTTTGTGTTATCACTTGTTAGAGTTGCTTGGGTGATCAATCCATTCAAATCATGAATGAGGAGGCCGACTATGATGTAAAACAAAACGCATGATTTAATGTTTTCTTTGATTGATCAAATAAGGCAGCACAACCCTTTGGGAAGGCGTCTGACAGCTTGATTTTTATGCCAGCTGAGCACTGACTTACAGCCCTGAGATGGAGAAGAAAATAAGGATCTTGCTAAAAAGGGGTGTGGACCACAATTTGTTTCCCCAGGTGGTCCACTTACCTGACGTGGACCAAACCAGTGAACACTGGTCTGCCTAAAAACGCAAGTCATGGAGGTAAGATGGGGATGGACAACATGGCAATACAGCAGATGTAACTCCATTTTGACCACAGTGTCTTGTATTCTTCACTATACAGTTTATTTATGCCATTATATAAATATAATGAAACTGAACATTCTCTCTTACTTAGCTTGTGCTGTTATTATAATGAGACTTTTCCCTTTCCTGTATGTAAACAGAATGCAGATGTCTGTGAGTCTTTGCTTACGTGTGGGTGAAGCATTTGGAGTGGAGGCAGGGCTGTCGTCCTCCGGCTCGGACAGTGTCACCGTAGGAACCCCCTGCAAGCCCACGCTGAGGACACTTTCCCGCTCGGACACACTGACCGGAGGGGGCTGCTGCTGCGGCTCAGCCTTGAAAACTGGAGGCTGGGACTCGGTCAAGGTGATCTTCACGGGGCTGGCCGTCTGTGGGGTGCCGCCCAGGTTTCGGTAGGAGCGATAATCTGTCAGCTCCTCATCAGATGGCTCCTCCACATAAGGGAACGAGTGGGAGCCCAGCGCCGGACCTAGATTTTCCTCCTCGTCCTCGTCCTTGTCTCGTCCAGGACTTTTATCCATGTAGCCGCCCAGTAAGTCGTGACCAGGGGAGCCTTTGTCCACGGTGCTGGATGGAACCCCCTGGTGCTGGTCATGGCGCTCCTCCTCATGGCTGATATCCATGTAGTTATAGGATTCTGTCTTGTGTGAACCCAGCAGAGTCTTCGGCATGTCATCCATTGGGTTGGAAGTCATCTGGGTGCTGGAGCTGAAGTTGTAGGCGTCACTGGAGATGTGATCCAGTGCAGAGGAGCCGGAGGAGAGGTTGGTGGGCTTCAGCTCATCTGACAGGTAAGATGCTTCTCGGCCGGCTGTGAAACTCTGGTTGGACAGCAGGGAAGTGTACACATCACCGTCGTCATTCAAAGGTTTCCTAAACAGACCAGACATGGGATCATCTAAAACAAAAGACAGAGAGAGGTTGTTAAACTCAGGCGACGGATGAGAAAGAATGCAGTGCTCTCTGTGTCACGTTACTGAATCAAACCAGGCTGTCCTAAAGCAGTCTGATGAATGAAAACGTCCAGTCACACAAAGCTGTGCTTTAGCCAGAGCTGCTGCCAGGGATGAGGCTGTGGCCCTGAGAGAGCAGCGCCGTCAAACTGCGTGTCTGGCTGTGCAGATCAACGGGGATGCAAACACTGAGGGTGCTTGTCCCCACTGAGGGACAAAGGAGGATTGTTCAGAGCCCCCAAAAAAATCCCACAAAAGAACAACCAAAGTCTGTTCTCAACCGTACAGGCAAATGGCTTTTCTGTAGTCTCGTCTCAACCCTGAAATCACCAACCTTACAACTACCGAAACAAAAACAAGTGACATTAAGACTGAGAGTAATTCTGCCCACACACTATCCGACACCAGCCCCTTCCTAAAATACAAACAGTCTCAGATCGTTTTGACGATTTAAACATCATTTATACTTAAGGAAAATCATGCAAAGGCAACACTGAAACTGCTGAATCACATTTCAGAAAAGTAGGAATGGAAGCAGAGTTTGCAGCTGTGTTGCATCACATCCTTTAACAACAGTATCTGTCGGGCACTGAGCAGGACATAGTTCTCCCATCCAGATAGTCAAGATAACAGATAAAGATTCATCTTTTGTTTTACTGTTCAGTTTAGTAACTGGAGTCATGTGCAGGCATTGCATTGCCAAAATATGTGAGACCTTTCTTTGAATATATCTGTCTAGCAGCATTTCTGTGAAACGATTATTATATAATTATAGTGAAGCATCTATAGTGCCTTTACAGCTATCCATGTTCACTAAATCATTTGGGCCAATGTACTACAATAACATCTCCAAGGTTGGGTGTTGATCTGAGTTGTATGGTTCCTTTCCTCCTTAACATCCAAAATGATTTTGATATTTTTTTGTTCATCAGACCACGTGCCTGTTTTCCGGTTCACCTCAACCCTTCCTCAGTGAGCAAGGACCCAGAGGGGGAGAGAGGACATTTCTGGATCTCGTTTGTATCCTCATTCATTTATTTTTTTGAATAGCAGAGAAACAACAGTGTCAGAAAGGTGCTTTTCCAAAGGTGATTTATGCTGCAGAAAATAGTTTTTTAGGCACTGCCAGCAGAGGGTGTGAAGAACACAGTCAGTCTTCAGTGAACGGATTCTTCTCTGGGTTCTCAAGCCCTTTTTGACGGTAGTGTCAACAGAGAGGCGAAGTCTTCATTTAAAAAATTCAATTCTGAGTGGAATCATTTTGAATGGATAGTTTCTGTATTGTTATTATTTTTCTTCCATGTGAGGGTCCCAGCCTTAAATCTTGTAAAAAATGTTCTGAAAATGTTTGTCTTTATCATTGTGAGTGTAATGTGGCAAATGACCCACAATATCACACAATTATGTAAAACAACATGCAGGCATCCCTTGAAAAGGTCAATTAACACGTAAACTGTAAAGCTTGAGGAGACTGTTAGTATCAGTGGAACAGAAAAGACGGATTAGATTTGTACTGTTTACAAATCGGAGTTTATACAACCACAATCTGCGCCCCTCCTCCCTCCACAGGACAGCGGTTGGGGCTATAAATAGGCTGGGTCCAGCTGCTGGGCTGGATGAAGGGCGAAGAGTTAAACTAGTGGCCTTGGGGTTATCTCTGGAGGATGCAGACAGTCTGACAGAAGACCCTACAGGTCAGGACGTCCCGTCCCTCCTTTTGCTTCCTCTAAAAAGCCCCCCCACCCTTCCCTTGTGCCGTCCTTTCAGCGGCTGCTTCCTCAGTCATTAACAATACATCATACCGCAGTACTGAGGCATAAACGCCACACACACACGCATGCTGGGACACGAGTGGGGAGGAGGGAGAGCAAGGCAGAGGCAAGACATGTTTAGCCTTCGGTCAATTTCTGTGAAATAGATTTAAATATCTTACAAATCAACATGTGAAGTGCCTGTAAATGCGCGATGGGCCAAGTTGTGTTTCACAACAGTGCCTTCTGTGCACTGCCTAAGTTAATTGATGTATAATCCTCTTAGGCTCCCGCCATAGTGTTTGCGGGTCCCAACATCAGTCATCACTCTGGCAACTCTATCCCGGTCTAACACTAATACTAATCGATTCTCTACATAAGCCAAAGCTGAGCAGTGGGAAACACCCAAAGCCAGGACACACTGCACAGAAGGTTGCTCTCTGGGCATCTAACCCGGCTGACCGTGGGCAGCACCACCCTCTTCCCCCATCAAAACCCTTTAATGTAACAACATGACAGGCATACGAGCGGCTGCATTAGAAATCCGCGGCAATTAAGGGGCTACTGTTCCCGTTGCTGGTTGCAAAGAGAGCAGCCGCTCCGAGTTGCTGTTTGGCAGGCTTGTTGGAGCTTTGAGGGCATTTTAAATCTGCTGATATGAAATAGCACGCAGACAGTGGAAAAACCCACGAGGCTGAAATAACTGCTTCACTGCAGTCGGATGGGATTGGGCATGACAACAGAGGAATTCTCAGCTCACAGTGTGGCCACACAGCATATTCATACCACTGAAAGGATGGAGCAGTCAGATAAATAAGTCCTGGTGAATGTGCTGTGGAGGGGAGTCCTTTTGTTGCCCTCTGTGCAGCCAGTGCAGCTCTGAAACTAATGCAGGCTGACACCATGTGCAACTAAGCTAAGGCATGGGCTCCTAATTATCAGGACACAGACAAAAACAAGGGAGCACCGATGACATAAGAATGGCTAGAGTTAAAAAATGAATGCAATCAAAGTATCTTGAACCACATGCACCAAAGGGTTTTCCCTAAAGATCCTGACCCAACTGCAATTTGAAAGCATATTAATAATGAGAGGGATTTGAACTGGGGATTAGTTGGTATTTATTCTCAAATACTAGTCTGTCTCCACGCAGTATGGTTGCTCTCATCATACAAACAGGAGCTCAGCTCAGAGAGCCACCAAACCCAGCCATACATCTGCTTTACCTTCAGGCATCTGTGACTCCTCAGCTCTGTAACGGCTCCATTACGCCATTCACGGCCCAATCAGCTATGGTGTTATCTTTCAGGAGTTCTCTTTCACAGCCCGACCTTGTGGAAACAATCCATCAGGGCACTTGCAGTGCTCTCCTTTCAAAGCCATCTGTGCCTTTAATGGTAAATAATATGCCGCCTCTCGCTCAGTATTCTAAGAGCACCGCTACATGCGGTAGCAGAGGATGTGTGTTTCATCAAACTAACTATCATCCCATGAGAGCAACTGTTCATCACACTGAGCATTTCCACCTGCGGTTTGATAAAGATCACACACTTGTCCCCAGTTTCCTGGGAAATGTTTAGTGGATGAGTGATGCCAGATTGGAATCCTTTATTCTGAAGACTGTTTTGTGCTGATATTAAATCACAGCGGACACAGAAAGTCCTCGTCTCTTGTAAAAGTTGCTGGTGGTAGTTTGATAGTAGTTGGATCTGGGTCAGGAATTAATTCGGAATTACAGCTGCGAACATTGAAGGAAAATGCCAGGACATCTGTCTTTAAATTAATGAGAGCAGAACGGGGTCATGCATCATGACTGCGACCCTGAGAACACATGTTGTTCTATCAAAAAAAATGTAAAGAAAAGACTTAATTTAAGCTTTCAGGATGCTCGTACATTATCTGGCTGTCAGGAGCCAGAAGTGAGCAGCTGATACGAAAACACAGAACAACATCCCAGAATAGAAAACAGAGAAATTCCTTCTTTTGTCACCACAGGACTGAACAACAGTTCCTGGAAGTGTGTACAAAGCTTTGCCCTGTGAGTCTAATCAGATTCTTTTGAACTGTTTTAATCACTTGTTAAATGTTCTCATGATGCTTTGGGTCATATTTAAGAAGACATAAACACAATTCCAAAAGGACTGCACAGCTTTAAAGCACCATTGTCGGTGATAACTGACTCCCAGTCTCTTATGTGTATCTGAGTTAAACAAAAGCTTCACTTCACATCTTGATGGTTTGGGCCTTAAAGGCTTTAAATTACAGCAGTCATATTAATGACTATATCCATGGTTGTACAATAACACAAATGCCTGTTATTAAATATCTGTCCTCAATGCTGGCAGAGTAGAAAATGGCAAAGAGCACAAAGATTGCCTTTACTTAGGTAGAACAAAACTACCGGTAGAAGTCGATAAGAGAACAGCTGTGCTGAGAGATTCAAGTGCTCTGCTTCATTGATCTGAGACATTAAAGACATGCCGTCGTTGTGAAATACATTGGAGGTCTCACCATTCTTGGAAAAAAAAAAAAAGACTGCAAATTACCACAAAGAGCAAATGTTGTTTTTCTGGCATCTTTTGTCAAAGATGCATCAAATGGAGGCAATTTAAATGAAAGCTCATCTTAAGCTACGGTACATGGAGCACTATTTTTCTGACAGTATTGATTGTACTTTCCTTGTCTTGGGATAGAGCTTTGTCGATGAAGGGAGAGGATAAGGAAGGATCCATACTGAGGGGGTGAAAGCTGTCAGCTTTGAGTCAACGCTGTCTATTAATTGTGACTTTAAAATCCAAAGTTGGTTTTAGTTTGCAGCTGGAATTTGCCACTGAGGAGCGAAGGTGCAGAGAGGAGGGCCCAGAAAAAAACACTGACAGTGATTCAAACATAAATGCCTTCGCTGGTTGTAGTCCAAGTCCCACCGGGTTTTGTGCAGGTTTAACCAGGGATCACTCTCAGCCCACAGTCTGAGGAGCTGGATGTAAACATAACATTGTGTTTCACGTGATGGTCTTTAATTGTTTTGAGGCACAACACATGGGATCAAAAAGACATTAGAATGGATGATTTATTTATATCACGAGGGCAGGGATGTCGTACCCTACACTGCTCTGGAAAGTTTTCTAAATCAACACCTCGGAGCTCAATTGCTTTACAGACAGGGTGTTATTTCGGGGGTGTCTTTAAAGTAAAGTGCAATTTGTTGGAGTTACTTGTTTTCCCCAGCAGTGTTGCCATTTGAACCATCACCCCTCTCATCAGATCTTTGCAACTCTTACCATTAATCTGCCCTCCTCTCCTCCCACAGCCTTGTATTATCGTGCATCTGTATCGTCTCCTCTGAAAAGACCCTGCGCTGCCTGCCTGCCTGCCCCCCCCCCGGGAACAGGAGCACAGCACTCACCAGCTAAAGGCTCACACAGCCCAGAAGAGTCCACTAAGTGCTTTCTCTATCTGAGAGATTCGGGAAATACACCAGCCAGACATCCGGTGTTGCCTCATCCTTGTCACTTGTGATGGTGGAACAGACAAAGGCTCAAGTCTAATCCACTCATCAGGCTCTGGATTTTGGGAGGCTTCTCACGACCGGTGTGCACTTTATCATGACTTGATCAGAACAGTGTAATGTACCAGTATAGGTTGAGAGCTTGATAAAAAAAAAAAAGTTAAAACAGGGATGCCAAAATGCAGAGTCACTGTTTGCGTGCAGCATATTTTCTCCATGAAAGAGCATGTGGTGAGCCTATTAACATCTGCTAACTCTGCTCCAGCACATCACACGTGGTCATGATGCAGCACAATCTTCAGCATCTGTGTCTCTCCTGAATTTTTAAGATGACATGAGAGAGGAAACTTACTAAAAGAATCTGCATTATGTTGTACTGTTCAATATTCAGGGATGAGGTTATGTCTTGTTGTAATTGAATACATCTGAAATCAGCAGTATCTGGGTCCAGGGGGGTAGATCACTGTCGTGTACAAGATTTAGGACAGGCATGGATCGATTACTGAAAGACGCTACTCCAGAGATCTTGAAGGGATGAGGTTTCACAGTTAATTCTGATTAAAGTCTACACTTCTTCTCAGGCCTTAGAGGCACACACAAATTTAATGTCTCTGTCTCTCTCTCTCCCTCTCTCTCTCTCTCTCTCTATATATATATATATATATATATATTGGGACTGTTGAAAATGTCTTTGACATTAATCATTTATCTCGCTAAACGGGGAGACATGTGGACTGTTCCCTCAAAGAACATAAATAACTGACTAGATTACTTCGCCTGTGTGTACACAGCTCTGTGGGAGTCCCGCTAATAGCAGGCCATTTTTTTTACTCTTTTAGGAACCAAAACAAAGTCTGCATGTGTTTGTCTGTGAGCACCTACGCAGCTCCTCCAGTAGACTGTTATGTGAAAGTAGAGCATGAGCTTTGATGACTTTTTCAGAAGAGAGAAGTTGGCCAGTTCATCATTTAAAAGCATATTAATTCATGCACAGTGTGTTTACTGTGTTTTATTGTGTAATATTCCAGTTCTGTAATGCATTTTTCTCTGAATCTATTTAGCTTTAGATGTGAAAGTTCTTCTTTTTTGGTATTCGCACCCAAAAATTGGGGGGAATTTTAGGCTTTGAGTGGTGTTGTGCCTAATCGATGTAGACACTGAAAATGGATGCTTTGTTTCCTGTTTTGGACCAGAAGCGGCATGCAGAACGAGAAGGAGCCTGGGAAGCCAAAAGAGGAAATTGGACAGCTTTTTATTTATTTATTTATTTTAAATGTAATATCATGAATTTTTCAGTGAATTTGTGAATAAAAGTGCAGGGCTCTAGTTTTGCACGCCAAGCAAATGGTGAACCGTGTTACTTTTGGATTAAAAATAGCAGCATGAGCTGAGCTGTGCTGAGGAGGGTGAAGTACTTGCATCTAAGGTCTGCATTATCTTCCCACAAAAACACATGCCTCCAGCCACCATGGTATAAAAATATAACTGAGGCAGAACAAGCTTCCATCGTGGGAATGACTTTTTACCTCATAGCAAATGAAAGCTTTGACATAAAGTTGTTGTTTTTTTCGAATAAGAATTGACCTGTTTTCTAGGTTAACACTGATTTTGAACGCTTGACTTTTAAATTGGCTATATAATCTATTTATTTTTGCTCCACCATTCGACATGACATATAAATTTGGCACATTTAAGGGCTGTTAGAAGCCAGACCAGTTTTGTTCGGACAATCAAAGTTCAACAGGCAAGTCTGGTCTGCTGCATCCCACCTACAGACTTGAGTCACATCGTACTACAGTGATGGGAAAGCTGTGGGTCATTTTGCTGTTTCGTGTCTATCGAAGGCCCGGTTGGGCTGAATGTGGAATCCCCTAGTTCCACTCAGCATCTCTGATGTGACCCCCGATTTACTACCAGCACGAGGAAGTGATCAAGTTGCTCTCGTGTAGCGTCCTTTTTGTGTTTTGTGGTCCAGAAGTTTGAACCCGCCGTGCAGACGGACAGCAGGTCGTCTGCCGTAATCTGCCACCAAACCACTGCGTCTGGCGCCGGATTTTTTCAGCCTATTACCGGTGCGCTGAGCTCCAGATTTGGCACAGTGGCGCCAAATCGTGCTGAAATGCGTTACACTGGTAAATAGTGCGTTTCGAGTTGCGATAAGAGCGTGTTTTACCTGTAGATGCAGTTTCCATAGCAACGGGAGGCCTTTTCCCGTCGTCCTGGAAAAGATGAAATTGTTGATCCAGGTCGCCTGTCGCGTCGCCCCCTCTCGGCTTAAATTCCTCACGTAACTCGTCGAACCTGGTCGGTGTGCTCCCGAACAGGCCGTTCCTCTCGTAATCATCCCCGAACCACTTCCCCTCCGAGCCGAGCTCCTCACCGGGCTGAGCAGACATGCTTGTTCCTGTTGTCGGACAAGAGACAGCAGCTTCTTCTTGTTCACCGTTCACCGGGGCCGTTCACGGGCGGTGGGGCCGGCAGGGCAGGGTGGGTGGCGGAGGAAAAAAAACACGCGACGAACCGGCTCGTGGCTGTCTTCTGTCAGCTGAGCCCGGGGTTGTTTGACGCCACGGACACACGGGCGCTGCGGTCGGTTTGGGAACAGGAGCTGAGGAGCGGGGTCGATTGTTTTACTTCACTGATCCAACGCTGACGTCATGGTGTCCGCGAGACTCGGGGTTGGATCTTTATTCGGGACAAATCCGAAAGGGTTTTTTTGTATTATACTTAAAATAGCGCGTTTGACAACGAGAGTCGTGGGTGCCACAAAAAGAAGATGAATTTATCTGGCTGAAAATTGTTGCTGTCATCATTTGGAGGTTAAACGAACTTTTGGACCAAGCAAAAACATATCACAACTTCGATTCTACTATCCAAATAAAATACATTAGCCAAAGCTCAATAACTTTGGCATTATTTGGCAACAACGTATGTTGCCAATAATTTCAAGACAGTTGTGTTCTCGTGCAGGACTGTGATGGGTAAAGTGTGGCTATGTGGCGCCCTCGTGTGGTAGAAAATAATAGAGCACGGATTCGAAAGTTTGGACGTTTCCTCTTAGCAACCAAACTCTGGTGCCTGGATACAAACTGATATCAGACACTGCTATTCAACTAAAACGTAGCAGCGACGAATATCTCTTGTCTTATTGTTCTTTTTGGTTTTGTGAGATCCCAAATGGCATATTTACACGCCTATGCTAAGATTAGTATGTCTCCAATTTAAATTAATCTCATTTATAGTACGCAAGGTTCATATGGGGTCTGGCTAACAAAGTTAGCACCAGTGTGGGGCGACTGGAAGTGATGCTGCTGGTTTTCCTCTGGGGCGTTACTGGTGAGTTAATGCCTCGTCATTACCATTAGTCATGTCTTTTGCCTCTGTGTTCTAGTTGACTCTTTGTGACAGTAAAGCTGGTGAAAATAATTTCAAAAGGCTAATTTATGTCGCTGCAGAGCTATGTTGTCGAGTGAGAAACAGAAGAGCCGTAACGAGGACGAAGTGGTTAAAAAGCTGGTAAGTACTGGTGAATATATCAAATATTTTAAATTTCACTTTTTACATTTGTTTTCATTTGAACAACTATTCAGTGATTCTACTCTTTTTATGGGGCTGTGTGAAAGTCACACTTTGTGTGATAAATGTGTAGACATCCAATATTAACACTTATGTTGCATATTTGAATTCTTTTGCATCTCATTTCCCACCTTGTAATGATTATATTTCCATAGAATTTTGTGATTGTCTTCTCCTTCTCATCAGTGCCTGGTTAATGGTGTCTGCTATGAAAAAATTGCACATGAAGGGAGCAGCATTGGGTCACTGGAGATCTTCTTCTCTGGTTTCCCCCGCATGGTTGGACTCTCTTTTTTCACAAGGCTCTGCCACCTTACTATTGTGGAACAGGATATAGAACACATTGAAGGGCTTGAGTGCTGTCCTCTGCTCAAGGAGCTCTGGATAGTCCAGTGCCATCTCACAGTGAGTCTGTTTTGTTACCAACGTCACCCATTGAATCGTCACTATCGAAATAAGGGTAGTTAAATGTTAGCCCTTCATGACTTGTGGATGCATACACGAAGATCCCCTGCTACACACAGAATGTTATCGTATGTCATCTTCATAACATAATTGTACACCGGCTATGCTGCATAAAACAGATTAACTCAAGTCGTATCGTCTTCACTGCAGGAAATTTCTGGACTACAAAACTGTCAGAAACTGGAGAAACTCTACCTTTATGATAATCAGATCTGTGAAATAAAGAATCTACAATTACAGGTCAACCTAGAGGTTCTGTGGCTCAATAACAATTGCATAACAAAGATACAGGTAAATTACATTCACACTAACTATTTCTTTCTGTGAATTTCATCTTTGGATTGAATTATAAACTAAAAATGTCCATGATTTACAACTTTTTTTGTCTTTGTACGTTTATGCGTGTGTGTTTTCTTTCAGCAACTCCATGTTTTTGACTAGTTGTCTATTTTGTCCCCTCTAAGGGCTTAAACACACTCCAAAATCTTAGGGAACTAAACCTTGCTGACAACAACATTGAAAAGATTGGTAGGTTTGAACAATCTTGTCTGTTCTTTGTCATATTTGATGGAGGTTTGGAGAACTGTTACAGACAAATTAATCAAAATCATTTTAACTTGTGTTTTTTCATGTGTTTTTTTTAGGTCACAGCCTTGGTCCCAATGTCAACCTTGAGCATCTCAATCTGTCCGGGAACAAGATCAGCTCCTTTAAGGTGAGACAAAATATGCTCTTCAAATTCTGCCAGTAAAAAGTTTTTTTTTTACCTATTCTTTAAAAATCTTATTAAAATCCTTGGGTTGACAAAGTCACATTTCTAAATTCTTGTCATGGTTTCGGTGACTTCAGGTTTTTAATCAATTCTACAGAATGCCTGTTATTGAGGAGCATGATTTACATTTGTGCCATTCTACATTTATTGATATACATTGATTTAATCTTTGAAAGAAGCTGATCTAAAAACAAATTAATTTATCATACAGATTTCTGTTAGTTATACATTTGCTATGTGTGGCACAACTGACAGATCCATTCAAAGCAAGCCATTGTTTTGTTGAAGGTCCCTTTGCAAAGAGAAGCTAAAAAGTCATGTAGTTCTCACTTTGATTGGCACAACTCCTCTTATTTCTGCAACCAGCCTTTGTCATGACCCAGCTTATTGTTCTGTAGAAAACTGGATACAGAAGGGCATTGCTAAATTCTTGAAAACTTTCGGGGTCTCGGTCAGATCAGATTTTCAGTCTTTTTTCTGACAGGGTGGTTTATAACAAGACTTTACTGAAGTATTGACATTCAGTATTGACATTCATATCCACATTCAGCTGTACACATTCATTGTAATTATCTGAATAATGAATTTTTGATACATAATATCAAGGTTTATGTTAGTAATTTTAGACACACAGTCTACTGCTGCTGAAGAGCTCATTCAGAGTGCACTGATACACTGTTATATACAAGGTCATTTTGACAAGACACACAAAAACTTTTGTGTTCCATGCTTTGATTGGCTTCACACCACAGCACATCTTCTTCCAGTCCAGCTTTAAGGAATGCAATTATTGCCGCTCACCGCACAGAGCCCCGTGCAATAACCATGGGATCAAAGAAAAGGTCTCTGCTCCTTTGCATTTTCAATGTGGCACTTCTTTTTAGCTGCGGAGAGTGGTGAATAAAGAGAAAAAAAGGAATGGTAAAGACATTTTTCTGCTTTCATTGGCACCCGTTTGATATTTACACACCACTTTCAGTGTGCTTTTAACAACACAAGGGTAAAAAACAAAAAGTAAAATCATGTTAAAATATTGAGGTAAATTTTTTTTTTTTTACCTCAATATTTTAACATGATAAGGTTTTTTTCTAAATAAAAAAATCTAACAATATTTTCATAGAAAGAGAGCCTCAAACTGCCAGATTATATATGTTGTAGGGCAGCTTCACAGGTGTGTGATGGGGACTGTATGGATGAGGTCAGCGTCTGCTGTTTTCTGAAAGCATGAAAAGCGTAAATAAGATGTACCTTGTGACAAACAAAAGTGTAATTTGAAAATCACCTGTCTGTGACAAACAGAGGCCTCACTCTTTATCGATTTGCTCCTCTTATGTCATAACAGGAGCTGACACTGCTCGCCCATTTGGCCTGTCTGAAAGAATTGGCACTGAAGGACCCCATGTCAACCCCAAACCCAGTGTGTCTGTTGAGTAACTACGCCACACATATTCTTTACCACATGCCTGGCCTTCAGCGACTCGACATTTACGATGTCTCGGACAAACAAGTGAAAGAAGCTGCCGAGGTATTGAGAAGGCATTCAGCTCTGTGAACTTACTGCAGTTTTGATAACATTTCTTCAAACTCATTTAGAATTAAAATAAAATAATTATGTTTATTTAATGTATTTGGTCATATTAAAGCACTTACAAGAAATATCAAGTACGGAAACAGAATCAGATCATGTGACTGTTTTATCTATAACTCTAGAAATGGCTGGTTCATCCTAACAGGAATGCAGATTTGATGAGGATCAGTTAAATAAGACAGTGCCAATCAATTTAAACACACAGAACAAGCGACTAGATGTACATACTATGTATTACTTTAGGAGCAGAGAAAATACAGATAACTTTGCCTTGTATTTTATATGCCATACTTTTGTCATATGTAAGATGCATGGCTTATGTTTATTAGTTGCATTCTTATTTTACTTGAAGTCTGCAGTATTAAAGAAGATGATGTACTACAACATGCGTGTACGCACCGCTCACAGGAACCTGGCGGAGACTCTGCTCAGTCTAACAGAGAGAAAGAAAACCCTTCTGCAGTTACCTGAAGATTGTATCAGGGGCTTGAGTCATTCTCTCAAAAGTGTATGTACAGCCTGTTAAAGGCTCGGAAAAGTTCTGCATTTGTAATCAGCATTCAAGTTGAGTTATTGCAGCTTTCATATCGTGCTGTAGCTTGTGGTTTCTGTGCTTTGGTAAAAGAGCTCTTTGCATTTCTCGTGTATTCCCAGCTGGAACGTGAGCTCTCCATGATGCCTGTCAGGTGTAAGAGGCCTAGCTGCAGGTTGGAGGATGAACCAGGACAATCCCCCCGCCCAGAGGATGGCGTTACTGAAATAAGTGACATGCCTTCTGATGTCAGTGGCGATCTTGCATTGGACCAAAAAATACTCCTAAAGATTGAAGCACTGAAGGAAAGACTGAAAATATGGACCAGGAGGATAGATGAGTCAGTTTCCTTTTATCAAGTATTTTCGTTTAGGACCTTCCATTTGTGAAGTGCTGATGTATACCTCCAGCATGAAGACATCACGCTTGTTGTTCTGTGTTCAGTATCGAAGCCTATTACGAGCGAGAGTTAGCCCAAGCCACAAAAAAGATGGATCATGCAGTACAGTTTTTGTTGATGGAGCTGGAAAGCGTTGGTAATATCCGTTTGGAGGAGGGCTGCTCCACAGACCCATGGTACAGATTTTAGTGTGATTATCAGCAAACATCATGGAAGCAAAAACTGTTGTCATTTATTTTTGTTTGACCAACAGGTTTGCGTCATGTTGTGACCTCCTGTTTTCCCGCTTCAATCCTTCAGACTACAAAAGTCATAGCATCACTGACATAAAGATCGATCAAGTTTTCCGCATTCACAACAGTGCTTTGAGGCTCCGCTTTGAAGACAAGCTTCATAGCCTGCTTTCTAGTGATGATTCTGTCACTTTTTCACAGTAAGTAAAACTAGACTGCAAAGGAAAAGGCTTATGAATGACTTCTGACAATATCTTTACAGACTTGAGCTTAACATTTTGACAGCCTTTGAAAGAACCATTTTTACACAGGAATTACAGACGTCGACTGGAGTACCTATTCTACATAGCTGACCCTGAAAGATCAGAGAAAGAGGAGACTTTTCGCATTGTAGAGGAAGGTTTCAAAACAACCCAGCAACAAAAGGTGAGTGTGCTTCGAGATGGAATTCACCTATATACCATACCAGCTTTATTCCACCAACTATTTACCGTAAGATAAGAACTGATCGGTAGTTATTTAGTCAGTTCACTACTCCGCACCCGTAGATTTCTTTTAATCATGTGCAAATAGTGAACACAGTGAAATAAACAAAACATCCTTTTGTAAAATTGTAACTTTTGTATTTTTCTGACTTGTGTCTGTGCAGAAATTGCATTCAAACAACTGTTATAGTTTCTTATGTACAGATCTTATGTGGTCCAAAGCCTGCTGACTTCTACAATACTGACTGTTTGTAATAGGCCTTGGGAAGAGAGAATGCTGTACTCTTATCTAATAGCTTAGACGTAACTGAACAGCCCAGAATTGAGTATGCAACGAGCCACGCCAGCCAAGGTGATTCCAAGGAAAGTACGGGTACAATCCTTTTCAGGCACGGTGAGTTTGTTTCAGTGATATTGTTATCAGTGAATCAAGCTTTATTAGAGACTTGAGGTTCGAGAAAAATACTAACAAACAACACAAGCAAAGCATTTGACAATAACCTAAAAGCATAAACAACCCATTTGCTCTGAGCCTCTTCAATAGTATTCTCTTTACATCATTCTAAAAAATTCTAAAAAAGTCCTTGTAGGCAAGTGTGCTAAGTGTGCAATTTAGGGTGGAGCACAACAGGCACAAAGTAAAGACATCTTAACTTTCCATTTGTTTGCAACATTGCCAGTAAATATCTTCATCAAAATAGGGTCATGCTGTGATCAGCACTCATAAAACCAAAGTTCACCCAGTTGCCCACGAGCAAAATATATCATTCATATTCAGCAGTAAATTACCAGCTTCTCAGCCTGTTGAGCTGGCTTGACAAATTATCAATGTTGCAATTTCTAAAAACATTGGTAGAAAAAATGTCTTGTGCACTGAAAGTGCAAGTGAAAGTTTGAGTTGTTATTTAATGTCTAAAGTGCAAATGTTTTGTTTTTGCTGTAGGTCATGTTATAGTTTCCAAGGTGTTTGTGGGTAACAGCATGCCTGTCCGCGATGGAGAACTGAAGGGTATAAGCAGCTATCCCAAAGTCTACTCTGTGTATCACAATGTGGACTCCAAGCAAACATCTACAAAGAGCGATGGTATGCCATGTATTAACAGACATGGGAACTATTCTGGCATTTGTACGACTCATTCCATTTTCATCTCTGTGTTGTATTTTGCAGAGAGTCCCTATCCAACCAAAACAAACACTGGCAATGATTGTAATCTTCGTCGAAGGCAGTGGTTTGTGTTTGACCACGAGCTTGTCTTACCAGAGTATATTATATATTTTCATTACATCACAGGGGTAAGTGTCACGTTTGTGTCCTTGCTGTTTGACATTGATACACTATATAACAAACTGGCAACTTTGGTCCATTCCTTTTGAACAAGTCTTTGCTGGATAATACTTAGCTATATACTCTGAAATCCTTCTTAAACCGAAATCAATTATAGTTTTCTTTGGCTAAATTTGGTTTAAAATCATTTGTCAAGAACAAACGATAGACACCACTTACAGCCGGACATCTCCTGAAAGTATTATTGTTCCTTTAGGACAATGAACTCTTTGCAGTGCTGAGCTCCAGCACAGAAAAAGACACTGCTCTTTCCAATGCCATCACCCTGGACAGAGCAGCCCTCAACATGGAACCTGTGCTGACAATGCAGCCCAAATTCTTAAGCTTGGATGATAAAATTTTGCTAAATCTGGCCAGAGCAAACATCCTTAGTCAGATCACTGTAAGTGTTTCAGTCTTCTCATAAGTGTGCAACACAGAGGCTATTTTTACACTCTCAAAGTTACTTGTCATTGACATATTACTATATCTACAGGTACTTAACCTTCATGGCAACAGTTTGATTAAAATAAGGGAGATTTCAAGCCTCACGGCCCTGAGACATCTCACCATCAGCTTCAATGAATTCACACGCCTTGATGACATTTCTCACATGGTAAATGTATTAATATGAAATGATGTTGAAGTGAAGTATGTTTAAGCCACAATTCTCCAGTATTAACTTTAGATACATTAATAGAAGCACAAAAGTGCTTCACAATGTGAAGTGCAAATTATTAACCGTGTGTCTTCTGTGTTTGCAGCCCAATCTGGAGTTTTTGGACGCCAGCTTTAACCATCTGGTGACTCTGGAAGGGCTCCGGGGCCTGGGGCAGCTCAAAGAACTCAATGTGAGCTGGAATAAGTTGACCAAAGCCAGAGAAGATACAGCTGTGCTGAGGAGACACACACCTGGTTTGCTGCAACTAGACACCCGACACAATCCCTGGAGCAGGGTGTGTGCTGTGATCAGAAGTGGAGATTAGTCAATACGCTCAACAAATCTAATATGCATTAAGTGTTCGGCAATAATTTAAGTCAGTACAGTAGTCTAGTGTGAAAGATCACAATTTTAAGATGTAAAGTGAAAGTAGGTTTGAGTATTTTTTTCCTTCCTTACAGCCAGAGACAGTTAGAATGAGCATATTAGGGCGCCTCACGACCCTTACACACCTGGATGGCATATTAGTAGCAGAGGAAGAGGCTGCAGAGGCAGTTCAGAAGGCTGTCACATCCAAAATTAACCAGGTTAATGATTCTTTAATGGATACTTTTGTTTTTATTCCTAAATTCTGGTTTGAGTAAAGAGATTTTCTGAAATGATCAAGTTGAATGTTGAAAAACTACTACAAAAGATACCCAGCATGATTATTCAGTCAGATTTGTCCACACCAATCGCAGGCAGTTCTTTTGGCACACTCCCGTACCACCAGAGACCGTCCTCGCAGTCTCAGTCTGCTGTCAACAGCACAGCTTCTACACCACATGAGACCGGCACCCTGGGGACATGTCAGAGAACTGGAGCCAGACTGGACCTCAAAGGTGAGCTGCAGCATGTGGTTTCTCATTAATAAAGTGGATATGAAGATAACAGGCGTACAGTTTTGGAAAAATTAGTTTTGCCATAAAATGCATTGTAATATTTTTTCTTCTTAACAAAGTAAACTCTTTTTTTGGGGTGGGCATTTTAACCAGATCACAACTTTGAACCTTGACAACCAAAGGATCTCAAAACTCATTAATATGAATAAGCTTGAGAATCTGCGCTGGGCCTCCTTCAATCATAACGACATCTCCAAAGTTGAGGGTCTCGACTGCTGCCTGAAGCTAGAGGAGCTATCCCTAAACAATAACAGCATCAGCACACTCAATGGCCAGTCATTCTCCGTCTCATCTCAACATCACAACATTTAAGTATTTTTCTCCTGGTTTTACTCTCAGTTTACTTTTCAGGTCTAACAAGACTGCAGTACCTGAATAAGATAAGTTTAGATGCGAATCAGCTGTCCATTCTAGATGCTTCAGTTCTGGACCAGTTGCCGAACCTCACCTTTCTTTCAGTGGAGAACAACTACATCGCGTCATTACATGGCATCCAGAGACTTCGGTCTCTTCTTGAACTCTATATTGGAGGAAACCAGATTTCTACATCGAGAGACATCTTCTATCTCAAAGTGAGGAAAGTAGGTTTTAAATTTTCCCACATTTTAATTAATTTAAACTCCCCCTCTTCTTTTTCAGGGATTGGCCAGTCTCATCATTCTGGATCTCTATGGGAATCCTTTGGTGCAGAAACTGGAAAACTATCGAATATATGTGGTGTTCCATCTGCCTTCCCTTAGAGCCCTGGATGGAGTTGCTGTGGTAACTGCCAAACCACCTCAATATTACAACACTTACAGTATTTATATACAGTATATGTATATATTTACTGTTTTCCAGGAAGTTAGTGAGTGTGAGAGTGCAAAGAGTATGTTTCGGGGAAGACTTACAACGGACACAGTAGCAGAGAAGCTTGGCCACTCAAACTACACAGAAATCACCTATCTAACCCTGCAATCCTGCTCCATTAGGTAAAAGTCTGCTTGATGAAACAGACAAAGACAACCTTTCAAATCAATACATATATACACTGGTGGGAAGTATGGTTTTGAAAGACGAAGATTGAAAAATGTTCACCTTCTTTCTTATAGGACAGTTGATCTGTCTCCAGCAGACCTCTTCTGTAACCTCTGCAGTGTCAACTTAGACCACAATAACCTCACCTCCTTCTCAGGGCTCATCCACCTGCCCAACATCAAGGCACAATTCACACTAAGTCTCACATATCAACACACTGTCTGAAAATGAGCCTTAAAGAGATGAATTATTCAAACTAGTTTCTTCTATAGGCACTGTGTCTCAACTACAACCACATAGAGTCCATTCTTCCTCGGCACAAAACTCAGGCACATCTGACAAACAGACAGATGCTTCACAGTAAAGTCCATTCAAGTGGGTATGGCCAACAGAATCCATCTAAAGCCAGCAGGTAATGTAAACCAGTGTATATTAGTCAGTTATCTAAAAGAGAAGTCCTTGCTAGAATGCTCATTGTTCATGTTTATTCACAATTTTTAGATTTGGGAAGTTGTTTTATGGAAAATGACCATTAGGGGGCAATGTTGACTGCCCAGTGCAGGAGCCACCTTTGAATGGAACACATTTTTAGAGATTATTCATTCAAGTACAAATATCGCGTCATTCATTTGTGTACTTTAACGTGAATGTTGATTAATCTATTTCCTTTCTAAAACAACATATTGTCAGACTGTATTTTTTTCTCTTTTTTTTTTAAATATACACTTCTTCAGTAAAAAAAAATGAAGAGCTAAAACAGGTTTCCTTTTTGTGTGGACAACCTGCGATTGTCATGAGCCTGCCTGCACCTGTGACGGTCGGCAACATAAACACAGCAGCAGGAGGGAGAACGAGATCTTTGTTTAACCACAGAGGTTACAAACTGTTTTTCTGTGACTGTGTTTAAGGGATACTGGGCCCTCTGGCAGCTTGGAGCCACTGATGGGGAGCCTGGAGGTTCTTCATTTGAGTTACAATGGTATCTCCAATATGGCCAATTTGCAGCTCAGCAGGCTCACCAATCTTAAAGCACTCTTCCTCCAAGGTATGTACGGTTCACCTACCACCCCTCCCTTTCAAAGCCCGCTAAAAGTGAGGTGTATAGAACCTGTGAAAAGACGAGCACTAAACAAGCAATGTCTCCCATAGACCTAAGGCCAGGTGGGTGAAGAAGGGGACAAGTGACTTTCTTTTCAACAGCTTTTGATGGCTCTCGATTGAGCTTTGCTTTGTATTGGTGATTTGTCCCACAACGCCAGCCTCATTTTTCTTTCCTTGGAACCCTTTGGAGGCTCTGTCTGTAATTTCAGTATTCTTTAACAGGAGTGAAAAAGAAATACCAGACAAATATTTATGAAGCCTTCAAATGAAATCTTTTCTATTGTTTAGGGTTTGCAATTCACACATCTTTTTTGCTTATAAAAAGCCGTTGTCTGATATGTCTGTTCATTGTTTTATGAGGTTTTGTCTCTTCCTAGGCAATGACATCAGTCAGGTGGAGGGCTTGGAGGGGCTTCATCAGCTCAGAGAACTTGTGCTAAATAGAAACCGGATCAAAGCTCTGGCCAAGAACTCCTTCATAGCCCAGAATATCCTTCTAGAACTGCACTTAGCAGAGAACCGGATCCGGGATTTAAGCCATCTCTGTCCTCTGACTGAGCTCCGCAAGCTCTTCCTTGGCATGAACAAGCTGCAGGTATTCTGTTTTTGAAAAAATGTTTTTTATTGAGAAATCGTATGAAACTGCATATTAAATCAAATTGCCTGGAGGACTCACAGCACAGAGATTTCCTGAGGTTATCTGGAAGGTCACATTCATCTTTTGTGTAGTTTTTGATTTACCACCAACTTTTACTGATTGGTTCATATCTGTCAGATGTTTAAGAATGTGTTTTATTCAGTGTGCAGCAGTATTACTTTTACCTGCATTTGCAAAGTAAGACATGAAATATAGTAATCATGAGCCATTACCACCCACTGTGGCATGCAAGGGGTAGTATTAAGGAGAATCAAGTTTGATTGAAGGTCAGGGCCGTGTGTATGAAGAAAGAGGGGAACAATCAGGACAACGTGTAATCAGCTTCTCAGTCTGCATCTCCTCACCCAGGGCGAGTGATTTGCACTTTTGTTGCCAGTTCCTTTTTCCCCTCACTTCCTTAATGTTTTCACGCATTCAATTAGGACATAAAATACAGCAATCATCCCAGAGCTTAGCCCCTCACAGTGGGGGTGTCTTTGAATCACAGCCAAGTCCGTGCATAAAGCTGGGAATGAGAGAAAACACCCCCATGCCTTGTTGCGTGCCCAAACTCTCTCATGAGATTAATGCGAGCTCACACATGTAATCTCTGCCATCATCTGCTTCCATCCACCCTACTCCACAATTCTGAAAGGTTCTGCCCAGACGCACATGTCTCCATTATCAACACACAGAAGGCTACAACAAGTGGGGAGGGATAGTTTAAATGAGGTGTTAGAAAATAAGTGAGGGCATAAAATATTTTTTTTCGCTACTTCTTACAGGACATCACAGAGCTTGACAAATTAGAGGTTCTTCCCTCACTGACGGAGCTCTCTGTGGTTGGAAATCCTGTAAGTATTTCTGAGTTTCAGTTTGTCCAGTAAACCCAGTTAGGATTTCTAAACTAGTTAAGAGTGTGTTTTTTAAACCTTGATAAGCTTTAAAAGTGCTATGAATCCAATAACTCTCTTAGCAATTTTAGGTCTTTGCCTCTGAAATGACTGGAAGCATGCTTACAAGCTCAGTTTCCCAACTGCAAAATCCAAAACTCCAAATTAAGCGATTACATGATAGGCCGTCTGCTGTGCCTCACACTGGCTGGCATCAGAGACAAATTCGTTGACCAAATGGCGGGATATTGCCCCTGTTATATCACCCATCTGGAGCTTATGGATCAGGCTTGAGCAGAGCCTGCAGCCCCTGGCCTCTCTGCCGTCCACAGGGTAATGCTCAGCTGTGATAGCCTCTTTACTTTTAGACCCCATTTCCTGATCTCCACCCATGGGACGCAGTATTAATGCTGCCAGGGCCTAGAGGCCAACAGCAACCCCAGAGGCAATACTTCCTGCTGTTGCCCGCATGAAAAATATGTTACCCAGCCAAAGGTTTTCCACTGGACATCCTCTAACATGCTCAGAGAACTCAACAGAAGCAGTGTCCTGCAGGAACATGCATTTCTGTCTGGACAGCCTGGCTTCACAATCTGGCCAGAAGGTGCTTTCAGCTGGGGAGGGACATATCTGCTGCTGTCAGCTGGGTCACTGGAATAGCCGCTGGGAACACAGTCGCAATGCTGGGGGGCCACATAGCATCATATTTACCCCAGATGTCTCAAGCCATGGCTCTGTCAGGCTGTTTTATTAAAATGTCTGGATTTGAGTCTTGGAAAGTGTTGTTTTTAACCAGTATGCTTAATGAACCATGTGTGTTTTGTTTTTGTTTTTTACATCTTCAGGTTGCCCGAAACTCTCTCCACAGACCTGCAGTCGTGCTTCGTCTGTCCCAGTTGCAGGTTCTAGATGGACTGATGGTCACTCTGGAGGAACGGACAAGGGCTGAGCTCCTCAGTTCAGACCAATCTGTAAGAAATGGGGACATCATGCAACTTCCTCTAAAACAATAATGCCTATACACATATGTACACTCTATCTTTTTTTTACCAAATGTTAAGAGCAATACATGATTCCAGTATTACTGTACAAGCTATGATTCAGCTTGTATCTCTGTACATCAGAAAAGCTGTGTACTGGAGCTTTTAATATCTTAGTAGCATACTGAGGACAGTGACGGAGGTGTGAAAAAGATTGTGACGTTATTTTTTATGTAAAACATTAGTCACATAACTGCATACACATAAAAATACATTATTTTCTTTAGACAGTCTGCACTGTTAAACGTAAGGTCTTATAGATTAAATAAAAAGTCTGCTTTCCCCATTTCTGTTACAGCTAAATGAAAAATGAATAGAGACTATGCCTATATAAAACTGAACAAAAAACAGACAACAACCAAACGTCTGCCACCAATTTTTTTTTTTAAATGGTAAAGCCTGGATCAAACTTTGTCATTTCAGTCTGACTGATTTAATGTTCATGTAATGAGAGAGTGGGGCGGTAATGCTCCTGCAGCCCTGAATTAAAAGCAATCTAAGCCTGCTAGCATCATCCTGCTGATTAGATGAAATGTGCCCGGCCGATAATGCACCAGTGGATTTGCCCTGTATTAGCCTGGTCAACACGACCCCCTCTGTTTGTTAATAGTTGATATGGAAATGACAGAGCAGGGATTCTGGGTTTTCTCATTAAAAGCACTGCCCTTCGCCTAGTGATTTATGACTGCCATCCCAGTTGTCTCTCTTAATCTATGCCAGCATCTGTTTTTGCTTGAATTTGAACATTGTTACTGATGAGATGTAATTACCGTTCCCCTATAAGATGCTTACATATTTGGAACAACTAGCAATCTAATCAACTAACCCATACAGAGTGTGTGGGTGAAGTGGACTCTTTAATGGTTGACATTGGCAGGAAAATGATAAATTAACATATACAGAGTAGTAATGCAAGTGTTAGTTATGTCAAAGACTGAGACTGATCCTCTAGTTACTCAAGAGAGAGTTTTCACACATGATTTAAACATTGATATTTTTAGAGCAGTTCTGTCTGTTACTTTTGTATTTAAGCAAAGCTCTCAGCACCCTGGAGCATCGCTACCTACCACAGAAGTGAACCTACCAGGTTTGCTACCCGTTCTGCCACACAACACTACTCTGAGAGGAATGAGTATAAGTGGAGGACTACAGAACTCTGTGCATGGGCATGATACCCTCCCAGGTACGGTAATTCACATGCTAATCTTTAAATTGACTTGTCCATCTTATTTGCCTGTGGATATTTGTTATTTTATTCCATAGAATAGTTGACTATGTTGGATTATACCAGATAACTGCTGTAGAGACTCTTCTTCTGACCCTGTATCTTTCCCCTCTGCACCAATCTCCAAAACAGACAAAAAGCACAAGTACTGTCATGTTGGTCGAAGCCACCAAACTGGGAACAGAGCTATCTCTACATTTTCTAAACAAGAGCAAGACAGCAGGTTGTTTAAGACAGGATGGTTTCAATATATTAAAGCTTATTCAAACCTTACAGAAAACTTTTATTTTTAGTCTGCTAGGTTTTTTCTTACACTTTTTGCTGTATTTCAGATTCCCTTATGGCAGTAAACCTCCACCAATGTAGCAGTCAGAAGAGTTGGAGCTCCCAGTAGTCAGAACAAGACCCAAAGGTGAAAACACATGTGCTGTGGTCATATTTCTGTGTTTTCATGTCCAGATGGCCCTTGGCTTATATTGATAAATGCAATTTGTGGTTCTTATATATTGTAGAGCATTTTAAAAGAAAAAGAAAAACATTTTTAATATGAGTTAAATCGGACTGCTTGATGAATATATGCCATGCATTCCTCTTAAAGCATTTATAATGCCTTTGATTTAATTTTCGCTCAACATATGGAGATCAGTATCCATGCTTATCTGAGGATGAGCAGCATTGGTGTCATTTCATCCACTATCCTTTCATTTGGCCTGAACACGTTTAAAAAAAAATGTGTGAGGCTGGCATGTTACATCCATCAGGTCAAATGCATCCCCAACAAGTGGATAATCCAGCTTTAGCACACCTCTCTGTAGACAATAATCTGCAGTCACTCATATAAAAATGTAATGTTGAATAGGGTCCAAATGGATTTCAGAGATTGTCGGTTTCATCATGTTAGCCTCTTTTCAAAAAGCCCATTGCAGTGTTTTCCCAAACAGGCAAATCTTCTGTGTTGTGATGGCAATTTTTAATTTATGATCTAAAATAGTAATTTTACTGTTGGTGTAGTCTTGTGATCCCTTTGTCAATAAAATAATCTGAATGTGGAAGATGTGTCCTATATTACATTTTGTTTCTTTATTGTGAGAGCTCTAAATTGGTGATTGTAATCCAAATGTATTATTATGATGCTCAGAAGCTTTATCCATTTTAACTCTGCAGGCTGTTGCCAGTACATCTCTGAAACATGTCGATTACTTTTTAAAACAGCATAACATTGAACTTTTGGGGGAAACAATATACTCTTTGACCAAAAGTGTAAATGTAATGGCAGCCATTGCAGAGTCCAGCATTTTCTCATCCAGTCCACTGATTAGTAGCTCTAATGTGACCACTAGGTGTCCTTACAGCTCTATTAACACTGCTAATCACACCTGACTCATTTTTCACTTGCTCTGTGGATGGTAACTCATCAGTTGGAGGGGCTTATGTGTACTTCAGTTGTGTGCATCACGTCTGTGCTTAACATCCGAGGCAACAGCCGGCTCTACACTGCAAAAGTGAAAAGCTCTCCCCAAACAAGCTCCTCTAATGCATGTACTTAACATCACTTAATTTGTGTTAATTCCCAGCATTAAGCGGGGCTAATGACTTCGCAAGTGAGTGCACTGCCATTACTTTGCTCTGCCTGACATCAAATGGCAGCTGATGGACTCGGGACACAGATTTGGGGGCTCAGTGAGAGTACTCTAATGCATTAGGTATTGCAGGGGATAATTACTCAATTCTTGTTTGCGTACAGTATGTCCATTGTGGATGTTATAAATATAGCTATTTCTAATTTTGTTGTGGGTTCCATAAGCTTATGGTGAACATACTTTCTCGTGCAGCATGCTGCATATCTGAATATCTGTCTGCATTTCTTACATTAAAATGACATTAGCATAAAAAATGTGAATAATTCATCACCTTTGAGTGAACCCAGATGCACTGCTCTGTGTGTCTCCCTCCCACCTCCACGTGAGTGAACCACATGGTTTGTAGCTGGTTTAATGGGATGGAATGTGACAGGTTATGTTTTCATCGGCCTGATATGGAGCGTGGCTCAGGCAGGAGGGACTGAGAGGGAGAAGGAGAGACAGCGAGAAGAGAGGAGAGGAGAGAGGAGAGGGGGGAAGTTGGTCTCTCCAGTTGTAATCTAGATTCATAATTAGAGATGTTTGTGCTTGTTGTGAATCAGTTATGAATCAGTTATAGATGCTGCTTTCCTCCCCTGGTAGAATCCTCTCTATCACACAGACACACACACACAGAAGCACACATGCTCTGTATGGGGCCATTACTGCTGGTCCACTAACTCCCTGCATTTGCTGTCTGTGCATTCAGAGCACCATTAGTCCAAGACTCTGTGAATAATTGCTGAATGGAGCATGTTTTCACTGCGATCTACTCAGGTTCCAATTTTAGGAATGAATAAGAGGGGTGAGGATGCTGATTGATGTGTGATGCCAAGTTAACACTGCATATTGTGTTGCACTTAATCGAGAGACAACTTTACAAGCTTTGCACATTCACCAGCCTATATCAACTCTGAAGTGCTTCGATAGGAACCACAATTTCATCAACATCACTCCAGTTAAAAAAAACAAACAACTATTTGGCTGCTGATGACAACCTCTTGCAAGTCATTCCCAAAATGTAAATTGTCCTGTTTTCAAAAGGTGCATATTATGTTCCAAGTTCTTTTCTTCATCCTCATAAATACGTCCTGTCTTGCCGTATTGCTTATTTTAAAGTCTGTCATTGAATTATTGCTGTCGCTTGTCATTTTCCTGTAATTTGTTTCCTGTGGAATAAAGAGTGAATGGAGACTGATAATTAGACTGAAAAAGAAAATGCTTCTATTTTGTGCAGACATTTTGGGCGAGAGACATGGCAAACACCACAGGAGCATTAAGTCTTAACTGCTTTTTTATTTCTGGACTGTGTCAATAATGTGTCATTTATCGCATTATTGAACTTGTGTGTCATTCACCACATTATTTCAATCACGCTCAGTGTAGTGCCTGTTTGAAATGGCCAAAAAAACAACTTAATAGAGCCACCAAACAGTAGACAAATACCCAATTTTCTTGTAAATCTAAGAAAAATCTATTTCACTGCTTCACCTGATGATCAGCTTTTCAGCAGTTTGGCATCAGCCTTTTAAATTTCCCAGTATTTGCAATATTACTTAACTATAGATAATGTTACTGAATAAGTAGTGCAATGGGAAGGCTGCAATGTGCAATACACATTGTCTTGACTGACAGGATTTTCTGTTTTTGTGGTTTATTTTGCCCTACACAGCGTAGAAATTGCTTTTTCTAGATGACGAAGAAACACAACCTCCTGTCCACATTTATTCCGCAAGCCCCTAGTTAAGAACTGAATCTCCTTTGCTATACATTCTTAGTTTTCTTTGTGTTGATATTGTGACCTCAGTGATGATCACTTCATGAGCCTCCCTCTTGCCCTCCTTTCAAGGTAAATAAACATTTTGTAGAGGCAAACGCTTGACAAAAATCACTCTCATTCTACCAAAATAATAAAGTCCTTGTAGGATTTGCTCTTTTTTATATTAAGATCACGATAAGGAGGATTTGAAATATAATATTAATATAATTAATCTTGAATAGTTTTCAAGGGTTGACTAAAAGCATTATGGTAAGAAATCAAAGATAAAAGCAAGTGTACATGTGAAAAACTATTTAGGACTGAGAAGATGAACAACAGTGTGTGCCAGTGGATTCAATTAGAAATGTAAATAAATGAGGGACAGTCATTTACTTATTTTAGGGATTTTGTTATTGTTCAGTGGGGGTTGGGTTTACAACGTATTTTTCAGATATTACATTAAAACAAGGACAAAATGCAGAAATGCACCACACATGCAAACATTTTGAATTTGAACCAACTATTTATTTGCAAGAACGATAAGAAAATTTTACATAACTGTGAGAGAGTCAGTTTACAGCTGCAGCTACTTTGCAAAACAGCCAAAGTATTGATATAATTTATACTAGTCACCGTTGCTTAAACTGCCGTCATCTACGAATGACAGCGCAGTTTTATACGCTAATTTCCTATAAAACGGATGGTTTTCCAAAATCTTATTTCACTTAATGAAACAAAAATCTTATAATCAACTATTTTCCTGTTCATCTTCTATACATAAAACTGACGATGACTCAATAGTATTTTCAACAGCATCCAACGATTAAATCATTCTGCTTAATGTGAAATTAGACGAAATGGCTTTGTGTCTGTAAGGTTTGGTTCTGCGATGGGCGGAGTAAAGTGATGTAAAAGGCGGGATTAAGCATCAATAGCCAATCGGCTTGTTCGCTTCTTCTCCACACCGTATTTTCATTGGTCACAATCTGAGCGTGTTTCATGCTGATGTCGCCTAGCCATCTAGCGCTTAGCTTCCAGCTAATGTTAACGCTCATCATTCCCGCTCGTTTGACTGTAGAATTTATTAACTAAGACTTGCAAAACATTGAACGAATCGTATCTCTTATTGGTTATTTCGCTGTTGACGGTAAGTCTCTCCCAAACGGCTGTCAACCTGCAACTAGATACCTGTTAACAAAAGTAAGCTAACGGAAAAAAAAGCAGGCATGTCTTTTTGTTAGCTAACGTTCACTATATTAAAGCTAACGATTGTAAAGAAGCAGAATGAATGTTTAAGTAAACGTTCGGTGTAATTAATTTGATGGTTTGGCTTTGGGAGGTGAATCAGTCGCCCGTTCAGGTGATCTGACAATAGCGCATCAACAAGCCACTGTTGCTGTGTTGTGTTTTTTTTTAGTAACTCAGCAGCTGTTGCTCATAAACGTCCTTTAATGCTAAACATAATGGATACATTGTGCCCGTTTTGCTCAAACCTATCATTTCTAAGTTGTTGGCAGTCATTCCCCGCGTCCTATTCGATTCGTTCTTTTTAGTTATTTATTTTTGCCTTCACAAACTATTTTTGTCAACGTGTAAAGGATATGTTCTCATCTTACACGTACGGGAGGTGTGATCAGAAGTAATATGCACTTTATTCCCCAAAAAGCACACACTCGCTGTTGTTGTATGTCAAGGGTGCTAAAGGTCTGTGAAGTAATTGTTTTTAAATAGCCGTGTACCAAAATTTGTTCAAAATAAATGTGATAAAAGTGAAAACTTAACCTCAATATAAGCGTCATCCCATCAGGATTGGAGAAACAGACTTACAATGTATATTGAAAACCCCAAATCAACTTAGAAATAGTCTTCAAAGAACCAATGTACAAACTTAAATAGACATTCAATATTTCTAACAGTTACAAGTGGTCCCTTGACCAGAAGAGATCAACAACCAATGGACTAAGTAAGAGCCAAATATTAAATTATGCTTAAATTAAAACTGAGAGGTTGCACTTCAGGCATGTTTCCATCTTAAAACCCTAACTTAAATACATTTTTGGAAGTCAGCTAAGCCAGCAAACTGTCACAGACCCAGCTGTAATGTTTCAGTGTGCTGATTGTCCGTTTCCTAAATGAAGGTGTGTTCCATTGCAGAGTCCTTCACTGTGATAGCGATGATGAATGGAAACCTCTCCTCGGCTGTGTGGAGATGACCCGCCACCCCTTCGGGAATGGTCAGAATGGGGCCAGATGTGCCCCTTCTTAATGAGTACAAGCAGGAGTTCTTCTGGAAGCGCTTCCCCCAGACGGTGTTGGGAGGTCCTCGCTTCAAGTTGGGTTACTGCGCCCCACCATATGTATACGTCAATCAGGCGGTCTTGTTCTTGACGCCATGGCTTTTCGGGGGCATTGGCACTCTGCTCTGCCAGCTGCAGCTGCTGTACGAGCTCCACGCCGCCGTGCTCTCCGGCACGCTTATGTTCGCGGCTGCAGCTGGCGTCCAGGCCCTGGCGTTGTATGCCGCTCGCAGGAGTGGCACCGTGGAGAGACTTGGAGCACCCAACATCCTGGTCGATGAAGAGGAAGTGGAGTTCACCCACTGTGTCAGCCCGGAGACTGTTCGATTCATCGCCCCAGGGAAGCGGTTTGGGCTGAATGTGGTTCTCCACACAGTTGTGGCTGGAGTTCTCTGTGGCTTTGGGACATGGTACGTGTTGCTGGGCAGGCTGACTGCCCTCTACGGCAGCATCGGTGTGTCCATGGTTGTCTTTGTCCTCAGCTGGGTGACTCTGTGTATAGCTGAGTATTCCCTCATTGTGAATACAGCTACAGAAACAGCCACTTTCCAGGCACAGGACACTTATGAAATCACTCCACTTAACCGACCCCTCTACATTTTTATTTTCATCGCTGTGGACTTGACTGATCGGTGAGACCAGCAACTGCAAATCTTTTGACAGAAGATGTAGCATTTGTTGTGATACCAATGTCACTAACGCTGTTGTTAAATAGGTTCACGGATCCTGTTCCTGAACTCCATCTTGCCAGCCAGACTCTTCACGTGCTGTTCCTCTTCCTACCTCTGCTTTGGGCACTCGGCATACTCCCTCCCCTGGATGCCCTGCTCCTCTGGGGCATGGAGCAGGCTCTGGTGTTTGGTTTAGGAGGCTCGCCCATGTCGAGCAACCTAAGGTACAAATGGAAATCATTTGTATTTGGCACCCATTCAGCGCTGATAATGACAAGAATAATTTATCAAGGTTGTGTACATAAATGACTAGCATACCGCATGCTTCTGCTGGTAGAATTGTGTTTATATTAATGTAATCATGTTGAGGCCAATCCGACTAGTGGCTGTCTCCTCTTTCAAAGTTCTGGTGATTTAACCACATTTCATTCTTTGTCGTTTTATTTCAAACATGCTTTTGTCTTTTATTTGAAATCACTCGAATGTAGAATAAATCCACATTTCACCTTATTTTAAGCCTTTGCCTCAGTGCTTTTGCTAAAGATGAAGTTCATGACAGTTTTATTCTATCACGTCATTCTAATTTTTCTGTGTAGAGCCAGCTGCCATCACATTCTCATAACTGCACTAAAGTGACAAGTGTTTTAATTTTTGTATGTATGCTGTCCCACAGGCTGCTCCTAATGTTTGGTGTCTCCACCGGCGTTGCTGTATGTAATTACTTCATCCCATCAACACTGGGTGTGGTTCTCTTCTCCATCTCTACGGGATTTCTTCTCAGCTTGGACCTCAGCCAAGTTGGCACGCTCTGCAGAGGTCCCAGTGCAGCCTTTAAAAACCACGGATTGCGCAGAGGGGGCTCGCTACCTCCCTCTCCCACTTATTTTGGCTGGAATCTTGGCTGCAGGGAACTGCTGCTCTATTTGAGCCTGCTCCTGGTGGCGATGGTAGAGGCAGGACTGTTGCTTCATTTTCTTGGTTCAGCTCTGGCCCAGAGCTTGATCACAGGACCCCAAGGTCCTATAAGCTACCTCCTCCTCGTACTCTTCTTCCTCTGCTGGACTCTAAGAGAGATCCAGGGGGCTTATATTTTTGGAGGCGTGTTCCTTAACCCTTTTTACCCTAAAGGCATGTCCAATGTGCAAACTTTCAAACAAAAGAATAAAGGATTGTACATAGCTGCTGCTATCAGGAGAGTCCTTCTTTATCTCGGTAAGTCTATATTTCATTTTTTTTTCCCTCTGTTTGCATATTTACAACAGTATAAAAAAGTATTTGTGTATACGCCTGTTTACATGAATGTGATTGACCAGCCCTGCTCTGTTTTACTTCACAGTGTCCCCATTTGCAATGATAGCCTTTCTCACTATGGACAAGTCTCTGCAGTCGGTCCACAGGGTCTCCATCAGTGTGGGCTTCACACGAGCCTTCAGAGTGGTACGCTCACAGTTTAAATACTGATGTGATCCAGAAAATATCTATATATTATGTAACACTAACGTTTTTGAAGGTACCTCAAGCTAGCTTGTTAATAATGCTAAAACATATCCCACACCTTTGTTAGAAACAAAATTAATGTGTGACAGGAAAACAGAATGTTTTTTTTTTTTCTTTGAATGATATTGATGTGATCGATCAGAGTTCTCTTTGTTACCCTGCAGGTGTGGCAGAGCTCAGAGGACGCCCTGCTCCAGATGGTAGTGGTGGTCTTAGTGCGGCTTGCAGCTGGGAATAATATACTACCAGGTTGGGCCAATTTGGGAGCTGGAGTTCAGCTTCTTCTGGTGAGCTCAACATCAAATCTCTAATAAAACTTTGATCCCGGTTCAGTAAGTGAATCATGCTTGCCTCCCTGTCTGATGTAGGTGGGCCTCCTGATTGACAGACTGAGCCAGTTTCTGGCCAAGCTGAAGTTCACCCTTACTGTGCTAGTGACATCTTGGACAGAGAAGAAGCAGCGCCGTCAGTCAGCTGGAACTCTCCTGGCTCTGAACGCATTGCTCTGCCCATTGCTGTTGGCAGTGGTGACCCTCTCTGCTCTGCTTTCTGCTCCTTTGCTGCCCCTCTTTACTCTGCCTATCTTCCTGGTGGGCTTCCCCAGGCCTCAGCGCAGTTGGCCGGGCCCAGTGGGCACCGCCTGTCCCTGTCCAGACTCCATCTTCTACCAGCAAATGAGTGGAAGTCTGGCGTCTGCACTGAGGACGGCCTTCGCAAGAGGCTCACTTGGTTAGTGGTGGATTCTTGGTATCTTTTCAGTCTGTGATGGGTTTTTATTCAAGTCTTATTTAAAAAGGACTTCTGCGTTCTGTAAATATTCTGCTGACACAACACCAAGTTCTTTTCATGTATATTTTCTCCTTTTTTTTAACATGGACTGCCTTTTAGTTTTCAAATGAGGGTAAAGCTGATAAAATCAATATTTTTTTATTGGTTGAATTGATGAAGTTCAAAGAAAAATTGAATTATATGGAATCCATGATTCTAAAATCAAGTTTGATGTAAATGTAGCTTTAATGGCTTAAGCTTGTTTACGTTGTTAGCATTGTACAGGCCACTAACGCCAGTCAACAGATCTAATCTAATGCTGTAGTTCTTAACTGAGTCTGCAAATAAATTCAGACAGCATTTCTTTTTTCAACCGTGTGTTTTGACTTCTCCGGTGATTGTAGTGACTGACCTTTCCTTTGGGTCAAGTAGCCTCAGTATGCAGATCAAAGAGCACTGAAGCATCACCTCATGTGGTTAAATTCCAGGAGGAATGCTGTTGTGAGCAGGTTTTTTTGGAGCACTGGCAGTGATATGAGCTTACATCATCGAGTGAAGCTTCTTGTGAAGTGACCCAAAAAAAAAGCTCCTATCTGTATTCATTACATCCAGATGTTTCCACAACATTAACTGCATAATACTCCTAGGCTTTACTGCACTGCTGCTGGGATACTGTTCTGTGGTTGATTGTGGGGGCAAGTGGAAAATATGGTGCAAGCAGAACCTTTGTGTTTGTGGGCTGATGATTAAAAATTAATGAAATGCCTAGACAATTTGATCACTCAATCATATTGTTTAATGTGAGCTTTGGAAGCTGTAGCTATGATGTATTATTAAAAATAGTCTCTCGTTATGTTGACACCCAGAGTCAAACGATGGCAGTTTGTAGTTTTCTTTTGCATTGCTCACACTGGGGGCCATGAAGCAGTGAGCAGGAAAGGAATCTGCCCAATCTGTCAGTTCGCATCATGAGGTAGCGGCTGGAACTATTCTAAGATGTCTTTATGGGACGTGGCATTATCCTTGAGCCACGCGAGCACTAGTGGTTAAAACAAAAGTCCCTTTCACCTTGCCGCTGCTGTGCATCTGTGCCGAAATGAACAACTGCCTTCCCTCTTCAACAATGAAAAGCTTGCATTGTGTAAAAGGGATAAAGGTTCTAGAGAATAAAAGCAAGCTAACGACAAGAAGGGTTTTAATAATATTTAGCTTTGTGCACCCACCCGGTTCACTGACCTTCGTTTGCTGCTTTGATACTAAACGTCTCCAAGCAGCTGATACGGTTGCTGTGTGATCCTCTTGGAAGAAGGGCAACGGTGCAAATTCATCCGAGGCCTCTTGAGTCCTCTATTTGTGTTGCATGGTTTCATTTTTCCATGTCATGTCTCTTTACATGTTGGGTACGCTGATGCCTCGTGATTTTCTTTTTATTTCTAGGTTCTATAGCTCCAGGCTCTCATTTCCTCGGCCGCTTTCAGGACCGTATGGTTTGGATAATGATCCTGGAGAGAGGATACGGCTACTGTACGGTCAACATCAAGGTACTGTGCTTTATTTTATTTTTTTGTATGTCTTTTAAGACTCACGACTGGCATTTTACGGGAGCGCTACTTAACGCTGTGTGGTTTGCAGGGTCTGGAGCTGCAGGAGACCTCCTGCCACACAGTGGAGGCGCGGAGGGTGGATGAGGTGTTTGAAGCTGCTTTTGAACGCCCTGAGCGGCTCGGTTTCCCCCAAGGCCTGAACCTGCACTGGGGGAACGCCCTGACCCCTTGTGCTGCCCTGGCGGTCAGAGTTTACTCCGATGCCCGAAACGTGCTCTCTGGTATCATCGACTCGCACGAAAACCTGAGGAAGCTACAGGATGACTTCATGAAAGCTCTGATCTGGCTGCTTCTCCGATATTGTGTGCAGAGGCATAAGGGATTTTTATGGAGCACCGAAGAGGTCTCCGGGATTGGAGCCATGAAGTCCCAGTCCTCCCACTTAGTCCAGACTACTAACCAGCCATCTGAAGGTGTGATGGTAGAATCCAATGTGTCTTCTCTCAGGTTCAGACAGGACAGCTCTAGCTTGACCTCTTTTGGGGATTGGTCTGATGAAGACGACCTTTTTGGACCACAACCAGCGAGACGGACGGTGGCGCTGGTGACTGCAGAAGCCCAAATGGGACATTCTGCACTTCAGACTGGGACTTCCCTACCAGGCTCTGTGGAAATGGACAGTCTTTTTGAAAACATGGCTCTCTCTGCCCTGCAGCCTTTGCAGCCGCTGGGACTTGGCATCGGGATGCCCGCCGTTGATAAAGGCAGAAATCCAGAGGTCTTCAGAGAGAGCCCTCATCTGAACTTCAGCTGTCCTCAGTCCGAGGCTTTCAACCTGCCGGTAGGCTGGAGGGCAGCACCCTTGCTCCCGTCTCGTTTGCTGTCTGTTCGGCCTCTATTTCCGGAGGAATGGTTTCGGTTTTCCTTGGGACGCTTTGGGCTAGCTGTACAGGGTGAGACCTCAGAGGACATGACCAAAGCCCTGAAGGAGGATGAGGTTCTGAAAGAACTGCACGCTAAGGTAGCCCTCTCTTGTCTCATCTCACTGGGGGCGGAGTCTGCCTTCACCAGTCCGAGTTACATCTACAGGCTCTACTGTGGAGATGTACCATGGACGGAGGGACTCGAGTGGCTGTCCTCAAGTAAAGAACTCTACCATCTCACACTTCAGGCTTTCAGGTACATTTGTCGTGGATCTTTAGATTTTGCTAACTTTGTACCAGAAGCTGCATGAGACATCTGCCTCTGTCTTTATGTGTGTTCAGGTTCAGTTTCAAGCTGTTGTTTGATCAGGCAAGCCTTGGTCCAATGGAATCCCCTGAAGAGTTGTTCAGCACTTTGGAGGAATATGAAAGGGACTGGTACATTGGCCTGGTGACTGAAAAAGGCTGGCATGACAGTGTCCTTCAGGAAAAGCCCTATCTTTTCTCTCTGGGACATGACATCACCATGGTAATTGGGAATATTAATCCTTATTTAGCTTTCAAACATAAGAAATTTCACGTCATTATGGTAATTTCTTTCCTGAAGCCCGTTCTTATTTTGGTCAGTGGTACCAAATGTTCTGACCTCTACTGCCTCGTTCCACAGGGTACCTACACGGGGCGAGTTCTGTCCCTGCAGGAGCAGCTTGTGCAGGTGGGTCGTCTGAATGGTGAAGGCGTCCGAGGCCAATGGGCTAACCTTTCCTGGGAACTTTTGTACGCTACCAATGATGATGAGGAGCGTTACAGCATCCAGGCCCATCCCTTCATGCTTCGAAACCTAACTGTTCAGGCAGCCGATCCTCCTTTAGGATACCCAATCTACTCATCAGCCCCTCTTCACTTTCCCTGCCTCTGACCTGCGGTTCAACACGCCCTCCTTTTTTCCTTTTTAAACACAAACTGGAGCAGCATGTGGTTTCTTCTCTACTTCCCAAAACTTTGATGTGGAAATGTGTGCTGATACTCCCAAATTGCAGAGAAAACCTCAGTTTTCTTTCACCTTATTCTGACCTCTTACTACTTTTTTTGCTTTTATCATTAGAAAGAGGTTGTGACATCAATGCATTTAGGGAGTTTCAAAGTCTTTATCCCTTTTAATTGCTAATATGGAGTACTTCCTCAAACAGGACCAGAAAATAAAGACTGACCTTTTGGTCCCTATAGCAGCAGTAAGTGATGATGGGTTTTCACTAAAGCACAAAGATTTTATGGGTGGAAGAGAGCTGCTTGTCCTTCAGAAGAAAAAAAAACTGTTGAATACCTCTGGTTGTGATGTTCTTTTAGATTTCACAATTTTTGTATGATTTCCCTCTCCATGTCCTCCACAAAAAGGGACAAGAATTTTATTGTTCTGTTAAAGGATATTGAGGATGTGCCTTGGGTATGTGTTGCTGTATGTGTTGTGTTCAGTGATATTGTTTACGATTCAATTGTTTACAGTCTAGAAAGAAGAATTAAATGAATGTGTCCACTTTATCTTGTACATAATGTTAATTTTTATATGTGTAACTGTATATACTTGTAATAAAATAGGTTTGCAAAACCAGAGTTGCCTTGTTTCGTTAAACAAAGAGAAGGGCGGAAAATTGATCCAAACTCAATTTTATTATGCCCTCAGATGGTCAGCGCAAACACATCATCCTTCTTAGACTCACTTCACAGGCCATTTATGCTTTCGGGAAGGCTGTTTGCCACAAAAAGTTTAGTTAGTTTACATTTGAGATGGTAAAAAAGCATAGAGCAGTCGAAGTCCATGGTCCTCAAATCCTTCTCCGAGCAGACGTGAAGGCACATTTAACGAGAAACATCCAGAATGCCATGGCAGCTCTTCATCCTGAGAGGATGGCTTTCAGGAGGTCTTTGGTTTAGTGAAGTATGCGGAGTCTGCATCCTGCAAAGTGAGAAAGGTGGGTTTTTATTTGAGACTTCTATAAATTAAATCAAATTAATCTTTATTTAAAAATTCTAACTAAAACATATGTAAAATATTAGGAATTTTGTGGCAATTGAGAGCTTGACCCTCAAATTGCCTTTTCTTGAGAGGCTTCATTCTAGAGGCACAGAACTTAATATTTAGGTTTTACTGAGTTTTTATTTCTCTCAGTCTAAACCTGTTAGAAGCATGGGACACCACAGTGGCTGACCAGTTGGAAGATGACCTCCCCACATGGCCCTCAGCCCTTGCTGTCCAGCAGAGGCCACCAGACACTGGTCAGTCGGTCAGTATGTACTGTGAGGAATGCTCGATGTCACCCCCCCACCACTGCTGCCTTTCGAGGCTCAGGCAAGGTCAGTTACAACTGGGCCCTCCCGGCTGTGAAGAGACAGCTCTCATAACCGTTGACAAGTTGTGTTTTTTTTAAAGTATTTTCAGTCCATTCACACAGTGGGAGCGCACCCATGTCCAGTTTTTGCAAAGTCAAGTCATCCCTCTTATAACATCCCTTAAAAAAAAGGTCCCTACTCATTATTAAGCTCAACTATTTTTGCACTTATAGGATGTACCCACCAGACCAGCTTTGAAATTCTGCACCCTTTTCCTGCCCAGCAGATCTGTGATGGTCCAGGCGAACGTGGGGGCATACTGCCATGCGTAGTAAAACAGGAGGAAAGGTTGCTGAGCGATCCACATTTCCTTGACACCATTGGCAATTCCCACCAGCATTAAACGCACACACCGGCTTGTTGGCATTTTGTGCTCCTGGTTACCAACCGTGGCCACCGGCTGAAAGGGGAAAAACGGGTTACAGTAAACAAACAAACCCTTATGTGTCGTACAGCTAAAAGCTAAATAAAAAGCGTTACCTTGCTAAGCTCCTCTGTGAATGCATTGTTGACAATCTGTGACTGAACCGGGCCTGGACACACTGTGCTGATGAGTATTTTTGGATAGTCTGTCAGCTCAGTTCGAAGGGAATTGAAGAAACCCTGTGAACATGACAGTTACACTCATAAAGACAGATTATTACCCCTATGGACAGCTTCTTTGCATTAATCTAAATCAAACAAAATAATTAGGAGAGATTCAGATGGACCAGAAATGCTCTTTCCAAAAACAAATGAGAAGTTCACCTGCAGTGCGTGTTTACTGGCAGAGTATCCTGTTGCCAGCGGTGCACCAGCAAGGCCAACAACACTACTGACAGTCACAACACTCCCGCTGCCTCTCTGTGTCATGTGAGGCAGCACCTGCTTGGTCATAGAGACTGTACCCAGGAAGTTTAGCTCCATCAAGGCTTCATACACATCAACACTAGTCTCCAGGCAAAGAGAGCGCTGGCTTCGACCACCGTTGTTTATGAGGACATCGATCTGAATAGGCGAGGAAAAAAAAGGAAACGACAGGAGGTTTTTAATTAATCCTGTTGCTTCTATGATCATTACATCTGTTTCATGACACAGGTGAAACGTATGTCTTGGTTGAATTCACTGCCTTCATTGTGAAAACAGAAAACTTTTTGATTAAAGCAAAGATGAGAGAGGATCCTTTTTCTGCAGTGGCCTTACACGCCCAAAGTACTGAATGGCAGTTTGCGTTTTTTCCTCGTGCGATGTCCTCTCCAACAAATCGAGTGGAAGAATAAGAATGTCCTCATCCTTGAGGTCAGAATTCTCTGGAAAAAATATACAAAGAAGGAAAAAAAAATCAGCTGGTCACGAGCTGAACGAGACTCGTAAAGAAAACATTCTTATATAGACTATCAGTGAGTTACACTACTGAAGTGTTCCACATGCTATGGCCGAAAAAATGTAAATGTAAAGTAATACAAGTAACATTTAATTCGATAAAAAACAGACAAAGGATTATAAAAATAATTCTTACCCAAACATATGCGTTTGACTCGCATCAGCTCTTGTTCACGCCGGGCAGACAGAATGAGACGCGAGCCACATTTTGCTAACTGGTAGGCCAGTTCTTCTCCTATCCCACTGGACGCTCCGGTGACCCACACCACCAGCCCTCTCAGCGTGGTCTCTGATCCAAACAAGTCAGGTCAGTCACTGCGCATACTTGTTTTGTTTCAGCAGATATTCTTTGTTGTCAGAATTTGATTCTAGTCAAGGTACATTTCAAGATTTGCATAAACATCCAGCACATTTTTCTCTCTCTGGGAAACTTTGAGCTTATTGTTAAAAAACATTCTTCACATATTCCACCTTCATGGCTCCATACTCCAGGTGCAAAGCTGTCACCCACAGAAAACATCTGTGACTGCATTTAAGACAAAAGAGCTTTGAGCTGAGCAGCTGAAATCTTGTCAAGCAAAAACTGAAAAATACTGAGCTGACAAAACTTTCCCCATAGGTCCCCTTAAGCCCCACCACCTTAAAGAAGATGATAAAAAAGAAGCAGTGATGGGAAATGGTTAATGTTCCTGTCCGACTGTTCTTCCCATAGTGCATTATTTCTACATTCACACATTTAAATATACATTACCTTCTCTCCACAGTCTTAATTTTACCTCCTCAACGACACCCTATTTTTATGATAGTAATCCCATTTGTCTCTAACATACCTTTGATAAATGGTATTTTGTGTATTCAATTAGTGCATCAAAACCTTTATTTGTCATTTTGGAAGGTTTTTTGGTCACTGGCGGGAGACCTAAATCTATTTGGCAGAAGGTTAATCGGAACTGATGATATTGTATTTGTTTCTCCACTAATAATTGTTTGGGGAACTCTGGGCCAGCTTCAGGGTACATGAACTCACCTGGTCTGTGTCCTATCAGGCTAGCACGCAGCAGAGTTAAGTCTGCATCCGCAAAAATGAAACACAGGAAATGAAAGGCTACATAAACCGGCAGAAGGTACCACAGTGCAGACATAAAGCACCAATCCATCTGTCAAGAATAAATGGGATCTCAACAAAGTCTTGTGTCGGGGCGGGCAGGGCAGGTTGCTATTCACAGCTCCAGCTAAAGGCTAACGACGTCACTTCCGCTTTAAGCTTTTCAGAGTTGGGGTTTGGAGCAGGACATTTTGAGCCAGGTGCAGCAGAGGGTTTAGGACACTTTAAATAAGACCTGCAATCGATCTTTGGTCTGATTGAAAATATATTTTTTGAATCTATCTAATATCAACAATTGATTTTAGACAACATTTGTCCTCACTGAAATCATACAGCAATACACACATGTCCTACTATGTGTACTACTGTATGAAAACAATAACCTTAATAACAAAAATAACTTTTTTGACAGCAGAAACTGTCGAGTGGTGTTGCTGTTTAAAACTTTGACAATAATGGGAAAGAATTTAGAACCATTTCTTCGTTTTTGCGGCTGTTTCGTGTCACCCTTGTTTTTGTTGTTGTTTTTTTATGAGTAAATGATGAATAACTCATTGTTTAACATGATAAATTTATCAGCCCAGTACCCTTTGCACTTATGTTATCAAAGGGTTCTCAATCTAACAAGAGGGGAAGCCAAACACAACACGAGCACTTACTGATTCAGGGGAAAGTGCACTTTAAAAAAAACAAAAGGTCTTATTGTCATCATTAATACAATTCAGAGCCGAGGGTTGTCCAAACAGATCAGACCCCACCATTGTCAGATCGATCAATGGCCAACATGTAACTGTGTTTGAATTGCTTAGCCTCCAAACCTACACCCATGAATCTAAAATATTTTTCTATTTCTACCAACACAAAAATGTACATGGTATTTAACTATTTTAATTGAGCTAAGGAATAACTATTTTTTTTAATGTGATGTACAACTTCCCAAAGTGCATTAACATCAATTCACACCCAATGTACATTACACTCTGGAATAATTCAATGGATAAATTATTCATTTCAGTAATTCCTCTCATTTTCTTGAAGACCCTAGGTTTATTTGAGAATTAAGTGTTTATCACTATCAATTCATCACTTGCCAAGTGCAATAAAAACTTAGAAAAGCAAAGATAAATTACATATTGGTCATATTAGCTCCCATTTTCTTCCTTAGATAGTTTTGTTTTTTATTTGTTGTTTTGGCCTTGTTTTTTTCATCACTTGCAAAGCATGTCAAGAAACACTCAAACTACTAAATTTTAACAATGTCTGTGTCGCTGTTTGAGATCTTAATAACAGGAAGATATTCATGTTTAGTCTCAGTCACTCCTGGATAGCCAGTTATAAACCGTAGAGTATTGTGTTTTTTGGGGCGGGATTTACAATGTTCATAGCTTTACTTTTAATTTATGAATGCCCGCCTTTCTAATATTCAAGACCAGTTGACCTTAGTAACTAACTGTGAGTCACAGAGACCTACCATCTACCCATCCATTTTCTACAGCCACTTAATCCAATTCATTTTCACCAGGTGGCTAGGGTGTTTCTCAGCTGCCATTGGGTGTGTAGCTGGGTACACCCAAGATGGGTCACTACTCCATCACAAGCCAACCAACCATGTGCAGTTATTCCAGGGTATGCTGAGACAAAGGTAGAGAACTCAAAGAGGACCAATACATACACAGGGGAAACAAAAAACTAATAGAAACGTAACACAAAATCTAACAGGGCCACAAAGTTGTCCCTTTTATGATTTGCTAAGGCTAGTTTAATATTTTTCATAAAAGTCATGTTATTTCATCCACCCACCCATTATTCATACAGTTTATTTTAGGGTCCTGATCTGTTTTATTTATTCTATTATATTTTTTGTAATCACTACTATTTTCCAGGCTGTCATAGTATCCAGTGCCAGCACAGGACCAGTTAGTCGTTAAGGATTACATGTAATCCGGATTATGTTATCAAATTACAAAACAAGTAAATATTAATTTCAGATTACATTTCTAAACATGTGTATTCAGATATAGTTATATTTTCTGCGAACACTTCATTGGAATGGGATTACTAATGATAAATGCTGTTAAAAGAATAAAAACAGCATTTATTTTTTATCATGTAAAAATTAAATTCTCTTTGCGCGACAGAGGTTTGTACTTTTGAAACACCAAAAACTAACAGGGGGTCTGACTTCTGAAATGTTTTCATTGGTCGAGACGTGGAAACACTTCTTCACATCTATGACTCAACTGGTCTCAATCGGTGCTCAGTTATCCAATCCCTTAATCCAGCCGCGCCGTCCAATTGAAGTCGCTGTATGCATAAACAGTAATTGGGATCTATAACGATATTTGTAAAAACCGCAGTCCGCCCATTCCATTTTTGAGACGTTTTTTTTACTCATTTGAGCCCGAAATGTCGCGCAAATATCTCCATAAACTGGTGTGCAGCAGCCCGCGAAGCCTCAACTCATCAGGAATGATGTCATGTTTTCGAAGACGCAGCCTGTAACATCCGGGTCCTGTCGCTGTGCTCTGTGCTCCTCGGCAGCTAGCGTTAGCTTGCAGGCTGTCAAGCTGTCAAGTGGAGAGGCTGGGGCAGACGTTTCAGCTTCCCCCTGGCTTGGCCGCACAAAGCTTTAGCCCCCAAAGCAATACAAGAAAACTGGGTATTATTTAGCGCGCCAGCTGAGATAATGTAATACATCACGGACGCACGCAAAGAGGGACGTTCGCATTTACACTTTACGTGCACTGAGTGTTCAGTGACGACTGCTCATTGCTAGCTAACAGGCTAGCTAGCTTAGCTAAACCATCGCCGCAAACCCCCATATATCGTCGTTTTACACTCGCTGGTGAGAACTGCGGACAGTCGGTCCCTGTCCCTGTCTTTGCTTGCCTTGCTGTCAACTGGTATTTTGGTTGTTTGGTAAGTCACAAAATGTTTACTCTTTAGCTAACAACTGTTGAGGACAGCTGTTAGCTATACTAGCTAAGATAGCTTGTCGATAGTACATTAGCAAGGCCGATGGCTTTGCTTGCCCAAAAATTATGTCAGCATGTTGAGCAGGCCTGTCAAAGTTAGCTGTGAGGGACAAGGGTCAAGGCCCGCAACTAGGCAAGGCTGTTTGTTTATTTGAGTTGCCGTCCTGACTTTGAACAGCTCTAACCTCCCCTCAAATCTATCGGCATTACTGTTACTGACTGGGGTATGATATGATTTAAATTAGCTAATTTCAACGCTAGCTTTTATTGTGGATTTAACAGATGTTGTGATTTGTACAACTTACCGGGAACCTGGTCATTCAGGTTGCTAGCTTTAGCTGGAGATATGTAACCACAGCTAGAAGTTACAGTGCTTGACTTGCTACGATGAAGTTTTCAGGACTCCGAAGGTCAGAAGCTTTTCATGGTAGTTGACTTAACACAAAGGACTACACTTTTTGCTTATCAGTGCATTTGGTGTTAAACTTGTACAGCCGGTCGCTTTTGGGCGTTTCAGTTTGATCAAGACTAACAGCGTTCCTATTAAGTAGCTAAAAAGGTCTACTATTTTTAGAATGGGGCAGGGGCTAGAAGTCGGCTCCAATATGTTAATCGTGTGCCACAAATGGATGGAAGTTAGTGTGGGTTGGTGTAGGTATTTCGAATGTTTTTCTCACGTACACAACAGTTTTGTTGTAAGAAATGATTGACATTTTCATGGCATATTCAGATTTGTGAAATAGATCATAATTTAATATAGTTATTGGTTCAATCTGAATCTGAAAGTACACTATATTGTTGGATAGCTATTTGGAAAATGTTTTTATGCCTACCCGACATACATGTAAGAGACCACATATGTGTCTTCTTTTCACGGCTTTTCTTTTGTCCCTGCACATTTGGCTCCCAGCTGGCACCACATAAATACCAGTGTTGTTTGTCAAGAACAGGGGACAGTTTGTTTTAACGAAAATTGGGATGTAGCTCGTCTTCTACATTTTGAAAGAGTTGTTGTGTTGTAACAACGTATTGCAAGAGAGCTATTCACTCAGGAAGTTTGGACTTCTTAAGCAGGTGTAGTGCATGCCAAGGAGAGAGGCTCTTTATTTATCACCTCATCTGGTCTTCTCACACTGAGGATGCTCTGGGCTGCAGAGATGTTGGTTTGTGACTGTGCACACGTGGGCCGTCCTATGGCTTGTGTGAAAACTTGACAGGCCCAGAATTAGACATTACTAACCGTGTTAGTCATGCACTGTTTATGGCTCAGGATATCAGCACAGTAATAATAATTTTTCTCTTCTCAGTTTAGGACATTTAAAAATTGATTGTTCCTTTTCAAATGACTGGCTTTGAATGAATTGCAAACAAATTATTGGTAACATCTATATCTTTCAATTTTTGTGTTACAGGCTCTTAAAGGGACACAATGGGTGCATTTTTGGACAAACCAAAGATGGAAAAATACAATTCCCATGGTGATGGTAACAGCCTGAGGTATGGGCTCAGCAGCATGCAGGGTTGGCGGGTTGAGATGGAAGATGCACACACAGCAGTAATTGGTCTGCCTCATGGTCTCGACCCCTGGTCCTTCTTTGCGGTTTATGACGGGCACGCCGGCTCTCAGGTGGCCAAGTACTGCTGTGAGCACCTGCTGGAGCACATCACGAGCAACTGTGACTTCCAGAGTGCCCTGCAGGACGACACCTCAGTGGAGAGTGTGAAGAATGGGATCCGCACAGGTTTCTTGCAGATCGATGAACACATGCGAACCATCTCTGAGAAGAAGCATGGTGTGGACCGCAGCGGCTCAACAGCAGTGGGTGTGATGATTTCGCCAAGCCATATCTACTTTATCAACTGCGGCGACTCACGGGGGCTCCTCAGCAGAGGTGGAGCTGTGCACTTCTTCACACAGGATCACAAACCAAACAACCCACTGGAGAAGGAGAGGATCCAGAATGCCGGTGGCTCAGTCATGATCCAGCGAGTTAATGGCTCTCTGGCTGTGTCGAGAGCTCTAGGAGACTTCGACTACAAGTGTGTGCATGGAAAAGGCCCGACAGAGCAGCTTGTTTCTCCAGAGCCTGAGGTGTATGCGATAGAGAGAAGCGAGGCTGAAGATGAATTCATAATACTAGCGTGTGATGGAATCTGGGATGTCATGGCCAATGAGGAACTGTGTGACTTTGTGCGGTCAAGGCTAGAGGTTACAGATGATCTTGAAAAAGTCAGCAATGAAATTGTTGACACCTGCTTGTACAAGGTATGAAACTTCCATAGAACCTGATCCTTGGTGTTAAATTAGTTTGTATCAAGCAGTTTCGCATTTCCATGATATATCCTAATTTTTCCTTTTTTATTTCCTTATTCTTTCACAGGGAAGCCGGGATAATATGAGTGTTGTCTTAATCTGCTTTCCTGGGGCCCCAAAGGTATCTCCAGAAGCAGTTAACCGGGAGGCTGAGCTGGACAAATATCTGGAGGCCAGAGTAGAAGGTATGGAAAGGAAATATTTACATCAGGAAAACAGTTTTTTTTTTTTTAAGTGTACATTTAAGGTGCCTTAAAAAATACTTATCTGTTTGAGTTTGACAGAACACTTTGTAATCTGGTTTTACTCAACACTCACTGAATATGTAGTCTACTTGTGTAGTACTTTTTTCTTCTAAAGATTACCATATGGGGCGGGAGTGGTCCGGTGCCTTGCCCAATGGCACTTAACTACATGGTAGTGTGGAATAGTACTGCAGTTTGGACAATGACCAAACAGATTATGAATAAGAAAACATAGAGAGAAGACTAGAAAGTGGTTCGTTTTTTAAATGGACATGAATATAATCACAACTTTAAAACATTGTATGAGTGACATTTGTTCACAAAAAGGAGAATTGTTTTTTTTATGAATTGAAAATAAATGTCACAGCTGTTTAAGATATGTTGAATTTTCCAAATGGTTATTTGCATACAGTTGTTCATCACTCAGAACAGCTCATGTGGTATGTGGGATTGGTCTTCTCTCCATTGATAATACGTCCAGTTTGCAATATCGATGGAGTATAGATCTAAGAAAACAGCCGTTTTGGGTTGCACCATTTCAACTTAAGACAAGAAATTCCAGTCATTATTTATTTTGAAAATATCATCTGCACATCTCGAAATGTAATTTTGTGCTATGATAACATGTTCATGTTCAGTGAGTGAACTAGGCCTTTTTTTCCAATGACAATTTAGTTGTTGGAACTAATGAATGAAACCACGTTTGTAATGTTCATTCTAATTGAATAGACTTTAGTATGATTTCTATGATTGTTATAATATAACTCGTGTGCTGCTTATCTTAAATTGGGCTTGGCTGATCATCTCTGCTGTGACTGTATGTGTTATTTTTACATGATTTTTTTAGGCATCATAGTTTTTACCTGCATGCTGAAGAAAGGGAAATAACTTTGCAATACAGCTATATTGAAGCTACACCAGCATTGCTTTCTTTCTGTATAGTTGGTAAGAATTGAAAGGGGAAAAAAATATTTGCAGGGGACAAATTTGTGACATCTGCCTCCAGGATTCACTCTGCAGTCTGTTTCAAGTCAACCAGCCCTGACCCCATGACCCACAGGTCAGCGTCTGATACAGTTGATCTTGAGCAGGTTGACAGTTCGTGACATGAGCACAGTGACATGCAGTCATCAGTAATGCTGCTGTCGTGCGTGCGCTAACATATGATTGGCATGGGAGTTCTTTTCAGTGAATATGGAATGGATAAGTCTTGGAGACAAATGCCAGTAAAGCTAAAATTGCGGAACATGAAACTTTATTGGTTTCTGAAAACATCCGATCCCTGCTTAGCATGTCCCACAGTGGCTTCCCCTGTTTTTCATGTTTTAATGTTCATATGGGTACTTCCGTTCTCTGTGAATGTCATAACAAACTTGCAGTGAGTAATGGGCACCCCATTGTCTGAGCAGATTACTCGAGACAATAAGATTTCCAAACTCTGCTTAAGTCCAGTTGGATAGCTGTATCAAAGGAAGCTTTGATGACCATCACCAGTGTGTATGCATTTGTGTTTTTACATTGAAATCAAACCTTAAAAACTTTAGCTTAGAGTTTTCAGTGATCCCTCACTTTGTGACTCTTCTAAGAGGCTGCATGCTAATACAGTCTTAATAGGACATGATATGATTTAAAAGAAAATTCTGTTGCCAGGAAAATTGAGTTATTTTATTCTTATATTGTAATTTGCCAGGAAAAGTGTGGTGAATTCATATCTATTAAAATTTGTATTGATATATTTTTGCACAATGGCAGTACAGTTTTCCATTTCCTTTTTTCTCAGATTGAAAAAATCATGTAATTCACGTTTTTGAGATTTTGGGATGGTGGGTTGTATCTGAACAATAGTCCTCTGCTATTTGGGGAAAGACTGTGGTTTAATCATTGGTTTCTTTACTCTGTATGTTGAAGTGTCCTTAGGGAAGACACTTAACCCCATATTGTCTCAGATGTATGTATCGATGTCTGTGCCAGAGAGGGAAAAAATATCTCAATATTTGTTAGCTCTTGTCCACTTAGACGTGTGAACCGGTGGATCAGGTTTTTTGTCTTAATGCTTAATGTGGACAGTTTTTTTATTTATTTTTAACCATATTCACAATCAGAATGCTGTTAACAACTGGGAATGATTGACTAGTCTTGCTTTGTCCTGAGCTTGATTTAAACCACAACACCACTTCATTTTATGAAGTTCAGTTTTGGAAGCTTTACCACGTGATTTAAATGTTTTTTGTTTTTTTCTAAACAGAGATCATCAAAAAACAGGGGGATGAAGGCGTGCCGGATTTGGTTCACGTTATGCGGACGTTAGCATCTGAGAGCATCCCTAACCTTCCCCCGGGTGGAGAGCTGGCAAGCAAGTAAGTGATTATTTGGGGTTACAGCAGATGACTATCTCATTTTGACCTAACAAGTGACTGTCATCTCAGTCATTGCCATCGATTGGATTTTCATAACCGTGAAGATTTATCGTATTTTCCCTATCTGTCTTCTGCTCAGACGAAGTGTTATTGAGGCGGTGTACAACAAGCTTAACCCATACCGAAGCGATGACACAGTAAGTATCCACATAGTTTGTAAAGAATGTTTTATCCTCTTTATTTGGATTCTGCATGGTTTGGAGGTGTGACCGACAAAGTTCGACTAATCCTATGCATGTTTTTCGTATCCAGACAGATAGCCTAAAATTAGGGGAGGAAGTTTTTAAAAAAATGAGTTTGCTTTGACTGTGGAGAAGTACTGAGATGTTCAGTGTCACTTTGAATGAATGAATGAATAAATTAAGGCTTAATTTAAAAAAATTCAAACAAGTGATAATACCAAAACAACAAAAGAACATATGGTAACAACAGTAGATTGTGTAGTTTTTACTATATGATCTAATGACTCTGAAATGCTTCCCATAAGTTCTTGTTTTGATCTAGTGGTCTGAACTGAATTCTGCTGTATTTCAGCACTCGTCATCATCCCTTAAATCCTGACCAGTTGTCCCTTCACAAGAAAACAGCCCTCACAGCATGGTGCTGCCACCCTCTTTTGGCAGGTTCCTTGTGAGATCATATTCCTTTTTTTGTTTTGTTTTTGTTTTATAATGATCTTATAATGGTTCTTTAAGTCATTTTCAAAGACATTTTCTTTTTAGATAACTTTAATATTTTCCACTCTTTGTGACTGACCTATTTAGCTAATTATTTTGTCTTAGCTGTGCTTTTAACTACACTTCATCAAAATAAAGAATTTTTCTGTAGGTCTATGTAATAACATTTATAAACTCTTTGATAGAAATGCAACAAAACGGCTATCATTGTGAGGAATGTTTCTTAAATCAACATTGATTCTGGGCTTCAGCATAGGTCCAGTCTTCTTTTTTTAAATACATTTTTTAATGCAAGTGTGTAATGGAAATGTTTCACAGTGTTTACACATTTTTCAGTCACAGACTCTGGTGCAGAGTTAATTTGTTCAAGTTGTCACTGAAGACTATAGTTGTATGACATTATTGCTGCAGAGTTAAGCCACAGTGTATGAGGTTTTCTTTGAGGCAGGACCTTAGAAAGGATGTAAAAACCACCCCTTTACATAAGGCGTTCTATGAACTGCACTTAATTTTAGTTTCTGTTTTCTGAAAGCATCTATTTTTCATTAAATTCTCACTTGTGTCTGCCCAGCTAAGGCTTCAGGCTTCATGAACATTATGTTTTATCAGAAAAAAGCTGGTGATGTTAAACAGATTCTGGTGGATCACCACTGACCAGCATTCTTATCAGCATGACCTGCAGTAGTTTTTGTGTATCTGCTCACATTCACTTTCAATACCATTATTTTCAAAGCCTCCGCTTAGGGCATCTCTCATGTTCTGCTTTGTCTGAATCATCTTTGGACCTGTATCCCAGCCAGTGTTTGAATAGACAGCCCCCTCTCTGAAGTTTCCGTTTTGAGCTTAGAATTATTTTGTGACATTTTAGCCATCTACACGTTATGAGAAAATTTTATAGATACATCTTGTTTATTTTTTGGCACAATTCCGTACAAAAGGACACCACGTAATTAAACTCTGCTCAACCAGATGCCAGACATATTCAGGAGCACGTCGATAGCACATAGACTTTGGTAGCAGTAAATTAACCCATCTGAATTCTTCTTCTGTTTCCTCTCTGTGTTTAATCTTTAACTAACCTTGGTGACTCTGTAGTAAGTATTACATATTACCTTTCTGAGGGAAATGATAACGTCTGAAGCGGAAAATATTGTGCTTGACGTCCCCTGAAAGCACATTTTTTCAGTGCATTCATTCTTTTTTAACCTTTAATCGGCAACAAAGAAGGTAAATTAAAAGTTTGGAAGTATATCACAGTGCTGGATCATGTGCTCTAGTTGGTTTAAAGTGAGAAAGTTAAACCACCACGTTTTAATACAAAAACTGTTTGGAGGTTTGGCGTATTAAAGTGAAAATTCCATGACTGGGTGGACTTGAATTTTTCCCTTTTTAGTTTATGCAAAACAAACTTTGTTGTCGCTTCATTGTTTGCAAAATTCCTGTGCAGAATCTTCATGTAGCTTTTAATCAAAGTTCAGTAATCTGAATGGACTCTTCAGATGTTGGTTTTTAGTTTGACTCAGTAAACATTTTCCTCAGTGTTGATGTAACATTGAAAACTAAGAAATGCAAACCATTATGTAAATTACACAAATCTCACTTTAAATCTAAGCCGCTTTCTCGCAGTTTAACTTGTCAATTTGAAAGTAACTGATTGCAAACATGTTAAGTACATGAGGATGAACAATGATTCTTTAAACATTAAAATGGCAGCTGACTAAATGTTGGAAATGAATTGTACTTTTTAGCTTCCTCCCGTTTAATTTATTTTGTTTTTGTGTCAGGGCTCAGAATGGTTGGGTACATTAACATTAAAGGTTGTAAGCAAACTGAATCGGTCACATCTTCACTCTCAAAGTTTTTCATACTTTTTATCTTTAAAATGTATTTGTGACGACTTTTTGCCCAGGCAGTGAAGTTTCACGTCTATCTTAGGTGTTTATTTCGACTTCTGTTCGACAGAAAACAAAAATTGTAAAACAGTTAAAAGTATTGTCTTTTGACGTTTGTTCCTCTGACCATTTTGCTTTGATGTGCTGACCAGGGGAATGAACCAAATGTCTGAAATGTACATTTGAGTTCTGCTTCATACCCATCAGGCAGAAAGCAGTGAGACAAATCTGTGGCTTTTACAGAAACTGCTTCCTGAATGAAATATCTGTCTCTGTTATTTATCTACATGTGTCTTCCTGGGTTCATAGCTTGTGTGCAATGTTTACAGAACAGTGTGATTCATCCTTTTTCCACACAGAGGAATTTCATTTCACATCTGTGTCATGTATGAAAGCTGTGCAACTTTTGATGGAGATCTTATGGTTGTTAAGCCAGAGTCTGAAGGGTTTTCCTTCCTTCCTCTCCTCTCTTATCAAGGACTCTGCGTCCACAGACGACATGTGGTAACACAACCTCCTACCACTAACACAGCATAGAGTTTACAAACCACCATCCTCTCAAGACCCACAGCAGCTCAGCTCAGCAGTCTGTTTCTCCGTCACTCTGAGCTTTTGGTTTCTAAGAAGGGAATTTCATGGGTGGAGGAGAAGGAGGAAGAGAAGGAGGAGGAAGTGTTGCATGCACACAAACCTGGAATAGTGCAACACCAGTCTACTCTGGAGTTCAGGATCCCCATCGTCTTAGTCCCCTTTATGTTCACCCTCCTTAATATTCTCCTCTAGAGTAATCCACAACAAGTGAGTCCACCAGTTTTTCTTTTTGTTGAATAATCAGCTTAAGTAGTAAGATTTTTTTTTTTTGCTGTAATTAATTTGATTCACATTTCCTTGTGTGTGTTTGTATATTTCTGTTTTTGTGAAGTGCAATTGTCCTGTACAAACAGCCTGTATTTAATGCAGCTTGATTTTAAGTTAAAAGAAATGAAAGAAATGGAAAAAGAGAACCTTTTATGCACTATCTGCCTTTTCCTGCTCCTCTGGAATTCTAACAAATGTCTATTCCATGAATATTACTGCTTGTCCTCCAGGCACAATGTTTCTGCAATTCTGCTTTTTCTTTTTGTCTCCTTTTTTCCCAGTTAGTGTATTCTCCTTTAAGAAACGGGTAAATTGTATAGTTGACAGCACAGTAAGCTCTCTATATCAAACCATTTGAACCCTAATGATCTTTTCCCTGTGTGTTTTTTAAATTGTTTTACTTTTGTAAGTGATTTTCTGTACATGCTCAAATAATAATGGCAATTTGACAGTATGAAGTGGAAAAAAAAATATTTTCCCCCCCCAATTTTTTTTAAATCTGTTTTTTGTTGATGAGTCCCATGTCCTGTTTGTCTGTGCAGATACTTGCAAGCGTGCGTGGGTGCTTGTGTGTATGTGAGTGCGCACGTGTTTCAATGGAAAGGCAGATTTGATTGTGCAGCTGCGAGGTCAATTTTGCATTAGTGGTTCAGACAACAAACAAGGCTGGAGTTTAAGGGAATTGCCCTCCCCGTACCTATCCCCTTTTCTTTCTTTCATTCTTTCTTTCTTTTTCCACCTAATGTTCCACATTGACCAAGACAGCTTTCGCTGCTTATACCTGCATTGAATAACTGCGTTTCTATGTATGTATGTGTATATGTGTATACATATATATATGTATATATACATATATATATATTTATATATATATATATGTATATATATACGCACACATACATGCCGTTATTCTGTAACAACTTCAAAGTAACCTGTCATGACACATTTGATGATGGCGTGTAAAAGCTTCCAGCTAGTCAGGTGTTGACTAGTTCATACCTTTATTGTGTCATATTTAAATATTCATTTCTAAATGTACAACAAGACCACTGTAGGTGCCATATGATTTTTAAAAAAATCACATTTTCAGCTTTATTGCAGCCTATGCCATCCCCCATAATATTCAGCTTCGTGTTTGTGGTACAGATTTTAGGTTCTGCATCTGTTGATTTGACAATAACATTGAAAGCACTGAATATTTTTAGACAATAACTCAGATTAGCTGTCTGAATTGAGAAGAAACCTTTGGCTCTAGTAATTAAAAAGCTTTTTCCCCCCCCCCCATTGTGTTTATCTTTACATTCAAACCAAGATCAAATATGCTAGCTTCAGTGAGTGTTTCAGGTTGTAAAGTAACTTCCTTTTACCCATCAGGTCTGCTTTGCCCAAAACTCTCCCCCCCACCGCTTCACAAGCCACAGCACAATGTTTGCTGCTATAGTGTATGATCTGTGGGTTAACTTTTATTTAACATCTCCTCAGAAATGCTAGTCACTGACTAAATTTGTATTTAACACACGCAGTAGATCTATTTCTTTAAGAGAAAATATTTTTATTTCAGATAATTTTCTGCCTTTTTTTTTCTTGTCTTTCATTGCTATCAGATTTAATGTATGTATATATTCTGACCTAATTGTCTGAGGAATAAACCATTTCCCTTGAGTTAGCTTTTTGCCATGGAGAAAATGTGATTCTACATTGTCTTGAGATGATTAGATACATTTTTGTGTTCTGGCAAACATTTTCCCCCTCCAGTCAGTTTTTAACTGTTTTATTTATGCAATACGGTGTAATCTTGTACTAAATTAATACTTCTTAATTTATCAAAAAGACAATCCTAACTATTTCACCACATTTAGATGTGTGGTGAGTAGCTTGTAAGACCCAGAAAATAAAAAAAATAACATTAAAAAAATAATAGTAATCTAGACAAACCTGACAAAACCCTTAAGTAGTTGCTTCCTAATATGCTTTTGTGGCAAAAAATGCCAAAGAACCCTCATCTCAGATTTGAGAATCTCACAGCCTTGCAAGAAATAAGCTGACACTGCTTTTCAGGACCTTGTTAGTTGTCTTTTAAAGGTACTTTGTGGTGTTTTTTTGCTCTACAAGCACATGCACAAGAATAATTCTGCAGGTCCAGTGTGGGGATGGGGGGGGACTTGGTGTTGACGTGAGGTTAGTTGGACTGCCTGTAGGCGGCGCCAGTGTTCATATCAACAGGTGGTGATGGTGTAAAGCAGCAGGAGAGGTAAACCACCAACATTGAGTTATCATCTCTAAAGGGCTTAAAATGAAATTAAAAGGACGTGTAAGGGTGTTGCATGGATGAGCTTCATTGGCCTGAAAGAAAAAAAAAAAAAGCAACTTGTGAAGAAGTGTTGAATGTGAGACCCCACAGAGTACCTTTAATTGCTCATCATACAAAACATCAATATTATCAGAAGATTTGCTAAAATGGAGCTGACTCCAGGCTGTGCACATAAAAAAAAAAGTTTGTAGACGTACTGTATTTGCATTATGTTAAACACTTTGAACTCAGTTGATTCACTGTGTTTTGGGGAGAAAAAAAAACAACTTCATTGTAAATAAAATGTCCCCCACTCCCCTCCACCCCACACACACACTTACACACTTATTCGTTTTCTTTAGTCGGACAGTTATTTTTTTTGCTCTGCATAGCTTGTAATCAAACACACAAAATGTCTCTAATGTCTCTCTCTAAACTCTGATCAGCATCCAGCTGCCTTTGCAAGCCTGGTAGGTATTAATGGCTCTGAAAGCAACAACTGATTTTAGCTTTGGTTTTGTTTGTTTTTGTGGAAATGTTGATGAGGAACAAACATGTTTGTTTGTATGTTGTGCTAGTTAAAAACTTCATAACCCCGAATACTTATTTTGAATTGATTATGTAACCCTTTCAATGAGGCTGTTTAATTTCTATTTTTTAAACCAGACTAATCCCGTAGTAGAAATTAGCTTTGTAATAGTCGGAGTAAGTCCAACGGAAATGCTGGTAAATACCATCGGTGGGTTTACTGTGATTTGTACACACGTGGCTGTTTGATGGAAATAATTTAAAATCCTGTTAATAATAATGTAAAAATCACCCCCTCCCCCTGACCCCCAGTGAACAAAGAATGATCCTTATCATACGTTTAGTTTTTCAGAAACTGAAATACCTCATGATCTCTGTAGGACTGGTTTGTCCTTTCTTCAGCAGTTCACTTTAAAGGAGCTGCTCTTGTAAATCCTCCCTACGACGTATATTTCAACTCTGATTCGTTAGAAGGGGAGAATGCTATGCTTGTGTTCTGCGTCTAGCCTCACTGTGCCGACGCTAACAAAACAAGTTGGAAAGAAGCTACATGAAATGACCTCTTATTTTAGTGGATGGGAACACTATTGGCTTTGTCTTGCGGGCGTCGTCTTCACCCCAAAAATGAGCGTCTAGCATTCACCCAAGTATTTACACCTCGCTTGTCCATTTGTGACACTCACTTAGCTCAAATCTGTAATTGTATTGAGAATTCAGGGTTTTTAGAAATGTAGGGGTTGTGTGAGGAAAATACACTGATCAGCCACAGCAGACACGCCACCTACCTGATATTTTTTTTTGTGCCCACTGCCTGGGGCACTGGCCATGGATCCTTTGGGCCCTCTGGCCTGTGCTGAGATCTGTAAAGTGCAGACAGGTTAACACCTGGAGCCCTCTGTCACGTCCCCCCGGCTGATCATTAGCAGTGTGTTTCTTAGAGCCACTGCTGTCAGACTGAGGGCCCCGGTGAGAGAGGGGGGGGGGGGGGGGGGGCTTGGTCTTGGTTAGTTGTGAGTTATCTGGGCCAAAGTAACATCCACAGGATTCCCTAAAGATCTTTGTAACACGATGATTGACGTCCCCTCGCGTCCCCTGTGCGTGCTTTTCCTGATGTAGCTGATCAGTGTAAGTGAGACTAAATGACAATAGTCATATGCACTGATCATCTGTATAATCAGCTTTTTTCTTTCAGAAAAATTATTGTAGAAACAAAACAAAAAAAGATTATAGAGCTATTTACAGATTTACCTTTTGTTGCCTGGAATGCACCCTATATATTCTTGTACGGAGGACTACCTAGCAGAAGTTAGAGATTTAAAATGCTTGCGCCCTCATGTACATGTTGATGTACCTCAGCTGTGGCGTTTACTGTGTGACCCTTAGCAGTGGTGGTTTGTTTGTCCCCTCACAGGGCGACCGGAGCCTCACTTTGCTGACATATTTCAGCTCATGAATAAGCTCACCGATTTGCCTTACCCAATCTCATGTTGCCCCCTAAAGTACTTGCCCAACAAAACACTATGAGGATGAGTAAAGCTGCTGACATTACACTCTTAAAGATTAAAATCTTTGTCTATTTTAAGGTACTTAAGCTATCAACAGTGACTTTGTCCTGCTTGTCACAAGGTACAACTTTCCCCACCCTCCCCGTGTCACCATATCTAATCTCGGTCTCGAAAGCTTATTTCATTTCCACTGCAAATGATGTCATGCGTTTAACAAATGCAAGTGTTTTATCATGGTAACCTTGTAAGCATTCAAATGTGCATACATACATTAATGTCTGCTCTATTTATGATTACATTCTAGAATAGCTTTAGAGTGCTGTAGTTAAGTATTGTCAATGTTGATTCAAATGCGTCTCAGAGGCCTCTGTGAGTGATTTTACAAAGTTCAATAACTGTATATTTTGTATTATGTTCTAGCTCCAAAGGAATGGCAGAAAAAAAAGAAATGTTCAAAAAAAAGAAAAAGCTTTGTTCCCTGAACTAAATTGTACTTTTTGTGTTGTCGATTGAACAAATTGCATTCCTTGCTTGTGAATAGATGCGTTTTTCTCCCTGCTCCTTAAATTTTCTCCTTCTTTCCTTCCTTTCTTTCATTTTTTTAGCCATTGAAGTTTGAATAAAATTTCTAGTTTGCAGAATGTATTACTAAATAAATGGGTTGTCATCTTGTAACTCTCATTTCATCACTTTTTATCTGCGTCTTGTCCAAGTGAAACTTTCTGTCATTGTGGCAGGTAAAATAGTTTTACAAGCAAATCTCGATTGTGTAACTACACCTCTTTAAGGCTGAATGGAGAATCACACACAATACATGATGGAGTATGAACAAGCTTTACAGTGTCCTGTGATGTGAAACAAGAAGGGAAGGGTAAAGGGCATAATAGTCTTATTGTCTCTGTGGTAAACTGTAAAAAAAGAAAGAAAAAAAATCCAGATGTTAGAAAAGTATTAGAGGATTCCATGAACTCCGTCAGAACATCTGTACGTGTTGTTAAATGACCTTCTGGCCTCTTCATACATCACTTGCATGTTTTCAACTGAATATCTGATGCTAAGCTCTAATGTCATGTTTGATTTCCAGTCCCAGATGTTAACTCAGTGCTTCAGGTTGTGAGTGATAATTAACAAGTCCTTGTTTTGAAAGTGTTTTAAGCCCCACGATTGCTCTGAAGGGGGTTGTAACCTGGTCTGAATATCAGAGCAGTGTTTGTCTCCCTGTCTGTTTTTTTTTTGCCAGTAGGTGATGAGTGCATCCAAGGGGATCAAGCTCAGGAGGGGTCAGGGCAGACTATGGCCACTGGGATTAAGAAACCAAGGGAGGGATTACTTAAATGTCAACATAATGTCATGAGCTGTGCCAGAAGGTCAAACGTTCAAATGGTGCTCAGTGGCGAGCAGTTAATAGATCAGGTAGAATTTGAACTGTTGTGATTCCCGTGATGAATTGACTTGCACACTAAAACAAGCTATTTTTAGACCACAATTTTGTTTTTAGGTGCTGAGGTACTGAGGCAGGGAGTCAGACTTTTAATGGTTTAAGAAAAGTGTTTTGTCATTTGAAAAAATGTCTCTAGTTTTTGTAACATCTGTCTTCCACCTCTGATTTCAAAGTGAACGTTTTGTGTTTTTCGTTGTTATCCCATTTAAAGATTTGTCTCTGTACTTAATTTCTAATTGAATGAAACCGTCTTAATTCAGCTGCCAGTTAGCCAGAGGGGGGCAGTGTCAATAGCTCTCAGTGATTTGGCAACACAAGCAGGAGCTCCCGATGTGAAGAATAGCGGCCTGAAGGTCTAAATTTAAACAAAACAAAAAGGTTTGATGGAGGTTTATGGCAACTCTAGTTTCATAATAGAAAGAGAAACTCTGTATTGATACATGGCTTTTGGTAATAGTAGTTTTTCAGAACAAACTTGACAGACCCTAACTTGGATTATCCCATTTTTATCATTTGATAGTCATTTTCTTTCATTTCCATTTAAAGGTTGCGGATCTTCCTCGACATTTCATTTTATTCCGCTTAATATAGAAATGAAGGTTCCCTAAAGCTTGTTTTCAATGCGAGTGCGTCTCTCTTTGAAGCCTTTGCACAAAATGTGACTCATTAGGTCTCAGGCCACCTGTGCACCCATAATGAATCATGCTGCCCTCATATTCCTCCACATCAAAAAAAAGAGGCCGTGTCGGCAGAGGCCATCATCAAATGGAGCTGGCTCGTCATCTGCCTGCCATTGTTGAGCGCATGTCATGCTCTGCTTCTCATGGCGGAAAAACCCATTTGAGCTTGACTAATACAGCCATGCAGACACAGCGGGGAGGGGTGGGGGTGGTGGGGCACTCTGCTTACTCCACGGATGGTCTCAACACCGAGGTCACTGAGCGCCGCATTTGTTAATTTGCTCCAGAGTGCACCAGGAGCCAGATTTATTTATTTATTTTCATGGTTGTGGAGTAAGAAGGCAGATGTTTTGATTTTTTTTTTTTCAATTTTTTATCATGAGCCAAGTACAAAAAAAAAGTAAAGCCGGCAGACGGGGATGGATGGTTGTTAAATGTACAAGACTTTTTCTCTGTCCAGATTGAATGCAGAAAACATTTCCTGTCTAAAGCTCCTGCTTGTTCCCCCTCTCGCCGGGCTCTCCTTCTCCATTTCCTCTGTGAGTGCTCGTGTTGCCCGAGGTCTGCTTGTCAGAGAGAACGCAAGCTTTTCTCACTCGGACGCAGCGATTCAATGATCGGTGTGTACAAACAATCATATCAAGCAAAGATGACGTGCAACCCCCCCCTCCACAGCCCCCCTCCTCTCCCACAAACATGGACTATGTCCCTCCTGCCTCTCGCTGGTTGGGATGGGGGTGAGTGTCCCCTGCATGAGATGGGTTACACAAGCTGCTGCCCTGGGAATCCTGGTCCAGCTCATTATCCTGCACCCCTGAGACACAGCTCATTATAAATTAGAACATCAAATGATGCAGAGACTCGTTAAAGAGCCACAGATTCCTTCATTAGCATCGGCACCTTTGCTTGTTAGAGCCTGTATCAGCATTTGCTCACACCACCATGTTACACGCTGTCATTCCTCCGCACTGACTGGAAGATTTAGGATTAATGTCAGTCCCCGCCAGCGGGTCGGCGCTGGTGAGGTTGAGATATGGGGTTGATTGATCAGTGGTGGCGGGGAGCTGTGGAAGTTGTTGACAGCTGCCCACTATGCCCACCACTCTTTTTACATATTCCATTGTGTTGAAGGGGAGAAAAATCAGTCTCAGAATAACTCTTGTCTGGCAAGTGGCTGACTAGCAGTTTGTCTCAGCTTCAGGGGACTGACAAAATAATTGAAGCGGCTTCCTATGCATCTTTTTTTTTTTAAGGTAACCGACCTCTTTATGGTCATGTTTCAATGTCTTGTTACAACCATGCTCCCCTCGGATTAAAAACAGAGGTGTGTTAAAGTGTCATCTCACCTGTGCGATCGCTTCAATGTAATTTGTAAGACATATGAGTACCTGTTAGGCTCTTTATCGGTTTGAGTGTAAGAAGACATACATAGCCGGTCCCTACATTCAGCTTGGAACAGTTAACACACTGCTGCAGGCCGTGAAGAGGAAGAGCTCCTGATCTTCACCTTTCAACCTCAGGAATGCAGATGGAGCATTTTGGTGAGTATGTCTGGAGACACACACACGCGACTGTCTTTAAGCCTTAATAAGTCGAGTTTTCTGGGTTCTTTAAATTAGACAACTAAAAAAACAGGACTGCTGCTGTCATTAAAGTCTCTTCTTATTGCAGAGTTTCATTCGGGCACTTTGGGGATCGGACGTGTTCCGTTCTCAGAGTGTAGGAATCTCAACATTTTGAATTACTCTAGTCTCTGTATTTTTATCCCAGTGACCTTGTTTACCCAGCTAAATCCTTTGTTATGTAATGTGGCAAGTTGGGAAAGAACTGTGAGAAGTGACGTGAGAAATTCAGAAGGAGTAGTAAAGCAGAGGTCATAAGTTGACGCAAGCACCAAAACACAGAGTAAAGCTGCGTAGATTAGTAAGAAACCAAATCATTTTTTCTTTTTTCTTAAAGAGTCAACCAGACTGTGTCTGCCCTAAATAATTTTTATAACTGCAACCTTTTCATGCATGCTTATCTCCCAGTGTGCTGCAAGGATTAGAATGCTCATTTCTCAGTGATTTTGGGGCTGTTTGGGGGGCCTCAACAGCTGATTTTTTATTTATTTATTTATTCTAAATCCTTTTCCATCAAGGGGCCTTTTGCTTATTTGTTTGCTG